ACTGTAATATCAGCAGTACTTAACTGTAGTAATAGCTGTATTTAACTGTTTTAACAGCAGGATTTAACTGTAATATCAGCAGTATTTAACTGTGTTTAAACCAGTATTTAACTGTAGTAACAGCAGTATTTAACTGTAGTATTTTTAACTATATATCAGCAGTATTCAACTGTAGTAACAGCAGTATTTAACTGTAATATCAGCAGTATTTAACCGAAACATCAGCAGTATTTAAATGTAGTAACAGCTGTATTTAACTGTTGTAGCAGCAGTATTTAACTGTAATATCAGCAGTATTTAACTGTGGTAACAGCAGTATTTAACTGTAATATCAGCAGTATTTAACCGAAACATCAGCAGTATTTAAATGTAGTAACAGCTGTATTTAACTGTAATATCAGCAGTATTTAACTGTGGTAACAGCAGTATTTAACTGGAGTAGCAGCAGTATTTAACTGTAGTAACAGCAGTATTTAACTGCATTTCAGCAGTATTTAACTGTATCATTAGCAGTATTTAACTGTATAATCAGCAGTATTTAACTGTTGTAGCAGCAGTATTTAACTGTGGTAACAGCAGTATTTAACTGGAGTAGCAGCAGTATTTAACTGTAGTAACAGCAGTATTTAACTGCATTTCAGCAGTATTTAACTGTATCATTAGCAGTATTTAACTGTATAATCAGCAGTATTTAACTGTTGTAGCAGCAGTATTTAACTGTATAATCAGCAGTATTTAACTGTAGTAACAGCTGTATTTAACTGTAATATCAGCAGTATTTAACTGTGGTAACAGCAGTATTTAACTGGAGTAGCAGCAGTATTTAACTGTAGTAACAGCAGTATTTAACTGCATTTCAGCAGTATTTAACTGTATCATTAGCAGTATTTAACTGTATAATCAGCAGTATTTAACTGTGGTAACAGCAGTATTTAACTGCATTTCAGCAGTATTTAACTGTATCATTAGCAGTATTTAACTGTATCATTAGCAGTATTTAACTGTAGTAACAGCAGTATTTAACTGTAGTAACAGCAGTATTTAATTGTAGTATTTTCTCAGACGGTCTCTGTAGTAACAGCAGTATTTCTCTGTAGTGACATCAGTATTTAACTGTAATATTTTTAATTGTAGTAACAGCAGTATAAATCAGTAGTAGCAGTTGTATTTTTCTGTAGTATTTGGCAGCAGTATTTCAGCCTCTCTCCTCAGACGGTCTCTGTAGTAGCAGTAGTATTTAACTGTTGTAGCAGGAGTATATCACAGCAGTATTTTCTCTGTAGTATTTCACTGCAGTATCTCTCTGTAGTATATCTCTGTTGTATTTTACAGCAGTATTTAACTGTAGTATTAAAGCAGCCTCTCACCTCAGATGGTCTCTCTGGATTAAAGATGAACGAGTTGAATCGTCTCTGATGAATGAAACATGGAAACCAAACGAAGTCACTGACTCGACTCAAACTGAAGCTCATGATTTAAACGCCCTCACTCTTCACGCTCGCCAGATTTAAATGCCGCCTGTCTGCTGAGATCTGACACAGAGATCCGACCCTGACTCGGATTCACGGAGAAATGACGACGTTTGGTTATAAATGAGAGGACAGGATAAATTTAAGTTTTACCTGAAATCTATTGAGACACGATTTTATAGCTTAAATGTCTGAAACTCTGAGAGCAACCTAAAATCCTGCAGACATAAGAGACGCTTCAAAGTCAGTTTAAGCAGCAGGGGGCGCTCTCTGCCTCTAACTTCATATAGTATAATATTGTCTGTTATCGGTTTACAGCTGACTCTCTTAAATTATGCACACACGCACGCACGCACACACACACACACACACAGACAGCTTCCTGTGCACCAGGTGTTATAACTGTGTTGCTGCATGTGTGTGTGTGTGTGTGTCTTTGTGTGCTGTGATCTCAGAGATCCTTCATAAGTGATGATGTCTCACTCTGATTGTTCCTCCTTGGCTGTCAGGTGTATAAAATCAAGCACAGCTCAGATTGACTGTGTGTGTGTGTGTGTGTGTGTGTGTGTGTGTGTGTGTGTGTGTGTGTGTGTGTGTGTGTGTGTGTGTGTGTGTTTGCAGGTGAAGGACGAGAGGAAGGCTCAGGAAGTCTTCGACCTGGCGGACTACGAGCGTTCGGAGGAGTTGAGGAAAGCCAAGAGTCGCAGTAAGAAGAACCACAGCCGCTTCACGCTGCTGCGCTGCAGACAGCCGGGAAACACAGTGAGTCACATGACACAACACACACACACACACACACACACACACACACACACACACACACACACACACACACCCCGAGCTAACATATCCTGAATACTGGTGCAGTCAGTCTGTTGGTGTTTTAGTTGCACTTCTGTGTCTTACCCTGTAAATGGCACTCTTTTTTGGACTTTTTAAAATGGGCCTCTACGGGGACTGACTCACAGATGGACAGGGCCCTCTGGTGGACAATTGGGGACCTGTAGTTTGGGGATGTCTTGATCAGCCTTGTTTCTAAGCTGTGTAAAGAACATATTGATTGTTTAACATTTTTACATATTTTCTGATTTTTTTACTCAAAGATTTTGTTGTTTTGGTTCCTGATAAGAAAATAAAATCTGAAAACCCAGATCTAAATCACTGAGTCAAAAAATACGTCAGGCCTTAAAGCTAAACACTCGTGTTAGCATGCTAACAGGCTTTTCTGGTTTTCAGAGCTGATATAAAACAAATGAAGAGTTAGCGTTAGTGAGTAATCATGCTAATATTATCAGTAAACACACAGACCATCTAAAGTCTGATGTGGATTTATAAAATGTTGGCAGCTCTGAGACGTGGTCCTGAAAATGGACACAGACTCAGCGGATCGGGGTTTTGATGAGTCCTCAAGAGGGGACAGAAAAACTGGACCAGATCCCCTCCCAGTCTGTCCCACAGCGGTCCTGATATTTGAAGTTCTTAAACGTTTCTGTCGTTATTCGTCTTCATCCTCTGAGCTCCAAGATTATTTTGCCCCATCTGACTCACACCGACGCCTCATTGGTGGAATCACTCCCACATCTGTCTCCTGATTGGTGGAGCCGAGTTTAACCACACGCCCACTCGGCTAGGGCCTTAGTGATTGGCCGAGCTGTGTTGTTTTTTTCTGCTCTGAAAAGGTTTAATCCGCAGAATCCCATTAGTCTGTCAGAGAACGAGTTAATCCCTGCCCCGCCCCCCTGCCTCCTCCCGCTCAGTTTTGAGATTTCACTCTGACTTTGATTCAATCATCTCTGATCTAAAAGATTTCAGCTCTGTACTTAGGAAACCTTCAGAGGTGGACTCAAGTTAACCCCACAGAGAACTCAAACACAGTCTGGATCCTGAGTTCTGGTCCCTGTCTCTGCTCTGCTGGTGCCTGTCTGTAAATAAAGCTCCTGTTTTCAAAGACCTAAGCCCTCCCCTGATAAACACAGAGACCTCTGATAGTCCAAAGATGTTCCTCAGGGTCAGAACTTAAACCAGACTGATGAACAGTCTCAGACCTCAGGCCGAGGCTCTGCTAACACCTCTGAATGTTAGATGATTGTTGGGTTGTCACAGTCAGTACGTTTCCATAACACGCAAGAAAACCAAATTATCGCCTTACCCCAATTAAGACCGGACAACTGAAGTGCATGTAAACACCTTATATTCTAGTCTTTATATAACTCTGATTATAGTCGGAGAACTCTGATTAAGACACCCAGATAATGCGATTGGACATCGATTTTCTCTACCGTGTAACCAGCGTAGTTGGAGTATGATTGGACAATGCATGTACGCGTGCGCCACGCCTAGTGCTGGACGATAATTCGATAACAATATATATCGATCGATAGACGTGTGGAGCGATAGAAAAAAAACGGGTCGATAAAAAGTTCGATAGAAAAACACAGTTTCCCTTTCTTTTTCATCATAGCCTATCATGTAGCTTTTACTACAGTCATTACTTCCTCCCAACCAATCACAAACGCAGACCCAGGTACGCTACAGCACCAAGCCCAGCCCCTCTCAAACCACAACAGACAGCACGTGTATTAGAAATAATGTAACAGCAAGGAGAAGCGGAGGAAATTGTCCCGAAAAAAGGTTTCAGTAGTTCACCAGCATGGCAATGTTTTGGTTTTTAGAAGTCTGACAAAAAGCGAACAGCGGTCGTTTGCAAAATTTGCAGAGAATTAGTAAAAACCAAGTCTGGTAACACAACCGACTTGTTTTACCATCTAAACCGGTCGCACCCGCAGGAGTACGAGCTGTGTCGGCCGCGCCGCGGCTCCACGTCGTCGTCGGAGGAGGAATCCTCTGGAACCGCTGCCAGCACCAGCACAAAGCATGTGAAGCAGACCAAACTGGACTTCGTTTCTTGCCAAAATACGACAAAGCGTCCAAGCGGCATAAGGACATCACCCATGCAGTAACATGCTCCATAGCGAGGGACATACTGCTAATAACTACCGTTGAAAAGCCTGGCTTCGACCAGCTTCTAGCCACTCTCGACCCGCGATATGAAGTGCCCGGCCGCAAGTATTTCTCAAACACAGCGCTTCAGTCATGAAAATGGGTCAGGGTGTTGAAAAGGTGAGAAGGGTGCGGAGGAAATACGCTCCGGTGTAGCTTCTTAAAGTGGAAGAAAATGAGCTCATATTTTACAAAGACGCGAGTATTTGGATCATGGCTACTAGCAGGGGGTGCATTCGGCAGGGGTGCATTCTACGACACAACACCGGCGTGGATAAGTCCTGCTTCTCGTGCTTAGTTTGCGTATTAAGTCAATCACATGATAATTAAAAAAAATAAATCTCCCGACCCCGGGAGAAATATTTCAGTGTTCAGACACCAGGCTGTGGGCAGTTTCTCACACAGTTAAAACTGGTAGTATGTTATTCCCACCTAAAGCTATTCTGTTTATTTATATATTTGTTTGTTTTGTTTATTTTCATCAAAAGACTATTTAAATATTTATTTATCAGATTTTCTGGTCACTTTAGTCTTTATGTTTGTCAGTATTTACTGACGTCACTCAGGCCACTTAAGTTGATTTCTTTTTTTTTTTAGTTCTTTTTTAAAAAACTTTCAGTTGTAAAATAAAAAAGGTGGTTGAATAAAGGTTTGAATTTGAATTCAGTGCTTGTGTGTTCTTTATTAAAAGTAGGTCATTAAGCAATAGCATAAAACATCCAGGGCTGCAATTAAAATATATGTTAAATAATTATAATAATTATATCGATAATTATCGATATCGATCAATATGATTTATTTTTTATCGATATGCTTTTTTTCTATATCGTCCAGGCCTAGCCACGCCCCCGTAACCCCAGAACAAAAACCCCTGAGAAGAGGAGTAGCGTGCGTCTCATCTGCAGAAAAAGTAGCGCGTCCATCATGTAGGACAAAAACAACGCTGTACGATGCTCCATCTTCTTGCTCCAAAGTTGTAGACACTTCTGACGTCTGGCACAGACCTGCTGTTGTTGTTGATGGTTGTATGGGGTCGGAAACAGCGCCGCTGAAAAGACCCATATCGCCCCCTAGTTTTTGGGAGGAGGACACGTTCACGTCAACGATTCAGTTTTCTCAGCTGCACATATACGCAGATGAGAGAAGTCCGATTCGGCAAAAAAAAGACTAATTATGAGCTTAGTCAGATTAAACTGTGCATGTAAACGCGCTGAGTGTTTCTGCTGCATAGATGGATAATTTCTAATAAGACACCTCATGTTTTTATCCTGTTTTCAGGTTCCTAACCTTTTGTTTCTGGCGGTGAGTCCTGAGGAAAAGGAGTCATGGATCAACGCCCTCAACGTGGCAATAATCAAAGCCAAGAACCGCGTTTTAGACGAGGTACGTATGACCCGCCTCCTCATTCGTTTTTATTTGTGGGTCAGAAACAGTTCTGACCCGTTTACCTCCGTCCAGTGTACTCTCTTACCCCCAATTTCCACCACACCCTGAACGTCTACTAAAAGGTCGTATCCTCCGATCGTAGCTGATCGTAACCATTCAAGTTAACGTGTCAATTTCCATCGGCTTCTTTCCGTTCCTCTGCTGATCCCCGGACTCCACAGCTGATCGCAAGAGTTCTATTTTTTTGGGACACCAAAGCATGCCGGATAAATTCACCACAGATTAACCCGTGCTGGAAATGAAGTCGAGCACAGACACAAAATAAAACATCCGGCTTCTTTTCGAAGTAAAAATAGTGCTGTCAAGCGATTAAAAAAATTGAGAGATTAATTAATTATGATCTGTAATTAATTAATCTAATTAATCTCTTTTTTAATCTCACCTAAAAAAAATGCTAAGAAAAGCCCTCAACTTGAGGTATTTTCAATTTAATTCATTACATTAATGTGGCAGATCAAAAAATTCATACATAACAAAAAAGTGGCTTTATAAAGTCATTTATTTATTTTTTAACAGACTTGAACAGATGAAGTCTGAGACTAGTCCCAAGAGCTGCCTACAACCTTTAGTTCTACAACCGGGGGGGGGGGGGGTATTGCTTTGTCTCTTCGGCAATCTCCAAATAATTAGAAAATAAAAATAAAACAAAACATCAGGTCCATATAAAGTACTGTAAGTTAACGCATCAAAACACTTTTCTGAGCAATACGAGTGTTGAACACTGAACTTGTTTTTCTTCTGCTTAAAATATAAAAAAACAAAACAAACCCGTCACAGTGCTGTAAGTTAGCACATCAAACATAACATTAAAGTGCTGAAATAACATCAAGGAAACACCTCTAGTAGGCTACAGAGGACTGTCTGTTGTTGTTCTGTTGGTCCAACGTAGCCTGGACAGCCTCTCGGTCGTGTAAGAGACGTGATACCATCACAAGTGTCCAATTCCACCTTGTCAGTACATCTTGTATGAGCTGCTCCCTCTTTTTCCCAAGTGCTACTTGTTGCTGGTTAAGTTCTGTAATACTCGCCGGGCTTTGTTTAAAATGGCCATCAATCTTGTGGCACTTTGCCAGTACACCCGCAAACCCACTGCTGTCGATGCAGACCGTGATGGTCGCGAAAATCGCTGCTCCACTTCTGAGCTGTTCTGGATGTGGTGGAAACAATAATAATAATAATAATAATAATATTAATAATAATCATAATAGACTGCTGCTCTCAGTGTTGGACCAGGGGGTCAGTTTTTGTGTTTCTGTGCAGGTCACAATTGAGGAGGACAGTGCATTGGTTCACCCCACCAGAGATCGAGCAAAGATCCCTCAAGCCCGCCGGCTGCCGACCAGAGGACACCTGATGGCAGTGGTATGGACATCTATGATCTTTTCCTCTTGAGTTTCTGGTTTTATGATCGAGAAACAGTTTTAGGAGTAAAATTAGGTCTTTGGTGACTCACCACAGGCATCCACCTCGTCCCACGGCATGCTGACCCTCGACTTGGTCACTGAGGAGGACGGTTTCTCTCCAGAGTTTGACGGCGACTCCTGGGAGAACGGCTTTCACGTAGACCTTCCAAGGGGGGGTTCATGCGGACAGGTGTCGGTTATCGGATCTCGTGGTTTTGGCGTTCGCCAGCGAGCGGACACTGATGTTTCAAAGCTGCGGGTGACCACCAAGGAGCCTAAGGTGAAGACCAGCAGTCTGCCTAGGGGGAGTGAGCGATCCTGGGGTAAACATTCCCACCTGGAGGTCTCAAAAGTCCACAAGACACAGCAGGTACAGGTTTAAAGGCTTTGGTCCTGAACCTTTTCACTCAGGTTTCAGTTTTCAGGTGTGCCTTGTTTTAAGACCAAAGACAGAGTGGTACATTAATGCTTAACTCACCTTAAACAGTGGACCCTGGTCCAAGTCAGAATACTGGGTTTTACTCTCCAGGTCCTTCAGGCTCAGTCCCGAACACCTCAACCAGGGAAGAGGTTCAGCATGCAGGGCAGGAGTCGCTGCGCCTCCATGGATGAAGTCCTCTCCTCCAGGTACGGAAACACCTGACAGTGAAAGAAGCTGACATGAACCAGGTTCAAGAGCCGATTTCTGTCAGAGTCAGAGGACCAGGTTCCTGAAGTGATGATGGGGACTCTTTCACTGAGTCTTAAAGGTGGGGTAGTCAGGATCTGAGTTAGTTCCAGTTTTTAGGAGAAATCTTGAATGTAAACACTACCCCTCCCAACCTGTTTTCCCCTCAGCTCCTCCTCTCCCCTCCCTCTCTAGTCCAACAAGCCCCGCCCACAAACAGACGCTCCTGCTCGCTCGTATCGTTCCAATTAAATTCAGATATAATGCAGATAAATACTTCGGATAATTACAAATGGGGCCCAGTCAAGGTGAAAGTAAACAGCATTGGTGCTACTGTAGATGCCAACAAACTACCAGCAAACACAATGGCCCTTATTTATCAAGCTTGTGCAGATCTGAGCGCAGATCTGAGCGCAGGATTCATCCTACGATAAGACACACGTGTGATTTATGAAAGGGTTCGTATCTGACCAATCGCAGCGTACGTATGATCGGGTCTTGATAAATGTGACGGCTGAAATCAATCGTCATTAACATGTTACGGCCTTAAAAATTCGTGGTTCAGAAGCCCCGCCCACTGAGGTCAAACATGAAAGAGGAGAAATATAACAAAGATGCGAAACTTTTCCGAGCTGAAAGTGGATATCCTCACATCTGTGGTGGAAACTAACAAACATTTTCTCTTTGCAAACATCAAAACTGCTATAAAAGCAGTCCAGAAAACTCCTGTCTGGAGCAGGATTAAGGTGGCGCTGAACAGCGCTGCCGCGGAATAGCGAAGAACGAAGTTGTGCTGGTTACCTGTGATTATCAGCTTCTTATCACAGTGTGATAAGAAGCTGATTCTGAACAAAAGATGAAGGCTTTCTAGCGCGTATTTAGTTAATGAAATGTACACACAGCAGTACATATTTCACCACTTTTTCTTTTTTTGGGGGGGTGACATTTTTTAGTCTTAGAGCAATCGCCACTGATTGAAAGTATTTCGTTTAATTTGTAGCGTCTTTGTAATGTAGAGCAGACTGGAGAGTCTGACAGAGGCTGAACAAAAATAATTATTAACGTCACCAAACGGTGTGTTGCTGCCCCTGAGGCACATTTTTATGAATTTCTATTGGATTGTTATCACTGATTAAATAGCAAGAGCACTTTCTAAACTTATACGTTACATGTCAGAATCCATCGATAAGGTCCTGTCTCCTCTGTGCAGCACCTTTGTGGAGTCTCTCCTCGTCATTGTTCTCCGGGCATCGGGTCCTCACGTTGCACCGGCACAGCCAACAGCACTCCATTCACCAGTGCAACATTGTGCAAAACTGTACTGGCCCAAATGATGTCCCACACCCTTTCAGGAGTGTACAACAACGTCCCCGCTGCTGGGCCAAGACAGAGACACCTGCCTTTTAGGAGTCAAATGCAGCACTCCACAGTGGCGTGTGTACGTGAGGGCACAATGTTAAAACGGCGCTCCTGCTCTGTGGCAGTGTTTCTGGGCAGAGTTATCAAATAGGCCTATTCACTACAGACAAAACAAATTTACTTTATTTTATTTACGTCTTAATTTTTAATGAAATCTGTCTGTCTGATTAATGCTGGTCCACACGTCAAAATTTTCGTACGCAAGGTGTACGCAAGTTTTCTGCCATACGCAAGCTTGATAAATGAGGGCCAATGTTTGCAGGTCTTCCACAACTAGGATAAAGTGTCATAGTTCAGGACCCGAGGTCAACAGTTAAGCAGCGCTACAACACGCTACAGCAGGTCCCGTTTGACAAGAAACTCTTCTGTTACAGACACTTGTCTTACTTTGTTAAAGTGGTTTACCTGTCCAGCAGAAAGGTTACAGGGTCACCAAGATCCCGAAGTGTCCCCCCATCGTTTATGTTGACCCGGCTTTTTAACTCTTCTTTTGCCTCTGGGTCCTCTGTTTCTTATACTCTTCCTCCGTCTTCCAGACCGGCCATGATTCGCTCCGAGTTGCGTTCTGCTCTGCGTCGATATCCGACCGAAGAGGAGGCAGGAGGCAGAGACTCTGTGCAGCCGGTCGGTCAGCTGCAGAGCCTGATTGCCCAGAGGATGCAAAGAGCTCAGGAGCTTCTGGAGGAGATGAGACTGCAGGTAAGAATGATCCATCTGTCTGAAGGTAAATAAACTTTCTTCTCTCAGAATTGGATGAAAAATTAATGGGTCTGAATGTTGTGACTGACAGGAACTGCAGAAGGCCAAAGCAGACAGAGAGCGAGGAGGAAGCTCACCTTACCTGAAAGGAATCGAGTCTCCACACCTCCACCACCTGAGGGGCTCCGACTCCCCTCACTCCAGGTTGGTCTGAACAATCGAATAGAGTCTGAATTTATTAACTTGAAAGTGAACTTAAACCCATTAATGTTTATAACACAAAGATCCAACTGACAGGTCAGCGAGTTAAACTAGAACTTCAAAAATGGTTGATTTTAAAAACTCCAGAGCAAAGGTCCTCCTGGACAGTTTTTGTCTCCTCATTCCCTTGTTGAGGGTCTGACTTTTGTGTCATTGCAGAGTGGTCTGTCCACACCAGAAGTTTAGAAAAAAAGCACAATGTCCTTGTCTTTTCTAAAATCACCATCCTCCTGTCCTCTAACCAACCAGTCTGGGTCTTGGACTTGGCTGATCATGTAACTGACCCACTTTGACTGAGACCTGGTTTGGCTGGGATGGAGTTTGTTGGTTGGTTGGATAGTTGGAAAGGTGAGCTAATAAGTTAATTGGCAGGTAGGTTAGTTGGGTAGTGTTGGTCGCTTAAGTGGGTTTGTTAGTCACTTAAGTGGGTTTGTTGGTTGGGTAGGGTTGGTGGGTAAAGTTGGTTTCTTGGTTGGTTAAGTGGGTTTGTCGGTTAGTTAAGTTCGTGTGTTGATTGGTCAAGTGGGTTTGTTGGTCGTTCAAGTGGGTTTGTTGGTTGGTGAAGTGGGGTTAGTCGGTTAAGTGGGTTTGTTGGTTGGTTAAGTGGGTTTGTTTGTTGGTTGGTTGGGTGGAGTTTGTTGGTTAAGTTGGGTTGTTGGTCAGTTAAGTGGGTTTGTTTGTTGAGTAAGTGGGTTTGTTGGTTGGTTAAGTGTGTTAGTTGATCAGTTCAGTGGGTTTGTTGGTTGGTTAAGTGGGTTTGTTGGTCAGTTCAGTGGGTTTGATGGTCGTTTAAGTGAATTTGATGGTCGGTTAAGTGGGTTTGTTGGTTGGTTAAGTGCGTTAGTTGGTCAGTTAAGTGGGTTTGTTGGTCACCTAAGTGTGTTTGTTGAGTAAGTGGATTTGTTGGTCACCTAAGTGAGTTTGTTGGTTGGGTGGGGTTGGTGGGTAAAGTAGGTTTGGTGGTTGGTTAAGTGGGTTGGTTGGTCAGTTAAGTTGGTGTGTTGATTGGTCAAGTGGGTTTGTTGGTTGGGTAAGTGGGGTTTGTTGGTTGGTTAAGTGGGGTTGTTTGTTGGTTGTTTGGATGGAGTTTGTCGGTTAAGTTGGTTTGTTGGTCAGTAAAGTGGGTTTGATGGTCGTTTAAGTGAGTTTGATGGTCGGTAAAGTGGGTTTGTTGGTAGGTTAAGTAGGTTTGTTGGTCAGTTAAGTGTGTTTGTTGGTTGGTTAAGTGGGTTTGTTGGTTGGTTAAGTGGGTTTGTTGGTCAGATCAGTGGGTTTGTTGGTTGGTTAAGTGGGTTTGTTTGTTGGTTGGTTGGGTGGAGTTTGTTGGTTAAGTTGGGTTGTTGGTCAGTTAAGTGGGTTTGTTTGTTGAGTAAGTGGGTTTGTTGGTTGGTTAAGTGTGTTAGTTGATCAGTTCAGTGGGTTTGTTGGTTGGTTAAGTGGGTTTGTTGGTCAGTTCAGTGGGTTTGATGGTCGTTTAAGTGAATTTGATGGTTGGTTAAGTGGGTTTGTTGGTTGGTTAAGTGCGTTAGTTGGTCAGTTAAGTGGGTTTGTTGGTCACCTAAGTGGGTTTGTTGGTCGGTTAGGTGGATTTGTTGGTCACCTAAGTGAGTTTGTTGGTTGGGTGGGGTTGGTGGGTAAAGTAGGTTTGGTGGTTGGTTAAGTGGGTTGGTTGGTCAGTTAAGTTGGTGTGTTGATTGGTCAAGTGGGTTTGTTGGTTGGTTAAGTGGGGTTGTTTGTTGGTTGTTTGGATGGAGTTTGTCGGTTAAGTTGGTTTGTTGGTCAGTTAAGTGGGTTTGATGGTCAGTTAAGTGTGTTTGTTGGTTGGTTAAGTGCGTTTGTTGGTCAGATCAGTGGGTTTGTTGTTTGGTTAAGTGGGTTTGTTGGTTGGTTAAGTAGGTCTGTTGGTTGGTTAAGTCGGTTTATTGGTTGGTTGGGTGGGGTTGGTCAGTTGGGGAGGGGGGGTTTAGGGGCAGCATTAAGACTTGGAAAGTTCTGATCATGCTGACATTCAGACCCTCTTTGATTCAGGACGATGTGTCAGGTTAAAGTTTTGGTACTGTGTTTTCTTGGCCCAGTACCCAGTTTTCAGACTGTTTCTCATGTTCGTCCGCGTTTGTTGACTTCTGGTCATCCTCAGCAGGTCGTCTGGCTCTCCTAGGAGCAGAAGCAGCGACTCTCCTCGTCTCCGGGGTAAAGATTCTCCTCGTCCGAGAGGGAGAGAGTGTCCTCGATCCAAAGCCAAGAAGAACCGCACCAAAGGGACCGACTCACCTCGCTCCAGAGGATCTCACTCACCAGCAGCGAAAGCCCAGGACTTGCCGTGCCTGAAGGACTTGCCTCGCCTGAAGGACTTCACCAAGAGCTCAGAGAAACTCCACTCACCAAAACTCAGAGGATCCACTTCCTGTCTCAAAGAGGACGGCTCTCCTGTCCAGAAAGCTCCTGAATCCCCTCCTCGAGTCCAAGGACTCGAGTCCTCTCAGGTCAAAGGATCCGAGTCACCGCAGGGCAGCGAGACCGACTCTCCTTGTCTGAGCAGCGGGAAAGACTCGTCCTGTCCGAGTCAGAAGAACTCCCCGAGACTGTCGGGATCCTCCGAGTCCTCACAGCCTAAAACCCCCGATAAACACCACCTGACGCCCCCTCTGCCTGCCTCACCTCCCTCCCTGCTGTCCGACAATGACCTTGAGGTGGAGCAGCGGCGTGCAGAGGCTGAGCGCCTCCTGGAAGAGGCGGTGTCATCGTGGAAGGAGGCACAGGAGGTGCTGCAGGAGGTGAAGGAGCTGCAGAGCCAGACTCTGCGGCGGCAGCGCAGGAGGACCTACGAGAAGATGACCACCACAGTGGCTGCAGCGACCTTGCCAGCGGATGAGGATGACACGCCCACCTCGCCAACGTCACCTGAGGAGGAGGAGGAGTCAGAGACACCTTAAGGAGGGAGATGGAGGACTTTTTAAAAATCTTCTCAGTGAAAGTAGCTCACTTGTCTTCAGGACGACAAACATCAACCTTTTTTTCTAGAATCTTTCAATCCAGGTACGAGCGACGCACAGGAAGACGATAATTCTGAAACCAGCGAAACACCCCCCCCCGAGGTTTACTGACCGTAATCCTCCTCCTGCACTCTGATCTGAGCGACACGCCTCCTCCTTCCTCCTATGAGTCTCTGTTTATGTGACAGACGTGTTTAATCATATTCGTTTTTAAGAGGAGCTCCTCCTGTTTTTTGTCTCTCTTTCCTTCCTTCTCTCTCGCTCTCTCTTCCTTTCTCTCTCTGATGGTGCTGCACGTTTTTCTTTTCCTCTCTTTCTGCTGTTCAAGGAGAAAGTCCTCTAAGGAGTTTTTCCTCAGACCAGGTCTTCCTCTGGAGATTTTTGATGATGTCGATGTTTCTATGACGGAGAGCTTCAGCTGCTTCGTGTCTGAAGTCTTTTTTGAAACGATGATGATGCACTAAAACAGACGTTGAACTTTGACACTGATTATTGAGATTCTTTATACGCTGATGATGATATTTTGTCTTTTCTTCACTCGTTGGTCGTTGATTAGATGTCGTCTAAAGTCTCCTGCTGATTTCTGTCGTTTCTTTGACTTTTTAAACCTTCAGTGAGTTTTTGAACAACAAAAATCAGGGAGCTGAGAAAAAGCAATAATGTTTGAAAATGTCTTCTTTAACTCTTTTTCACTGTAAAAACTCGAATCCTAGAAAAGAGTTTTGGTTGTATTCCTGGTCAAAGCCTCTAACCCCCAGTTTCCACCGCATCCTGAAAAAGTCTGTCTGCGCAGATTGTAGCGGATCGTAACTATTCAACTTAACGTGTCGATTTCCACCAGCTTCCTTCTGTTCCTCTGTTGTCCATGCTGTTGTCAGAATCTGGTTTGGAATCATATGAAGGTCTTCCCTGAAAAAGTCCTGGTGTGGATGGACGCAGATGTTTCTCCTAAACGTGGAGATCTTGTTTAAAACTGAGGATGCAGCATCTATGATTTCTAGTTCTTCGCTGAAAGGACAACTTTCAACAAAGTTATCCTTTCGAAAAGAGTGTTACCCCCAATTTCCACCACATCCTGAACGTCTACTAAAAGGTCGTGTCCTCAAAATAAAACACATGAAATGTTTTTAGACGTCATTTCACCCCGATGGCACCATGGATGAGGAGATGCTGATTCTAGAAGTCTAGAAGTAGATTTCCTCCTCTGGAAGGACACAATCTGCTGCTTATATGTCTATGTGTCTGTCTTTATATAGAGTTCTTGTAAATTCTTGGGATTCTAGCTGTCTGTAATCCGCCACGAAATTCGCCTCACCAACGGATCCGGTAGGAATTGACGGATGGCGAAAATCCCTGCTGTTTCGGATCGGAGCTGTTCCAGATGAAAATTGGGGGTAAAGGTTTCATTTACACCAATTTCACCTGATAAGTCCAGAAAACCTCCGATTCGAGATCCAGGTCTTAGTTTTGACATGTGATGTGTTAAAAAAGACGTTTTCGGGACCTGTCAGGTGACTGCGGTTCTAATGAAGACCTAATTAGACGTTTTGATCCAAACAAAAGACCGGACTCATGCTGGAGTTCGAGTTTCCTCTGTGTTGGTTTGTCTGTTACAGGATAAAAAGCATGTTCTCTTTGTGCACTAAGTGGTTTTCTTCACACCGGGACTCAGCCCCAGATTTTCTTTGAGATAAAATATTTAAGTTGGAGAAACGTGAGGCTCTAAAAAAAGGGAGGAAAGCAGGAGCAGCCTCATTATGTCAGGTTTTAGATCCAGACCAAGTCTGCAGGAGTGTGGACCACGCTGAGGTCCCCTTCTGCAGAGACTGTTGGATCTAGTTTGATGATCCCGATTTAGATCTGTGCGTTTCAGTATCTGAGCAGAGGCAGAAAGACAGATTATTATAGAATTAGAGCCTCAGACATTCAAACATTTATGTGTTTGTTCAGACTTTAGGTTAAGAAGCTGTGACACTGACATTAATGCAGAAATACGTACCAACGCCACTTTGCACCAGCTGATGTAAAAAATGCAAAAACAGCCGTACCAAAATAAACTTTGTGTCACTCCTTTAAAAACGTTGTTTCAGTGAAAGCGGCTCCGAACTTGGATTTTCTTTATTTGGGCAAAAAGTGAACTGGAATCCTGACAGACATGTGACCACAGAGCTGACGCATGTTTGAAACGGAGTGATCCAGTTTACACTGTGTTCACGGTTTAGTTTATATTTTAAATGTTTTTTAACTTTAGAACAGCAAAAACTTTGACAGAGTCAGTTTGTCTCATCTCACAGAGTCATCCAACAAATCCTAAAATCAGAATCCATCCGCTCTCATTGTGATTGGATCAGGACTCACAGCTGCAGGTTCAGAGTGAATGATCAGACATGTCAACTGTGTTCGATAAACGCTGTCGTGTTTTCAGTAACGATGTCTGCAGGAAAGTATTTAAACATTTTCAGAATTCAAAAAAATTCTTACCACCATCGTTATTTTCTCTGAGCGGTGATATCGAGTTAACAGAGTTGGAGCATCTAAACTATAAAAATGCCGATCCAATAATGCCGATATATTTTATCAAGTGACGCTTCTTAAAAATCAGTTAAGTGTAAAAACTTTGTTTCCGCTCTGACGAACAAACTTTGACTCTTTTTAGTTCTCCTCTACGCTAATGGCGCTCTGACTTCTCAGCTAAAAACAAACTTTCCTCACGTTTTATTTTATCACCAAGTTACTGAGCGCAAGTTAACTCAAGTTAAAGCGTAAAGACTCGAAATGACTCGAATTTACACCAAGTCACCACAGAAACACTCAAAGTTGAAATCGTCATTTTTTAAAGTCTGACCCCGTTTAAGTATCAGCTGTGGGGCCACAGCCGGGCCGTCATACTTTATCGGAGTTTCTCCTCACAGCTACAGAAAACTTAAACAGACATATTACTCAATAATCATCACTCATTAAATCCTGACGGTTTTACTACTTTGCATTTAGGTTGCATTATTTCCCATGTAATAAGAGCTTTTATTTTGAAGGAAAGAATAACATTACTTCGGATAGATTATGAGTTACTGATCAGAATAAAAGCGGCTAAATGTAAAATGTTATTATCATTTTAGCCCTTTAATGCCTGAAACAACAAATTATGGACAGAAAATTCACTTTTTTTTGGAGCTGAAATGTTTATTTCCCTTACTACTGAAAACCAAAAAATCTAAATGTCCTTAGACTTTAACAAATATATTTATTTATCTCGTTTGATACATTAAATGTTTTTGGAAACTGATAAACCACTAGAGGACATTTTCATCATTTATCGGACTGTATTCAGGTGTTTTTTTAGTAATTTGGTGATCATATTGATTTGATAGAAGTATTATAAAAGTATGTTTCAAATATGATACAAAAGGCATTAAAGGGATACAAAAGCTAAAATGTTTCCTTCAGATTTATCATAAATCATCAAACTTCAGATTTAAAGAGTTGGATCGGAAACCGATATTATTTTCATTAAATCAGGACGTAAGTCTGAAAATCTTAGTATTGATTTTCTTTCTTAATGTGTCTTTAATCCTTGTTTGTCCGTCACTCTGTTATAAATAAACGCTTTATTAATCAGACAGGATGAAGTTAAAAGATGAGAGAGGAGGTGAAACAGAAAAATGATCATTTTAACTTTTTTTCAGAGAAACTCTTATGGGTGATAAATAAACTGATGATTGGCTGCTTTCTTTCATATTTCCTCTTTCTTTTTCTTCGTCTCCATCTGTGAATTTTCTGCAGTTTGATGTTTTTGCACATTTGTGATTTTTTGGAGAAGAATGCCGACACTGTTTGGACTCTTTATGATGTTTTTAACTTTATGTTTCACTGTGAACACCGACTCACAGCGTCTTTTAACACTCACTTTGTTTCTTAACTGAGATTTACACTACAGGCCAAAAGTTTGGAAGCAAGCCCATTACAGGCCGAGCAGTTGGGAGTAACTTCAAGTTTTTGTTCACAATGCTTTTTTTAAAATCCAGCATGAGTTTTATGTATTTTGGGATGTATTTACTCCATGATCAGATGTTGCTTTCATGAAAATGCACCATTTTACTCCATTTATCTTTAGATATACATTGATGTTAACAGACCATTGCTAAATATATGTCAGCAAAAGAAAATAAGGGCTTAGTTTTAGGGTTGAAAACATTTGCAAGAGTCACAACTTCAGTGCAAAAGCAAATAAACAAATCACAGTTGGATTATTCACTTCAACTTTTTGGCTTTTGAGTCTGCATACAAAAATCCTAATGAATCTCAGCTGCGTTCAAACTACCGCAAAAATGGCTAGAAAGAAGCAACTGAGTAAAGAAATAAAAATTACAGATTTGTACATTGAGGAAAGAAGGATACACAGAAAGAAGGAGTCCACTACACTCTGAAGAGACTAGAGGAACCTGGAAGTTATGATGATAGAAAAAGGCCTAGACGAAAGAGAGTTACTACAAAAGCAGAGGATAAACAGAGCATTGTCATCTGTAAGAGAGATTGGCGAAAAACAGCACCACAAATAAGGGAGAAAATCAACATGATAAGGTCGAAACCCATATCTCTGACAACCGTGAAATGACGTTTGAGAAAGGCTGGTCTGAAGGGTTGTGTATCTGCAAAAAAAAAACAGTACTTCGTCCACAGAACAAGAAAGAGATATGAGTGGGCAAAAGCTCAGAAAAATTGGACCTATGATGACTAGAAACAAGTTCTCTTGACCAATGAAAGCAAGTTTGAACTGTTTGGTTCAAAACGCAGAGTCTATGTCCGCAGACAAACTGATGAACGTCTGAAAGCACCATGTGTTACACCCACAATTCAGCATGGAGGTGGTAGTTCCATGGTATGGGGATGTTTTGCAGGTGATGGAGTAGGAGATTTGTTTGAAGTAAAGGGTATCATGAAGAAGGAACAGTACCACTCCATCCTCCAGCACCATGCTGCTCCATCTGGACTCAGACTTGTGGGTTATAAGTTTGTTTTGCAGCAAGACAATGACCCTAAGCACTCTGCCAAGCTCTGTCAGGGTTACCGAGACAAAAAAGAAGAGGCAGGTGTTCTTCAAAAGATGGTTTGGCCCCCTCAGTCTCCAGACCTTTCTCCAATTGAGCTTGTGTGGGATGAATTGGATCGATCGGTCAGAAAAACGCGTCCCAAGAAGGTTGGAATGCAATCCCTGGAACATACCTTAAAAAACTTGTGGAACAAATGCCTGGTATATAACAAGCTGTTGTTAAAGCCAGAGGAGGGTACTTTAAAGAAAGCAAATAAGCATCAATAACTCAAATACCTAATAATTATAGTCAAAATATCTTCTGATAAGTTACTCTTTACACAATAGTCATGTTTATTGTGTTGCAAATTATAAATATGAAACTATGATCTTTTTTTGTACAAACCTGATCTTGCTTCTAAACTTTTGGCCTGTAGTGTATATGTTAATGTTTATCAACAACGTGGTTTATTGTATGCAGCAATGTATTGTGGGTAAATGGAGCTTCCAGACCTCATCTTCACATGCAGAATAAAATAAGCTAAAGACCCGGACACGGAGGAGTGAGATCATTTCACCTCAATGATGACATTTAAAAGATGCTTTTATTTTGAAGGGGCTGAAATGGTCATGACAACAGTTCAGGGTCTCCTTGGTCCTTTTTTTGGGGGTCCTGATGGTCAAAGGGGGACAAGTCAGGACCACATCAGTCCAGGATGCTGTATTTTTTTTGTCGGATGGTAGAGAAGGATCCCGCCTCCTTCGCCTCTGATTGGCTAGAAGTGAAACATCATTGTCTGCCGGGTTAGGGTTAGGAGATTCAGAATTGCGATAATGTTCTGTTCGATGTTCAGAGTCGACAGCCCACGCTCGGCTTGAGCATGTGATGATGTTTCATAGCCAATCAGAGGCAAAGGAGGCGGGACCTTCCCCTATCATCCAGGACTCTGCTCCTACAGAGCCCTGCTGTTGTCTGATTGTGGTTTGGGATCTTATGAAGGTCTTCTCTGAAAAAGTTCTGGTCTGGATGGACACAGATGTTGATCCTAAACCTAGAGATCTTGTTTCAAACTGAGGATGCAGCATCCATGAATTCCAGCTCTTTGTTGAAAGGACAACTGGACTAAGGTGCCTAAGGCGAAACGTCTCAAGTAAGTCCAGTTGTCCTTTCCGAAAAGAGTGTAACCCCCAGTGTCAATTTCCACCGCCTTTTTTCCGTTCCTCTGCGGATCGCCGGACTCCACAGCTGATTGCAAGAGTTCTAGTTTTTCCAGAGACCGGAGCATGCCGGATAAATTCAGCACAGATTAACCCGTGCTGGAAAGAAAGTTGGGCACAGACACAAAATAAAACATCCGGCTTCTTATCAAAATAAAACACTCCTTGTTTCAGGTGAATATTTCAAACCATGCAAACGGGCGGAGACGAACAAGTGGAAGGTTTTTAGACGTCATTTTACCCCGATGACACCATGGATGAGGAGATGCTGATTCTAGAAGTCGAGAAGTAGATTTCCTCCTCTGGAAGGACACAATCTACTGCTTATATTTCTTTGTTTCTGTCTTTATAGAGACAACTCGTTATCGCGCGATTGAACGTGAATCTGAGGGTTCTTGTGAGTTTTTGCGATTACCGCTGTCTGTAATCTCCCATGAAATTGGCCTCACAAACAGATCCAGTATGAATTGGTAGACGGCAAAATTGCGGCGCTCCGCATGCGGTGGAAATTAGGGGTTAGATTTTGATCCATCAGACCTCAGGACAGTTCAGTGATATTCAACCTATGATGCAGTGACTCTAACTACAGAGTCCTGATAAAAATAACCCTAAAAACAAACGTCCTGTTTTTTTTTTTACGGCTGCAGTACAAACCCTGAAAATCAGAGTCACATGATCAAAGCATCCAGCCGCATCATAGGCCAACAGCTCTGAGAGAGGTTTATCAGTTATTGAGAACACACACACACACACACACACACACACACACACACACACACACACACACGCACACAGGTCAGTGAGCTGTGATGTAGAGCAGAGCAGATGTAGGGCAGGACAGACAGCATCGCTCCATTACACAACTCCGCCTCGATAACACACACACACACACACACACACACACACACACACACACACACACACACACACACACACACACACACATTTGGGTGATTGTGTATGCATGTGTGAGCATGTCTTGATGACTAACCTGATAACACTATGTATGCTGCGTTTGCGTGTTGGCTCATAAAACTCTGAAAACAGCCTTAAAGGAACAGTACGCCTTTTTTAGCCTCAGAGTTCAGACCTGCTGAGTTAGTCCTCTCTGACCCTGCAGTCAGTCAGCTGATTTAGCCACGAACACGGTCGGTTCTCAGGAGAAGAGCTGGTTCTCACTCAGTACGTTTATATGCACAGTATAATCGGACTAAGCTCATAATTCATTGTTTTCGTTGAATCAGTCTTCTCTCCTTGTCCTCGTATACATGCAGCTGAGAAAATCGAATTATTGACGTGAACGTGTCCTCCTCCCCAAAACTAGGGGGCGGTATGGGTCTTTTCAGAGGCGCTGTTTCCGACCCCATACAACCGTCAACAACAACAGCAGGTCCGTGCCAGACGTCAGAAGTGTCTTCAGCTGCTGCTGGGCATTTTGAGCAAGAAGATGGAGCATCGTACAGCGTTGTTTATGTCCTACATGATGGACGCGCTACTTTTTCTGCAGATGAGATGAACGCTACTCCTCTTCTCTGGTGTTTTTGTTCCGGAGTTATGGGGAACGCACATGCATTGTCCGATCATACTCCGAATACGCTGGTTACATGGTAGAGAATATTGAATTCCAATCGCATTATCTGGGTATCTTAATCGGAGTTCTCCGATTATAGTCGGACTAAGGTGTTTACATGCAATTCAGTTGTCCAGTCTTAATTGGAGTAAGGCGATAATTTGGTTTTCTCAAGTGCCACCTGCTGGTCATTTTGATTTATAATTTTTTTTTCGTGTTAGTATTCAGAACATTTTTTTTATAAATAAATTTGAAAAGTTGAAAACTTCCTTGATTTGGGGTCTTGGCACATCATTAAGGGGTGACGGCGGGTCCCAAGGCCCGACCAGCTGAGAACTGCTGATCTAGATCATCAAGAAAGGCCTGACCCCCTTTGGGATTCTGGCTACCATACCTGTCCAGTTGAAAACAGCTGATTGACAGCTGATCCAGTGGCGATCAGCCTTGAGGAGAATACGCCGACAAGGAAGAAAACTTTAGCGGACTGAGACGTAGACGCCAAGTGACTGAAGGAGAGGAAAAACTCTTTAATCCTGATCTGGACTTGTGGACTTGGAACCAGACCATGGAGCAGAGGTCAACGAAAAAAACTCTAAAATCTGAGTCCAAATGAAAACGCTTTACATCATACCTGTTTCAGGTGTGTGAGTGTGTGTGTAAGTGTGTTATTTACTGGGATTAAACCAGGAGTGGATTCTTGTTCACATCTGAGTCGATTAATTATTTAACCTGATTCTCTCTCAGCCTCAGTGTGTGTGCGTGTGTGTATGTGTGTGTCCTCAGTGTGTGTTTCAGATATTCTCCTCGTGTGTGTGAGAGAAAATTGCATTCATTATTAACAGACACACACACACACACACACACACACACACACACACACACACACACACACACAGAGGTTGTGTGTGCTCTCGGCCTGTGTTTCAGTTTGTTCTCATTTAAAACAGCTGGGATTATAGACGAGTGTGTGTGTGTGTGTGTGTGTGTGTGTGTGTGTGTGTGTGTGTGTTGGGGGATGGTATGTGTGTGTGTTCACTGTGACTCAGTTCCCTCCAGCGTCTGTTTGAAGCTCGACCTCGTTTATTCCTCTCCAGCTCTCTTCCCTCCTCGCCTCCTTTACTCTTTTTTTATCCTTCCTTTTTTCCCCTTGCTTCCTCTCTCCTTGCTCCCTCCTTCCTCGCTCCCTCTCTCTCTCACATTCATGGATCAGAGTCACGCAGGCTGCAGGACCAGGTGATGGTTCACCTGTGAGTCGGAGGTTTCCTGGCTCGACAAAAATCATTCTGATTGGTCCATCAGGTAAACCAATCAGAGTCTGACTCCTCTGAATGTTGGACCTGACCTTAAAGAAGGACGGACCAGACCGGACTGGACTCTGGACTTTGGACCGATCCGGATCATGATGTTACAAGAACTTCAGTTTCTGTTTCAGGTTCAAACCAGAGTAAAACCAGATTAAACAGGTGAGGCAAGTGTTATCTGTGATGTCATCCTCAGAATGCCAATCAGAGAGCTGCCTGCCAACACACCTTCATCCTCTGTTAACCCTCGTAGCAACAGAACTAAAAATACTTCCTGTTTAATATCAACACGACCAGTGACATCATCATCAACATCATCATCGGCGGCGCTGTGTGTGTGTGTGTGTATGTGTGTGTGTGTTTTAGCTCCTCTGAAATATTTACGCTCCTAAAAGCTTTTGGTTCACATGTTATTTTTATAAGACACACACACACACACACACACACACACACACACACACACACACACACACACACACACACACACACACACACACACACACAGTCATGTTTTTTTCATAATACTGATGATTATATTATCAACAAGATCATCATCGTTGTCTCAGCAGCTAATCACTAAAGTAATAATAAAGGATTCTAAATCTGTGTAAATTTTTTGTAGTATTTTTTAAAAATTTTTTATAGTTTTTGCAGTTTTTTATATTTCACAGTTTTTGTATTTTTGTAGTTTTTAGTTTTTGTTGTTTTGTAATTTTTATAGTTTTTGTTGTTTGTAGTTTTTATAGTTTTGTAATTTTTATGGTTTTGTAGTATTTATAGTTTTAGTAGTTTTGTAGTTTTTATAGTTTTTGTATTTTTGTAATTTTTATGGTTTTTGTTGTTTGTAGTTTTTATAGTTTTTGTATTTTTGTACTTTATATGGTTTTTGTATTTTGTAGTTTTTGTTGTTTTGATAGTATTTGTTGTTATGTAGTTATTATAGTTTTTGTAATTTTTGTAGTTTTCTTTTGTTTTGGGACAAATAAATGTTTATCTTCTTTTTTTCATTGTTTTTGTAGTTTTGCAGTTTTTATAGTTTTTGTTGTTGTTTATGTAGTTTTTGTAGTTTTTTGTTGTCTTATATAGTTTTTGTAGTTTTGTAGTTTTTGTCGTTTTTGGGACTAATAAAGGTCAATCTTCTCTTAGTTTTTATTTTTCACTCCGATGTTTCCTTGGTTTGAAGGTTCCTCTCCAGCTGTTTTTTGTACTGCTGAGTCTCAGTTTCTCTGTAAAGAGTCTCTGATGCATTCCGGAAAGTCTGTAAATCTGAACTTTAGTGTCTCAGTGGAGATGTTGTTGTTAGCTGACCTTCATACAGAGAAGGAGATCTTCCCCGGATCAGCAGAGAGGGGAGCTGGAGGTCCTGATGATGGACTGGGGTCCTGATGGAGGACTGAGTTCCTGATGGAGGACTGAGGTCCTGATAGAGGAGTGATTTTCCTCCTCACACCTGATTGGACGATAAAAACAAACTGTTCATTCACAGATTTCTCCTCATACAGTCACTTTATCGATGACACGTCAGTCAGACTGATGACACGCCTTCAATCTGCTGAGATCACATAACACAAACAGACCAATCACAGCCTCTGTGTGTGTGTGTGTGCGTGTGTGAGTCCCTCTGAGACCACAGACTGACAGCAGGTCTCTGAGGGGAGTGGAGGGGGTCCCAGCTGTTCAGTCCATTAAAGGTCAATTTACCAGTTTGATCTGTTTACATTCAGGGTGGGGGGCGAGGGCAGGGTCCAATGTCTGGACAGGACGGCGCTGCTGTAACGACCACATGAAGAAGTCCAAATAATCCAAAACAACCGTTGAACACACGAAGGGTTAAAAGGGTTAACAATCAAAAATGAAGGGGGGAACGATGATGATGAGGAGGAGGAGGAGGAGGAAGAGTTAACGTCTAATGAAGACTGAAGACCTGATCAGGGTCTCAGGACTATCCTGAGACCTCATTAACCTGTGGTCAAAAACCTGAATTTAGATTTTTTATTTTTATCTTATATTTTTGTGAAAATAAAGAAGATGAAAACAGACGGACTGAGTTTGGTGGAGTCAGTACGGGTCAGCAGAAAGACAACAGCGCCATCTACAGGACACTCAGACAACACACACACACGCACACACACACACACACAGTCATGTTTTCGAGGTTCCCACAGTTTTCATAATAATTTTCATAATACTGATGATTATATTATCAACAAGATCATCATTGTTGTCTCAGCAGCAAGTCACTAAAGTGACGCTTTCTGAATTTAAGGTTATAAATTAAAATTAATTAAAAGAGTTTCAGTGGAAATGACCCTGAAACAACCACACTGACGTGTTTGATTATGGACTGATTTCATATTTGACTCGATTCAAACAAAATAAATAAATCTGACCTGAGAGGAAAAAAATACACTCAGAGGATTTTCACAATAAAGTTTCTCAAAAGAGACTCAGAAACTTAAAAGTAACGTTTAAAGACTTTAAATCAGACTCAGTTTTGAGTTATTTGTTTATTGATTGTTTTATTTAAATAATGTAAATTAAAGAGACAAAATAGCCGAATTTAGTCGATTTGAACTCAAACTGAAAATATTGACCTTCCCTGACCCGAGTTTACCGCTGAGTTTTCTGTTTTTATGACCCACAGACAGGACTGTTCAGGGTATATACACGAGTCCTGAAACAAATTTTAAAACCTTTTTCAAGACCATCCCAACATTTTTTAAAACCTCACCGCCACTTCAATATGTAACCATTTACATCAGTGACACTTAGTTTGTGATAAAAACTACAGACCACTAAGACCACTATGGTATGACAGAATTCAAAATAGGCTGGGATAATAACTTGAGGGCAAAAAACAATAATAAAAAAAAAACACTGCTCCACTTAAAAAACAACAACAATCAGGACAGTCATGACATGTGCCTCAGCTCATCTGATTTTGTTTCCAGCAGCTTTACGGAGACAGTTTACGAATGCACCCACAATAGCGTAGTTTCTTTATGTACTGGTTCATCTTTATTTTTTAAAGGGGACCTGCCATCAAAATTTCATACCCATTTTTTTATCATTTTTTCATAATCCTTGATGTCCTCTGATCATGTTTGCAACATAATTTTAGCTGAAAAGTTATTTGATGGTTTGTTTTAGTATGCCTAAAAAACCTTACAGGAAATGAGCTTTGATCTGATTGGATCGCTGCTGTGAAGCCTGCTGTGCTCTGATTGGCTCAGCAGTGGAGGTTCGGATTTTGGTTTATCAATTTTGCTAATATGTGCGAAAGTAAGGTGCCCAGATGTCTGTAATGATATCCGGGGATATTCGGTGCGGCGGCGGCGGTTGCAGGGTCTGTGTGATCACAGACAAAATCTCGGTACCATTTAGTAGCAGCCCATGCCCCTTGTAATAACCCCCTTAAAAACTGTCGTTCAGGACTGCTTACTTGTGCTTCTACCTATTCGGCTACTGTAATAACCGTTGTTCGAGCCAACACGCAACATTTTAGCTCTCATTCATGAAACGCTTAAATCGGGGACATTTTCGGGGACAGCTTTTGCTGGGGACAGGTCATCCAATACGGGGACTGTCCCCGGAAATCGGGGACGTCTGGTCACCTTATGCTAAAGGCTAAAAACGGCAGGTATTAAACCATATATTTTAGACCCCGAGTCCGAAGAGGAGGTGGAAGTTGAAGAAGAAGCCGGAGATCTCCAGCGGTGTTTTCTCATTCATTCTGTCCAGCTTTAAGTTCATTTTCCCGGCAGTGAACCAAAGAAAACACCGGTCGTTTGGAAGAGACCCATAGTGGATACAGTGGTAGCTGGGTCTCGCTCTGGCTGTGACTGAGAACGAGTATGAGAGAGTGGGCGCGGCTCACCGAGGACGCGCTCGTGAATAATAATGAGCAAGGTCAGCGCGACGTCAGAGGGACCTGCTTTTTCAATTGGCCTGGTTTACCCGTTACTTTATTTTAAACCTTTACAGAATGGAAACAACGTAACTGTTTGTTTTCACATTTACAACATAAGACGAACATAATATGGACCTTATCTGACACAAAAAACACAGAAAATTACATTTTGATGGCAGGTCCTCTTTAAGGAAACAAATACACTATTAAATGTTTACAATGTTTTTATGACCTAAACTCTTGGACAGCGAATTCAGAAAAAATACCCTCAAATTTTAAGACTCAGTAAAGACTTTTTAAAATACTTTTTAAGTGTCTTAATTTTCCCAAAATTGATTTATCACCATTTGATACTTTTTAAGACACCACAGATACCCTGCTGTTTCTGTGTGTTAAAAAAAAAACTTACCTTCTCAGGTGAACAGGATGGACGCCTCTCTGATGTTCAGTAATCCCTGCTCCTCATCTTCCAGGCTCACAGTCCGATAGCTGAACACCTGAAAGTTTCAGTCTGACATCTTTGTTCAGAAGAAAAAAAAACGAGTGTTCTCCTTTTCCTTTCGGATTTTTTTTAATTCAAAACCCCTCGGTATGTTTTTCATGTTACACCACATAGTCAAACACAGTTTAATTTTCCCCACAGACAGGATGATAGAGGGAAAGCAACAGCTGGGGTCAAAGGTCAAAGACGTGGGGCAACTATCACCTTGCTGCAGAAAAAACAAGGACATCTGTAAAATTATTTTATACCTTAAAAATGATAAAAACAAAAACTGGAAACTGAGCCGAAAGTCTATTTACAGTATTGCCTTAAAAAACAGTTAGAGCTGACCTCAGCAGGTCTGACAGGCGTGACATTTGACCTCCTACACTCTGAAAAACAACAGCAAGCTGTGACGCCGCCGCTGCCGCTTCACTGCAGAGGAGGTAAAACAGGCTGCGTTCAAGAGGACGAGTTCTCTTCTGTTTCAGAAAAATCTTAGAACGGAGAAAATGGAAATGTGATCATTTAACGACATAAAAATGACAAAAAACGAGATTTCTGACCGAGAACCGAATTTCATCTCCGAGTCACTGAGACGGAAAAATGAAAAAACTGATAAAAATTATGAGATTAATCTAAAAAATTTTAAGATCTAAGCTTTATTTCCAGTCCCTCATGATTACCGTCATGAAGAGTCGAAAAACTTTCTCTTTTTATGTTTGAAAATGTTTAATACACCCCCGAAATTTACATTTGAATTTTTTTTTAATTTTACGAAAACATTTTTGCGATAAAAAAAACCTAAGATGTTGAAATTACAGGTGACTGATTTTAAACAAAACAAGCAAAAACGGGCAAAAAACTTGCAGGAGCTTTAAACGACTTAAATACTTTACTGGAAATAAATCTTTAAAAAATCTAAAACTTAAAAAAAATTTAGAATGATTTTTTTCTTTTTTATTGAAGACAAATTTAAATGTTGGCACTCGTTCTGTCTGAAACGTAAAGAGAAAACCTCTGATCGGCCTGCTTTTCCAATGATCCTCTGCTTTCCCTGTGACACAGTAACGCCGTCAGCTGTAATTTTTCAGTGTTTAAATCGGAGAAAAAGCGAAAAGTTTACAGCATTTCAATGTCGGAGCTATACAGAGGCTGCTGCTGCTGCGGGACAAGGATAAACGAGTCAGGAGAGAAATTATCTGCTCCATTTGAACAATTCCTTTTTTATTAATGATCTGTTCATTTTTAATGATTCTCTCATTTGTTTTGAATAATTTTTTGTTTTATCATCTGTTTTTGTTTTTTTTTTTAAGATCAAATTGTTCATTTGTTTTTATCAATCTGTTTTTAAGGATGTTTTTTTTTTGAGTCTCTTTGTTCTTAATGACTCATTCATTATAATCGATTGGTTTGTTTTGAATAATTCATTTGTTTTGAATAATTTTTTGTTTTATTATGGTCTGTTTGTTTTTAGTGACTCATTTGTTTTTACCCGTTTGGTTTGTATTTAATGATTCGTTCGTTTGTTTTGAATAATTCTTTGTTTTATTATTATCTGTTTTTTTAGTGACTCGTTCATTTTTATCAATCGGTTTGTTTTTAATGATTCGTTCATTTTTTTTTATCGATCATTTTGTTTTTAATGATCCATTTGTTTTATAATGACTCATTCATTTTTATCAATTGGTTTATCTTTCCAGGTCTGTGACGATCAGAGTGGATTGCCTGTTATTTTCTTATCGTTTGTTTCCTGCTGGATCGACTCACCCTGTTTCAGCTGGAGGAAGTAGAAAGTTTCTGACAGCTGAATCAGACAAAACAGGTGTGTCTCGTTTCAGGCTCCGCCTCCATCATACTCCCACCATGATGCCCAGATACTCTGCATCATGTGACCTACAGAGCAGCTGTGATTGGACAGTTTGATAAGTCTGATCAGATTGAAAAACCCAGAGTACATTTTGGAAAGTTTTAGCATTTCTAAAGGCAAGGTTTTGGTCAACATAAAAATGAACACCTTCCTGGTTTTTAGCTGTAAGGGGGCGGAGCCTGAAGAGTGACACATCAGCGGTCTGAACATGATGGGGATTGGGCAGTTTGAAGACGAGTTGCTGGCTTTCACATCAAACTAAAAACAGCTGATCGGGACAATAAAAGAAAAAACACATCAGACTGAGATTTAGCCCCACCCGCCCCTGGAAACCCCCTACAATAAATCAAACACACACACACACACACACTGGGAATATCTCTTCACGTCTACAGCAGATGAGACGGGCAGAGTCAGCAGAGTCATGTGATCTAAAGGTCCAAACATGGCGGGGACAGAGATCCTGAAGCTCGTCCCTTATGGTCCTGTTCAAGTCCAGATGAAGTGGGTTTTGGGTCTAACTAATGGAGTAGGTCAGGTGTGGAGTGGGCTGGGAGTCCGGTCTGAAGGTCAGGTGATATGAGGCTGAGGCTCCCCTGAGTGAGTCTGAGGTGGATCTGCTGATCTTCAGCTCCTGCATCACTCTCAGGTGTGAATAGAATCCTCCTGTTGGATCGTCCTGGACTCCAGAAAGTCCAGATTACAGGGAGACCAGAACCAGTGAGGGTCAGCTTAGACCACCAGACCTCTAACTTCAGAGCTGCTGATGTCCAAGACCATCACTCTTTATGTAAAACTTTGTGGGGGGGAATTTTTCGTGACCACGAGCTGCCTGAGGTGGTTTGACCTCATCGTTATCGGACCCTGCCTGAACCCTAGACCATGTGGAGGTCTTTGAGGATCTACAACCAGAATGAAAACGTAAAGGCGAAGACTGAGCTGTGAGTCCACCTGAAGTAGGAGCCACCAAATAAAAGGGGCGCAATAGCAAGGAACATGAGCAGATACGCACTTGAACCTTTTCATGCTATGTTGGATTATCTGTTGATCTTGGAAACACTGACGGAGGTCTACTGAGGACCTTCACCCCGGTCTACAGCTGGACTAAGACTTATCTGCTCTGTTTTACCCTCAGAGGTGGACCACACACTCAGTGATTTAGCACTAATGACGAAGGGAGTGTGCGAATCAGCACCTCCAAGTCCGAGGCCAGGGCCCTCAGTCGGAAAAAGGTAGATTGCCTACTCTGGGTCGGAGGGGAGATCATGCCTCAAGTGGAGGAGTTCAAGTATCTCGGGATCTTGTTCACGAGTGGGGGTAGAATGGAGCGGGAGATCGACAGGCGGGTCAGAGAGGCATCAGCAGTGATGCGGACGCTTAACCGATCAGTCGTGGTGAAGGAAGAGCTGAGCCGTAAGGTGAGACTCTCGGTTTACCGGTCGGTCTACATGCCGACCCTCACCTATGATCATGAACTTTGGGTAATGACCGAAAAAACAAGATCGCAGATACAAGCGGCAGAAATAGGTTTCTTCTGCAGGGTGGCCGGGCTCAGCCTTAGAGATAGGGTAAGGAGCTCGGACACTCGGGGGGGCGCTCAGAGTAGAACCGCTGCTCCTCCACGTTGAGAAGAGTCAGCTGAGGTGGCTAAGGCATCTGGTTAGGATGCCTTCTGGACTCCTCCCGTTAGAGGTGTTCCAGACATGTCCCACCGGATAGAGGAATTATATCTCTCGCCTGGGAGGAAGAACTGGTGGCAGTGGCAGGGTCGAGGGCCGTCTGGGCTTCCCTCCTGAAGCTGCTGCCCCAGTGACCCGGACAAGCTAAAGAAAACAAAACGGGGAAAAAAAAACACAACAAAGGGGGTGGCGCTTACAATGAGTGCATGTTTGCTTTCTACGAGCTGGATCTGTGGTATCTACAGCTGTTTCCACCAGGTCTCCAGGTTTGGTTCTTTTTGTTTGATTTCCTTCTCAGAAGAATAAAGTCGGATCTTTTGTGAACAGATCCAAAGGCGCCTACTTTTCTGGAACCTCTGTAGATTTCAAGAGCATCTATCTGGCCCTGAGGGGCGGAGCCAGACACACTGCAGTTGGTTGAATGGTCAAGACAACCATCATTGAGGAACCGCCAAACAAGATCAGGGTTTATCACACCAAACTGTGCTGAACCGGACCGGACCTTCAGGTTGGTCAGGGACCCGAGGTTTAAGGGAAACTTTTCTGATTGACGGCAGATTCAGCTCGTGGAAACCAAACCAGTACAGACCAGTTCAGATGAAAGGACTTAAACCTCAGAGCTGATGTTTCAAAGGACCGGTCTAAAGATCCCGGATCCAGTAGAAACAGAACCCTCAGGTGAGACTTTTGGGTGCTTTCAGATTCTGGCAAAAGAATCTGAGTTTCCCCTTTTTGGTTCTGGAGTGTTTGGGTCGGTGCCGATTTAAGGCTCGGTTTGGACATAACACGCTCCTGGAACTTTCTTTAACAGATAGGGTTAGTCCGTTACTTGTTTGTAACGAACATCTGCGGGGTCTCGTTGACCAATCAGGCCTGAGCTTTTCTCTGAGGGTGGAGTCTTGTGGTCTGAGCTGAATGAGCAGAAAAATCTAGTTTTTAAAGAGACAGCGTCGGATCTTTAAACAGGAAATGACCTAATCGGTTCATCTGAGCCGCAGGAAGAGCGAAGTGCTGAAATCTGGTTCAAGGAGGAAGTGACATCATTCAGAGTTCTGGTTTTTACACCTTTGTGCTAACAGAAGGGCGGTGCATGGTGGCGGCAATAGGAGGCTGGAAAATCTGCTGCTGCTGTGGACTTTGGGTAGATGTTGGACTGGGATCAGAGTCCGGGATGAGGAGAGGAGGCGGGGCTTACCCCTGAAGGTCTTAAAGGGAGGCGTGTCCTGATAAATCTTCTCTAACGTAAAGCAATGAGGATCTAAGGAGGAGAAACTATCGATCACACTGTTCCTGTTGCTGCGGCGGCGGCCTGATAGCGATCCATCCGTTTGTTTGTTTGTGTAGTTGTGTTGTTGTTTGTTGTCTGGCAGAGGTCGGGTCCGGAGAACGACTGAGACGGACAGAAACAGGACAGGATGACATAGACGACCGTCAGCTGGGTGGCTAGTCGTCGTCATCATCATCGTCGTCCTCGCCTTCGTCGTCCACGTCTCTCTTCCTCTTCTGTCCTTGAACGCCTGCTTGATCCTCTGCGGAGAGATAGAGCAAGATTCGACCAATCAGAGGAGGCCATGAGGTGTCTGCAAACACGTAAACATCCCATGATGCTTCACTCACCCTCCTCTTCCTCCTCTGCATAGTCGTCTTCATCCTCGTCTTCTTCCTAAGATGAAGCAATGACGCAACAGGAAGTTTGAGCTCAGTTTTAAGGATAATCTTTCAAAATAAAAGACAGAGCTTTCATAAGGAAAAAACAAGGGGAGTCAATACTTTCAAAATAAAAGTCACAACGCTCGAAGGAAGGGTTGAGAAGTCAATACTTTCAAAATAAAAGACACAATGCTCTGAAGAAGGGTTGAGGAGTCAATACTTTCAAAATAAAAGACACAATGCTCTAAGGAAGGGTTAAGGAGTCAATATTTTCAAACTAGGACAAACAGATAATGAGTAGCAGCTAGGCTGTGATTGGACGGCACTAATGAAGTGTTAAATGACATCATCACGTCTACGCCACAGTGACCAGGCTGACCTCCATTTGACCGACTCTGACGGGCTCTTTCAAAATAAAATATGTTTTTGATAAATTACAGCATTCAGTTAGACGACAGTGAAGTAAAATTCTTATCACACAGAAAACAAAACAAAAAATATTAAATTTATGACAACAATGGAAAAAGAAAAAAAATTCCTCAAATTTAAACTTTTTATATACATTTTTTTGAGGTGACGCTGTTTTAATTTGTAATATAAACAAAAAAATTATCAATATAAAATATTAAGCTGTGTTTGGATTGACATGATGGCCCAGAAGGTCAACAGAGTAAAGATTATTTAATGTGAAAAAATAAATAAATAAATAAATTCTTAAGAATTTTAATAAGGACTGCAAAAATAAAAAGTAAAATACACACACACGTTTATTTTGTAAAACAAATTCACTCCTTAAAATTGTTTTGTCATGTTTATTTTTGTATTTCCTCTTTTTTTGGTATTTCTGATTTTATTGAAATTTTTTTGTTTGTTTTTTCACATCTTTTTTTAACCCTGTGGATTTTTTTGCTGTTTGAGGTTTCAGTGTTTTTATTCCGTGTTTGGTTTTTGATGTTTAGTGAAATATTTTGTTGTCATGACATTTCTGTGCAGTTGTCCTTCAGGGCCACTGTATATTTGTTTTATATCTATTAGACAGGCAGAATGAGACTTTGGACACGGTGATGTGCAGATTAAAAAAAAAAAAAGAAAGTTTGATGACTTTTGAACTTTTTCTTGTTCCTGAACGTTTGTCCTCAGAGACGGCCATGTTGGTGCTGAACCTGGTCAATAACACGGTCACACCTGATGACACACCTGAGGTCGATCCTGCAGACCGGCTCAATTCAGACCAGGCAGAGAACTGGTTCATCCAAAACCTCCTCCTGACTGCGCTGCTTGGTGTCAGGTTAACTCTAAGATTCAGATGAGCTGCAGATTCATGACCAGGTGGAAAAACTTCTCACTTCTGACCTTTGTCCAGGTGAGCTGGTCTCTGAGTGACCCTTTATTTTACCTGTGGTCTGGACCCTCTGCTCTGTCCTATCCATAGACTGTATATAAGATGGACAACCTGGTTCCGCCTTCCCCCTGTATACGGATTTGAAGCCAGAAAGCTCTCTGTAATTCCGGGTTTTTCTCCACTTCCTTGAAACCAGAGCTGCGCAGTAGTGATGCGCGAATTTGGCCGCGCAGTCGCCGAGAGTCCCTGTGATGACGCTCGGCTCAAACAGCATATCCCCCCGGAAGAGCTATGCAATCCCTGAACGCCCATAGGCTGTACTAGGTGTCAATCATAGAAAACATGAACCCCCTAATAACTTTTGAAAACGGAGCTGTACAGAAAAAAAAGCACTTGGGCACAAACCAGTCTTACAATAACTACATGTCAACATCACAAGCAGGGGGGAGAAAAATTTATGTTCTGTGTAATACATTTCTAAAGTTTGTCCACAGTCCTATAAGCTTTGCTGGCGGAGGCGGGATTTATGACCTGTACTGCAGCCCACCATCAGAGGGTGCTGTTCTCGGAGTGGCTTCACCCAGTGAGGAGGCAGACTCTGTCCATCTTATATACAGTCTATGGTCCTATCATTACTGAAGGGGTTAATTCAGGTGTAGCTCCGCCCCTCTGTACCTGCCTAGCTTGACCTCTGCCTCTGCGTCCCGTTGTCTGCCTGGCTGACACAGGTGCATGATGGGAGGATGAGGGTGTGTCTGAGCCGGCCCTGGATCGACCTGCAGGCTGAAGCCTGAATTGCCCACCTGATCGGCACGGTTCACTTGAAAGCTCAGCCCCACCTCTCCTCCCTCTGAGCCGTCCTCATCCTCGTCTTCATCGTCCTCGTCGTCGAAGTCTCCTGTTGGCCCCGCCCCGTCCTCGCAGTCATCATCTGCAGACACACACACATACACACACACACATTCAAAAACAGCAGACAAGTCACCTGAGTTCGTTCACACAAACACGCTCTTTATTCACCTTCATCGTCGGCCTCGGAGTCAGGTGCCTCGTTGTCCTCCTGGTCGAAGCCGTCCAGGTAGGTGACCTGAGGCAGCAGCTCGAACACGCTCTCCCTGTAGTCCTCCAGAGACGTGATCTCACAGTTAAACAAGTCCAGACTCTGCAGACTCTTCAGGTTTTGCTGCAGAGAGAAAAAAACGAGTGAATCACCAGAAACATTAAAAAATAAAGATTCTGTCAAACTTTCATTTTTTACACAAAGTCAAACATTCGAGGGTCAGTAGGAGCTGATGGTGGCCCACCACACGTGGATCTGTCAGAGAAGTCTGGCTTCAAATGGTCCTCTCGACTCCTCTATTCAACCTGATACTGTAATACTCCTAAATCAGATCTAAATGACACCTATTATTTTGCTGGTTAGTTTCGCTGCTGAGTGTAAAGCGGATGGGATGCGAATCAGCACCTCCGAGTCCGGGTTGGTCCTCAGTTGGGGAAATGGTAGATTGCCTTCTCCGGGTCCGAGGGGAGGTCCTGTCTCAAGTGGAGGAGTTTAAGTATCTCGGGATCTTGTTCACGAGTGAGGGTAGAATGGAGCGGGAGATCGACAGGCGGGTCAGAGAGGTGCATTGGAGCGGCATCAGCAGTGATGAGGAAGTTAACTGTTCAGTCGTGGTGAAGAAAGAGTTGAGCCGTAAGGTAGGACTCCGACCCTCACCTATGGTCATGAACTTTGGGTAATGACCAAAAAACAAGATGGAGAAATACAAGTGGCCAAAATATGTTTCCTCTGCAGGGTGGCCAGGCTCAGCCTTAGAGATAAGGTAAGGAGCTCAGAGTAGAACCACTGCTCCTCGATGTCGAGTGGAGTCAGCTGAGGTGGCTAAGGCATCTGGTTAGGATGCCTTCTGGACGCCTCCCGTTAGAGATGTTCCGAACATGTCCCACCAGGAGGAGACCTCGTGGCCGACCCAGGACCAGGTGGAGGGATTATATCTCTCGCCTGGCCTGGGAGCGCCTGGGAATCCCCCCGGAGGAGCTGGTGGAAGTGGCTGGGGTGAGGGCCGTCTGGGCTTCCCTCCTGAAGCTGCTGCCCCCACGACCCCGACCCGGTTAAGCAGAAGATAACGAAACGAAACTTATATAATTTTATTCAGGAAGAAACCTGATTGGCTGATGGATTTTCTTCATCTACCTCCAGGATGTACCGCTGAATGTCCTTTCCAGCTGACAGGAACTAAGGTGGTATCAGGGCAGTGTTTGTGTGTGTGTGTGCGTGTGTACTGACCAGCGCCTCCACATTGCTCAGCTCTTTGATCTTGTTGCCGCTCAGGTTGAGGTAGGTCAGGTTGGGACATTTTTCTGACAGAGTCTCCAGAGATCCAGACAGGTTGTTGTCGCTCAGCTCCAACTGGACACACACACACACACACACACACACACACACACACACACACACACACACACACACACACACACACACACACACACACAAAGAGCCAATTCATGACCTCTTCACCTGTGGGATCTGACTCAGGTACGAGTGACTGAGAGACCGTTTGGACTTGGATCAGAGTTTAAGTGTGTGTGTGTCTGTGTTACCTTGCGTAGTTTGGGCAGTGAGGGCAGTTTAGACAGCGAGGTCAGACCCACGTTGACCATACTGAGGAACTCCAGCTCGGTGAACTCGTCTGTGAGACCCTCCACCTCCCCGTCTGCAGAGCGACTGTTGTCCAGCACCAGTTCGGCGATCTAACAGAAACAGACAGAAAGACGGAAACATTCAGAGTTCGGCGGTTTGAAAGAAAGTTTATGTCTGTTCTCCATCTGCTGCTGAGCTCCCTGTACTCAACCTTCACCTAGGTTAAAGCTGCTGTTCCTCTCATGTCCATTAGGAGCTGCTGGTGAGTACCGCTAACTGTGCTGGAGTCAGAGCTGCAGCTGTTTTATCTAACCTGCAGAGTATTTATCATTTTTAGGTCTAAATACATAAATTAAATGTTGTAATATTAGCTCTTGGGTGTTTTTAACTTCAGGATGTTAAATCATGTTAAATGCAGCTATATTCAGTCCAGCCACCTGTTTGCATTATCTGCTGTTTACTGAATCAACTGAAAGGCTTTCAAATGTTATATTTTCATTTAAAAAAAGTAGTTTGATCTTTATAACATTCGATTTTTATTTATTTCACATTATTGGTAATATTGTCAATGACCATTATTGTAACCCTGAGCTGTTGAACTCCTCACAAGTACCTACACCCTGAAGTTAAAACAGATGTTTTTGTATTGAGGTTCTATTTTATTATGTTTAAATATTTTAGTTTTAATCAGATGTGTTGATATCAAATCTAGAATAACTGCATAAATATTTAATATCAGTCAAATCTGGGGGAAAACCTCCTGATAACCTCCACAGTCTCAGACCAACAGCATGAACTCTTACCTTGCCATGATGAACAGACACAAAACCAGAACCAGACTTTTGGACCATCTGCCTTTTAAGTGTCTTTTCAAAGATGTTCTCCGCACATTAACATGCACACATTAACTACATTAAATGACTTTTATTTGCGATTTGTTGGATTGTCTATAGTGTGACCCATTTGTGTATCCCTCCTTTTATTTGCTTGTATGTATATGTGTGGCTTGGTTCTGTGCACACGTGTTTAGAAATTGGTGAGAGTATGGATGTTACACCAGCAGCACCTGTTGGTGGTACTTAACCTGAATAATAAGGAATCACCAAAAATGGACGAACTAACTTACTGATTGGAGCTTTTCTCTAAAAGAGAGGGAAATATGGTTATAATCATTCGGACTGGTGGTGCACTGATGGTGAAGTGTGTTGGTGTGAGACGGTGGTTCACTGGGGACTTTGTTCACACTGATGGCTGCTTTTATTTCCCAGAGTTCCTTTGGTTCCTCGGCTTACATAATGGCAGAGCCTCAGCCTGCAGGCCAACAGGCATCAATGAAGACCACTACAGAATACTATACTACATTATACTGCCCTACACTGTGTCGGAGAGCTGTTGCTGTGGCTTTAACCTACTATAATCTATGCACTCTGTGTGTGTGTGTGTGTGTGTGTGTGTGTGTGTGTGTGTGTGTGTGTGTGGTGGGGGTTGTCTTCTGAGCCTCCACACACCATCTGCCGGCATCCCCCTATTCATAAAACATGACACCCGCAGCTTGTCTGGTGGATCAGTTCGTAGATGAAGTAAATTCAAAGTAAACGGCTCAGAGTGTCTATAAGTGTGTTATTTAACTCAGGCTGTATGGTTGGCAGTCCGGTTATATAACTTAATCATACACATACTCACACACACACACACACACACACACACACACACACACACACACACACACACACACACTGAGCGTTGTTAAATCAGTCGACACAAACCGAACAACAGTGCGTTCACACTGTTTAAACCGATTCAAGTCGGTCATCATGAACACCGACAGATAATTTCACTAACGGTTCTTCGACGAACCGTCGGTGAACCGCGAGGCTCCAAAGACCGTAATCTGTTTCCCTTTAAAGCCTCGTCGAGTAACGCCATTTTGACTCGTTACGACGCTGTTATTCAAACATTAACCGTCGTCTTCACACGGTTACCCAGCTGTAGAAACGCCCTGTGTCGGACCGCAGTGTCTAAAACGTCTTGAACGGTCACCAAACAGAAGCTTTCGTCGACATCTCGGACATTTTTCCGTCGAAACGGCCTTTAATCCGCTTCCTGTAACGCTGAGCAGGTAACGCGTTACTCTCTAGCACGAGCTGCCCACTCAAAATGTCTGTGTCCGACCCACGTCCGCCACCGAGCACAGCTGCGCGGAAATGTGAATAAAGAGCTTAAAATAGACACAGTTTTCACTTATTGTCCGAATTTAACTATGAAAACGCCGCTTAAATGAAGGGCTGTAGGTTTTCCGTCGAAGTTTAAGCCGCTCACTACTTAAGATGTCCGCTGACAGAAAACGACGAAGCACCAACCGACGCTGTTGTTGTGCAGGTTGACACGCAGTGTATTTTCCGGGACGAAAGCCCGCGCCGAGAGCGGAAAAAACAGCCCGGTACACCCGCCCGCCATTATCGGGAAACCAGTGGGCTTGTTCCGTTTTATTGACGTTTTAAACGTGGTAATATCTGTTAAACTTCGGTGCAGGTGATGACTGATAAAAAAAGTTAAAATGTTCCCATCGGAGAATTAGGGAAAGGGTTGAACTGATGGCGGGTGAGCAGGTTCATCGTATCTAAGAGTCCGGTGGGATAGGAACCGAATTATAAGTCTTGAAATGGGTATAATGGTGTAATTTGTGTCCGTTGAGCTTCCCGGAGAGACGGGGTTTCACGGGAGCAGAGGAGGGGGCGGGAGGACGGATGGACGGAGCCGTTAAGATGCTTCCACAACCATCATCGGGCGGCAGTTATTAAACTAACCGGATCAATTTGAGGGTTCACGGGCTTAAAGTGTGAACGAGTGCCGACCTGCCGCCTGGTTGTTCTCCTTAAGTGTGGGCTCCATGTGGGAGCAGCCAGGCTCCGGTCGCACATCACCTCGCGGGTTATTTCAAGCAACAATTAAGCTGTTATTTAAGTTTAAAAAACGACTCACCTCCGCCAGACTCCTGTTCCGCAGCTCCAGGTTGATCCTCTTCTTCATGTCCATTCTGAGATATCCCGGTAGAGTGGTTTAAATTCGGCCGGTGAACAGTTGAGAAAGTCCCGGGGATCAGAGCCGAAGCTGCTCTCCTCTGATGGCCACAGTTTGCCTACTGATCCTCCATGATACCTCGCGCCCTGCCCCCTCCTCTTCAGCCCCGCCTCCACCGCTCAGGGTTGGCCGTGTGGCGCTTCGACGCCACTGATTAGACGATTTATCCATCAATCTGTTCTGATCGGCCATAATCCACGCGCTGGGCGGTAATATCCCAAAAGCCACTGACAGCTTGTAGGAGCCTTATGGGAGCTGTAGTTGGTCAATATTGAATAATCGCTAATTTGTTAATAAAAGCGTTAAAATATCTGAACCGAGGAGGTAAAAAAGCGCAGACAAGAGGTCGAAGGTGAAACTGTGAGGTGAAAGTAATCCGTTTTTCCACACGGAGGTAATATAACCTTGTGCTAATGCTGGGCTTGTCCTCACATCAACACATCCAACAAAAATCATGGATTTTATCTGAATTTAGGGTGAAATAAATTAAACTTGCCTTAGAGCGTTAGACTCAAATATATTTGTCATTAATGAAGTTTAAAAATTGAACTTACCTGTTAAAATATTTTACAAAACACTCTTTCTATAGACCACTGGTGTAAAATTGATGCACATCTTTTTCAGGGTTTTCTTGTCCCTTTCTTTTCTCAATCATGTTGCTGCCACAAATTTTAAAATAAACACGTTTCTGTTAAAAATAAATAAAATAAAAGCAGTTTCAGCATTTCATATTTTGACTTTGAACCGTTTCAATAAAGATTATACTCAAAAATGGGCCACTGACAGCTTGTAGAAGCCTTATGGGAGCTGAAGTTGGTAAATATTGAATAATCGCTAAATTGTCAATAAAGTGTCAAAATATCTGAACTGATGAGGTAAAATGCGCAGACAAGAGACTGTGAGGTGAAAGTGACTTGTTTATCCACACGGAGGTTAACTTAAGCTGCAGAAATATAACCTTGTTCTCACATTCAGGCTGGATTGAAAACACATCCAACAAAAATCATGGATTTTATCTGAATTTAGGTGGAAATAAATTAAACTTGCCTTGAAGCGTTAGATTCAAATATATTTGTCATTAATGAAGTTTAAAAATTGAAGTTACCTGTTAAAATATTTTACACAACACTCTTTTTATAGACCACTGGTGTAAAATTGATGCACATCTTTTTCAGGGTTTTCTTGTCCATTTCTTTTCTCAATCATGTTGCTGCCACAAATTTTAAAATAAGCATGTTTTTGTAAAAAAAATAAATCAGTTTCAGCATTTCATATTTTGTCTTTTGACTGTTTAATTAAATATTACCTGTTTAAAATGAGGTATGAAGACACTATTTTTAAGAGTTACAGTAGCACAAAGTGTTATGAGGTTATTGTTTCTTTTGCTTTGTTTGTTTCTTCCTTGTTTTATTTTGTTTTGTTGTTTTTAAGCGTGTACTGTATTAAGTTGATGTAGATCTTGTTTTGTAATACAAAATCATGAATGTACTTTATTTATCCATAATTATCAGGTTCATCTAAACAAGTTGCAAAGAAGCTTGGTGTGAGTTATTATTTAAAGGGAAGGGGTGGGAGTTCATAAATTCTTCTTCTCACTCCTTTTTCAATATGTATTTCTATGTTTTATGTTTAAATATTTTGCCTTATTTTTCTTGTGTTATTTTTTATATTTTTGGTTTGCATATTAGAAATAAACTTCGATCAATCAAAATTTTTTTTATTTAAATATGGATTCTATCACTTTTGCTGGACTCAGGGTTATTAAAATGAACTTAAATCAATGTTGCTGTTTTATTAAAGCCTCTGAAGAAGGTTGTAAATAAAATGTCATTTCCTTTTTTTGGCAGAGGATGTATTTTGCTGTAGTTACCTCTTAAATAAAACCTGATTGCAGTGGTACCGCCTTTCTTTAATTAATATTTACTTCTAATTAAATGTGATCCTCACCTACATGTCTGTAGATAAGCTGTAATTTTCCAAGCTTTGCTCTCCCTCTGTCTCATTTATCCAGTTTTTAAAAAGGCATTTTCTCCTGAGATGCTGAATTCAATGTCAAAAACAGAGTTTATACAACTCCTCAAATATTTTATAAAACTAAACCTGAACAGACATATCAACGACCAAAGCATGAAAAACACAAGAGAGAATCCCTTATTGGAAAAAAACAAGTGTTTATATCATAATCAACAATGCAGGCAGCCATCATGGTCGTCATCATCATCATCATCATCATCATCATCCTCGCCACGATGTAGCATTCAAGGAACAGTTAAAAAAATACAACTTTATATATATATACATAGAAAAAGTTGGCTTTACTGAGCTTATAAAAATAACTTTGACGCTCGATGATTAGAGGAGGAGTCTGGCCTACAGTAATTTATCAATAACTGATAATCAGCTGAGAGACTGAGCCAGGACACACCGGAGGAGGACTTAAGAGAAAACCGAGGCCTTTGGGTATCCCGGGTTGAAGGTTTGGGAGAGAAACTATCACTGTTTCTCTTGAATCATCCTGCTGCTGGAAAATCAATAATTGAATGTGTTTTAGGGGAAATCACAAAATGATATCAGGACAAACTGAAACCATATAATCGTGACTGATCTCTTTCCTGCAGATTCGTCCATGTTGTGACTGCAGCAAACAGTCACTGTCATCATGAACCAAACCGATCTGATGAGCGTTTTAGTCCTGGATCCATCCTGAAAATGAGCTTCACTCGTTCTAAACCCCCTGCAGCTCTTGAAATTTGTTTAGAAACACTGACAAGGTGGTCATCTGGTGAGGAGCTTTGTAAAAGACACAGGCGGTTTATTACTCAGAGAGTTCAACTGAATCAGAACCTTTAAAATCTCAAACAGGCCTGCAAACGTACATTGAGAACATCATCTAGAGCTGGACGCCTGCAGCATGAAATCTGAGGGACCACAAGAGCTGAGAAAGACCTGAAAATCTGAGGAGAACACGGTCCAGATTGGTGATTTATCGGTGATCAATACGTACAATATCTTCATTTACAGGAAACTCACAACCCTAAAAAACACAATCCAGGAGCCCTGACGACCAAGGATCTCAGGTGTGTATCTGAAATGTTGATTTTTTTCTTCTTGGATGAAAACATTGTCTCTTCTTGAACTTTGCCGTTTTTTGAGTTTCCCTTTATGTTCTGATTTGAACGTATTGTTTAGGTTTGGATCGGCCTTTATCGTGTTAATTAAGATTATTTTTGAATGTGAATATTTGCTTTTAAAAACTCCTCCCATTTGTGCTCAGACACTAGAACCAGCAGGTTAATTAGGGATGAGAAATAATGTGGACGTAAATCTGTGGAGCACTAGACCGCAGACCTGAATAGAAGCTGTGTAAATCTGCGATAAGTTACACTTCCTCACGCTGAACTGAAATTGATTTTTTAAAATTTTGAATTTTGAAAAATAGAGTTTCAGATCAAATGAATTCAGTTTGAAAACATTAATTTGAAGTCCTGCTTTTCTAATTTAATTTCAGTTTTCAGAGGCACAAATCTTGGCCCATAAGCCTACTGGTGTTTGAAGAGATGTGCCGTCTCCTTAGAGCGAGATCAGCAGAACCACCTGAGGGTCCAAAAACCAGATTCAAATATGGAGATCTTTAAAGTTTCACCTGGCAGGTCTGATTCAGTTCTCTCAGGATCATTGTGGAGACGGTTTTCAGGTGATTGAAGAAGAAAGGTCGAAAAATGTTTGGCTTGTCTGAGACCATGACTTTAGTTTTTAAGAAGTGAACTCAACTTTGTTGGAATCATAAACATGACAGTCTCATCTCAAAAAAGAAAAAAAAAACTTTATCAAGACAAACATGAAAAGGTAGAAAAGCAGTTCAGTTCATATTTGTAGTGTCCACGATTCTCTGACTGTCGCCTTCTTTCAGATTTGCACCAGGAGGGGAAGCAGAACGGTGCGACGGATTCGCACCTAGGTCTGAAAACATTGTCCCAAGTATCAAGACGGCTGTGAAGGCATCAGAGGAACACGGTTCAGATTCAAGGATTTACAAAAAGAAGAAAGTCAGACTCAGCAGAAAAATGGGATACAGCCGGGGGAGAAGGAAGTCCTACAAACTTAAAAACACTCATTTTCCTGCACTGAGAAGATCCTGGAGTTCGTGGATTTTCAGCAGGTTCAAAGAAAAACAGGGAAGCGAGCATGAAACTTCCACCTGACCACAGGGGGTGGTTTGAGTTGGCCTGATTTTGGCCCCGCCTCCTCCGTGGTGAACAGGTTTCTTTCCTCATTGCTTCGTTTCATTGGTCTGTATCAGAGAACAAACATGGATGCTCCTCTGGGATCTGTCTCAGCTCCCCCTCCTCCTCCATCATTTTTACCTCTATATGTTTTTTGGGATCCACAATGATACATAAAAGCTCGTCTGTCGGGGTTTAGAGTTCGATGAGTCCATCTTTTTTCCGTTATCTCCTTCTCTAAAGTGAAGGCCATCATTCGGGGAATCCAAACGGCGCTGATTAAGGGCTTCGTTAATGAGTCATTTCTCTTTCTTTTCTCTCTCTCACTCAGGGATTCAAAATGGCGCTCTGTCCTCTGTCACGGGTGTTTAGTGTGTTTGAAACTGTCTTTGTCCTCGTTGTTCTGAAACGCCATTGTCTCTCATCTCTGTAGTCTTTGAGGATCCAAAGTGGCATCCATCACTCTCTCTGTTAATGGGATGCTAAATAGTCACACCAAGTCACTTCCTGTTATGATTTGTCTCTGTTGTTCTGCCCTACCCCCTCCTTCTGTTAAGAGCTGACCTCGGTCGTCTCCGCCCCCGTCTCCACCAGCGTCACCTGACCCTCCTCCCCCTCCATGATGATCCCACCCTCCTGCAACACCACCATCTCTCCCTCTTCCTCCACCATGCCAGCTGCCGCCTCCTCCTCATCCTCCCCTCCTACCACCTCCTCAGGGCTGGCAGCGTTGGCTGCGGTGGTGGTGTTGTTGGCGTTGGTGTTGTTGGCCTGGCTCTGGGACATGGCCTCCAGTTTAATGCGGTACTCCTCGGCCTCCTGCTCCTTACGCAACAGCTGCTGCCGGTACTCCTGCGCCTTCCTGTTGGCCTCCTGCAGCTGCTTCTGCAACAACTCCTGCAGGAGGAGATGAAGAAGGAGGAGGAGAAGAATGAGGAGAAGAAGAAGAAGGATGAGGAGGAGAAGAAGTAGGATAAGGAGAAGAAGACGAAGAAGGAGGAGGAGGAAGAAGAGAAGAAGTAGGAGGAGGAGGAAGAGGAAGAAGAAGGAGGAGGAAAAGGAGGAGGAGAAGAAGGAGAAAGAAGAGAAGAAGATGAAGAAGGAGAGGGAAAATTAGAAGGAGGGTCAGGAGAAGAAGGAGGAGAAGGAGAGAGAGGAGAAGAAGGAGGAGGAGAAGAGGAAGAAGAAGAAGAAGAAGAAGAAGAAGAAGAAGAAGAAGAAGAAAGGGAATGAGATAGAGGAGGAGGAGCAGTAAAAGAAGGAGGAGAAGAAGAAGAAAGAGATTAAAGAGGAAGGAAAAGAAGGAGGAGAAGAGGAAGAAGAAGGAGGAGAATGAGGAGAAGAAGGGGGGGGTGAAAAATAAAAAGTCAACACAAAGTTCTTAACTCTGGTGGAGAGACATCTCGTAACTCGAAGTTTTTCGGATAGAAAAACTATGAAATAACGAAATTCTAAAACATCCGAGTGAGAAACAGGAGACCGTTTCTGATTGAAGATTTTAAAAAGGAAGTAAAGAGTCTGAAAGAAAAAAACATAATACCTCGTGTTGCTTTCGTCAACGAAAATTATGACGAATTATTGTCGTCAACGAACCTTTATCATGTGACAAAAACGAGACGAAACGTAAACAGTGGTCTTGTAACGATAACTATAACTAAATATATAATGTAATATTGTTGACAAATAAAAACAAGACTAAATGTGGTTCACAAAATAAAAACTGCTAAAATATCTCTTCATTTTTGTCAATTAAAACGAGACGAGATTGTTTAGTTGCATTGTCATGGTTTTCTGTTTCCTCGGCGACCTCACATCCTCAGTCCCCTAACTCGCGGTATTTTTAGACGTTTTTGGGTGAGTTGGAGTCATGGTCGGGTGTCGGGGAGAAAAAGAAGAAATGATATCTGGACACACTTCAATTACAAACAAGTGGAAAACAAAACTGAATGTGTAGTGGAAAAAGAAAAAGGGAGAAATGCGACCGTAAAAACAAACAAACAAAAAAAAAAACCAGGAAAAACACCATGATTCTAAAAAGACACCTCGGGAAAGGACTCGAGGAAAGTTAAGACGCTGATGTAACGGCGCTTTTTGTTTTACACTGTCCAGCCAAGCGCGTGTGTCTAGCTTGTGTGTGCCTTGCTTGCTCAGAGTACCTTCCACGTCTGAATGGACGTTTTCTTGAGTCTCTCTAAGGTAACAATAATATAATAAGATAACCATGTTTGATTTGTGAAATGGGTTTGACTAAAAAAAAAAAATTGGTTTGCTTTATTCTATACTGTACTAGGAAACTATACTACATGAACTGGGTTAAACAGAATTACAGTACTAAAAAGATAGTCAGAGTTTTACCCAGGATTTCCACCACATCCGGAACGGCTCTGATCTGGAACAGCGGGCGATTTTCGCCGTCTGCCAATTCCTACCGGATCCATTTATGAGGCGAATTTCGTGGCGGATTATGGGCAGAGTTCTCACGGTATTCGTGAGAACTCACAAGAACCTGTGGATTCACGTACGATCGCGTGATAACGAGTTGCCTCTATAAAGACAGACACATAGACATATAAGTAGTAGATTGTGTCCTTCCAGAGGAGGAAATCTACTTCTAGACTGCTAGAATCAGCATCTCCTCATCCCTGGTGTCATGGGGGTGAAATTACATCTAAAAACCTTTCACTTGTTTGTCTCCGCCCGTTTGCACGGTGTGAAATACAATCCTCCTGAAACACGGAGTGTTTTATTTTGAAAAGAAACCGGATGTTTTATTTTGTGTCTGTGCCCGACTTCCTTTCCAGCACGGGTTAATCTGTGCTGAATTTATCCGCCATGCTCCGGCGTCCGGAAAAAATAGAACTCTTGTGATCAGCTGTGGAGTACGGCGATCTGAACTAAAACTAATAAAAACTTAAATGACAGTTTAACACAAAGACTAAAACTAAAATTGAAACAGACCGACAAAAACAACACTAATGGTCCCTCTTACATAAAACTTCTGGAGTCAGACCAGACTGAACAAAACAACAAAGAACCCAAGTATCCGGTTCTTTAGGTTGTTGGTTTCTGGTTCTGAGTCGCCCTTTGGACTTTCAGACTCTGAATGTTTAAAAATGTTCTGTCCTATTACAAAGAACCCAGGACTCAGAACAGAAACAGAACTTTTTACTGACAGTGGACCCGCTCGCTGCTCACCGTCTCGCCGCCATCGCTGTGGTTATTGGGCACTTCCAGCTTCCTCTTTCTGGAGGGCGGATGCTGCGGTTCCTCCGTCACCACCTCCTCCGTCACTGTGTTGGCGGGCACTGCCAGCACTGAAACACACACACACACACACATAATTAGATCCATTTTCAGACCTGGCGTGTGTGTATGATGAGACGCTGTGAGTGTGTCGTACTCTGCTGTCCGTGCTGCATGGTGACGAAGAACGGCTGCGTCATCCCTCCTGTGGTCTGCAGGTTCCCATGTTGGTCTGTTACTATAGTGATGACCCTCTGACCCCCCTCATTGACCACAGCGGCGTGCTGGATGTTGGGGTCCAGAGCACTGGCGGCAATCGCCTCCTCTGAATCTGCTGAGACACAAAAACCCACAAACAATGACATCCGCAGGAAACACCCCCAGAGAGAGAGAGAGAGAGAGAGAGAGAGAGAGCGTGTGCGTGTGTGTACCTGCGTTGGCCTTGTTGAGCAGGTCGGCCAGGTTGACCACACCCCCCTGGATGGCGGGGATCCCCTGAATGATGAACTGTGGCTGGTTGGTGGTGGGCGTGGTCTCCACATTCATACTCACCTGGTTCATGTTCACCTGGTTCATGTTCACCTGGTTCTGCATGCTCTCCTGCGCACGCACAAACACACACACACACACACTCTTATTGTTGAGTTCATATGAATACAAACCATCAGCCACGGGGTCAGAGGTCACGACGCCTCACCTGCAGCAGCAGCATCAGCTCCGTGTTCTGGATGTCGGCGGCAATGTCAAACGGCGTCTTGTCGAACTTGCTAAGCGCATGCACGTCGGCGCCATGTTTGATGAGCGTGTCGGCGACGCCATGGTGACCGTGCTGCGCCGCCCAGTGCAGAGCGGTCATCTTCAGCATGTCTTTGGCGTTAATGTCTGCTCCGCTCTGAGAGAAAAAAAACTCGAAGATGATTTTGGACTCAAACCGAAAAACCTGGACCTTGTGGTTTCTCTTCTTTGCTGCTAAAGACGTTTTAACCCTTGGTTTCATTTTGAGGACATTTGTCAGTTTTTTCATCTTTATTTTGAGCTGACAGTCACATTTTTAAAGATTGGGTCATCAAATTTGGTGAGAGTTCTTATTTTTCTTCATATTTAAAAAAAAAAAAGAAAAAATCTGTGTCACCATAACAACATATTACAACCTTTTTTTGCAGTCAGTCGATCACCAGGGCTCTAAATTTGACTTTCTGACAGTGATACAACAGATTGAGCCAGCACATCATTTTAACCCCTTCAGTGCAAGTCTTCATTCATGGACGGAGAGTGTTTGAAGCGCTGATTCATCCACTAAACATCATCAGAAATGAATGAAACTTTACATGCCACTACATATGGATGTCTAAGGGTGGGATATGTGTGTAAGGAAAAGTTTGTGTGCTCCTGCGTGTGTGCACGGTTGCGAATCTGCGTCCATGTTTATAACCTTACATATATATTCTGATTTTATATGCCTTGTATCAAATTCTCATTTTATATGGGAAATATGGCGATTTTGCGTTTTTTACCATTAAAAATAGCAGTGACACGGTGAACAAAAACTGGCATAAAAAGGGTAATACATTAAATTTTATAATTATTTTTTTAATGGTTAGGGCTGAGGTTGTTTAAGAGATTTGAGTCGAAAAAAGTAAAAAATTATTATTTTATGAACACTTAGCTGCATGTCCGTTTTGGGGTAAAAGTAGGCTGGATAGAGCTTCAAATTAACAGGAACTAAGGGTTAAAAACTGATTTAAAAAAAAAGAAAGTGTCTTCAGAATAAAATCTAGAATAAAGTCATTCTAGACCAGGTCTTACCCTGACCAGCAGCTCCACGATGACTGTGTGTCCCTCAGCTGCCGCCATGTGCAGCGGGGTCCTGTCCACTTTGGTGCGAGCGTCTCTGCTGACGCCGGCTCTCAGCAGGACGTCGGCAGTGGAGTAATGACCGTGCTGAGCGGCCAGGTGGAGTGGGGACGTCCCCAACTGCAGGAGAAACACACACACATAATCAAGTTTTTAAATTCATAAATCATCAGGACCACCTACCCTGAAGACTGCGTTCACAGACTCACCCAGTCTGTGGTGAACGGCGCTCCGTTGGCCATCAGGTTTCTGACCTCGTCATCTTGACCTTTACGTGCCGCCTCCAGCAGACGCTTCCCCAGGTCCACCAGAGACATCTGAACCAAAAACACTTGATCTTAATGTGAGGAGGACAGGCTCTGAATCTTCAGTTTTCTAATTTCTCTGATTGTTCTGTTGAACTCGTCAGTATCTGCTCGTTTTTAATCAAAAACATGTTACAGAAAGTCTGGACGAAAAATGGAAAACTCAGCAGACCAGGACTCTTCTTAGTCAAGAGGCGTAGCTTACTTTTTAAGGCGGATTTTGCACTTGCAAACACAAGTGCCAAAGTTTGTATGAGGCTTCATTAGGACATACCAAAGCTTTTTCGCCGAGGAGCCCAACACAGATAATGGAAATATCCATACAGAACATAAAAGTTGTTTTTCTATTAAAAAATAAATACATTCTTGAGTCACAAGAAGAACATTGGTGATAAATTGTTTTTTTGTCCACTTAAGAAGGTGAAACTGATTTTAATTTGTTCACTGATTACTAAACCTCTAAAACGATGTGTAAAATAGAGGTTCAGGACACCTTGTACCTGTACACCCTTAATAAAGTACTGCACATAGACGGATTTTAAAAGAAATGAAAAAAAAAAGAAGTGAAAGATGAGAGAAAAATGTTCCTCCAGCTGTTTGTTTTTATTTATTTATTTTTGTATAATGAACCTTTTTACCTGTTTGGTTGTTTCTCTAACTTTTAAGAGAAATGTTGCTGGTTTAATATCTAAAGTGAATTTATATTTTCATACAATAATCACATTTATCACTTTTAACATTTCTTGTCTTAATGATTTTAAAACCAAACTGAAAACATAGCTTTTTAGTCTAACTAAATTCTATATCATTAACTTTGTTTAAGCATTTATCTATTCTAGTTTTAATGACAGGATCGTCTTTTATTTAGCAATTTTGGTGCTCTTATTTTAGTATCTTTTACAGTTGTTTTTATTTAATTTTATTAATTACATCTTAAATTTCATTTTATGTTACTTTGTTTTTAGATTTTAAACCTCCAGTGTTTCCTTATCTTGAGTTCTAAAACGACGTTTCCATTCTTGTTTATATGAAATTAAGCCCTTTTGAGGTTCATGCATTTTAATTCTGTTTCTGTTTAGATCATGGGGTGAGAATGAGGGGTTAGGTTGGGGTAGATTTGGGTTTTCTTTGTTTCTTTTATTCCTTTTTCTGTGTAAAGCACTTTGTGCTACATGGTTATTTATGAAAAGTGCTATATAAATAAAGACTGATTGATTGATTGTCTTTACACTATTTTTAATAATAAATTGGCTTTAGACGATGTGCAAAGCTTTAAAATCTGTTTTTATGAACACCTACACAACGTCCCCACTCTTATGGGTTTAAGTTTATATGTGAATCTGGGCTTATCACACATAATCCATTAGCTGTGTCAGAGATTTGATTCATTCATTCATATAGAAAACAGTAAAAAAAAATTATATAAAAGCACTGTGTCATTAGTCTTCAGATTTCAGGACTGCATGATAATGACATTATTTCTATTATGCTGAAAATAAACCTTGATTAATGAGAGGAAAAAAAAACTGTATGTAGGACTGTATTTTAGCAGACTGTAAGCTTGTCTAAATCACTTCATAATTAAATTAAAATCTTTTATCAATTATCTGAACAAATCAGACTGTGGAGCCTTATTTAAAACCAGTTAGCTCGTGTTTGTCTGATACTAAAACAGGTTTTCAGAGTAAACTGTACAACAGTTTAGGGAGAAAAACAAACACTGAGGCTAACAACTTGCGTCCATTATCGGACACGTCCCGCCTTTCTTTTACTAAAGAGGAAAAAGCATAGACTGTATATACTATGGACAACTTGGTTCCGCCTACCGCCTGTATACGGATTTGAAGCCAAATAGCTCTTTGTATTTCCGGGATTTTTCTTCATTTCCTGAAACCAGCGCTATGCGATGCGCGCATTCGGCCTCGCAGTCGCCGAGAGTCGCTGTGGTGACGCTCGGCTCAAACAGCGTATCCCCCAGGAGAGCTACGCAATCCCTGAACGCCCATAGGCTGTATCAGGTGTCAATCATAGCAAACATGAACCCCCTAATGACTTTTAAAAACGGAGCTTCACAGAAAAAAGAGGACTTGAGCACAAACCAGTCTTACAATAACTACATGTCAACATCACAAGCAGGGGGGAGAAAAAATTATAATCTGTGTAATAAATTTCTAAAGTTTGTCCACAGCCCCATAAGTTTTGCTGGCGGAGGCGCGGTTTATGACCTATACTGCAGCCCATCAACAGAGGGTGCTGTTCTCGGAGTGGCTTCACCCAGCGAGGAGGCAGACTCTCCATTCTTTATACAGTCTATGGGGAAAAGTCACACTTATGAATTCTCAGAAGTTTAGAAAGGTTTTATTATTTCAGTATAACATACTAAAGCTCCTTTTAAAGAGAGAAACGAAACTTTGGCACTTTTTATTCGGGATTTCAATGCGCTCAAAAAACTACACAGTGTGTGTCCGATAATAGGTGCACGCTACAGCGTTGGCCATGGCGACGCTTGTACAGATTTAGATACTTATAATTAAATAACTCTGATTTTTAGCAGTTTTTTCTGTGACGGTTAGATTTAAGGAGAAACGAAGGTTTAACAAAGCTACGTAAGTTAGCGCGACACTGTGTCCGATAATAGGAGCACAGTTTTCCACATTGCTGCGGATTGAAAAGGACGAGGTTTTTCTCCCCGCGGCCGAGGAGCCATTTTACGCGCCTTCACGGACAGAAAAGAGTCCGCCATGAGCCCCGTGCCCCCAGCTCCCCTCTCCGAGCTGTTTTTAACCTGCACACCCGTTAAATAACACGACTTGTCTCACTCTATCATTTACAGAAGCACACACAGGAAACCGTTTGATATTAAGTTGTTGGTTTTCCGGGGGAAGTCACCGAGAAATTTCCTATTTTACACGCGGAGAAAAAACTACTTCCACATCCGGTTAACTAGCATTCTTCACGCGCGCACCGTCAAACCCGTTCCCGGAGATGTGTGTGATCAAACAGCTCACCTGTACCTGCTTCAGAGGTACTTTACCCAGGTGAGGAGGAAGAAAGTGTGGGTTTGTTGTCCTGGTGGGACGGAGGAGCAGGTACTCACCGCGGGCAGGTTAGTTTGGAGAGATCTTCTCTGTTAATGTTAGCACAGCTAGCAGCTAATCGGAACAAACTTCCTGTCAGTGCAGAGATTTTAAAACAGGAAAAAAAACTCTGAAGTCACTTAAAACAGCTCGTTTTTTATATAAACGTTCATTCACGGCGCGGATTAAACAGACTTTAGGCGCCACTGCAGCACTTCTCCTCCAGCCCGATCACTGCGGGAAGTTAGCGCCAACCCGCCCAGGCTATCGTTACTGAGCGGATGTTTTGACTACGGCCTTCAAGATAAGAGCATATCAAACAAACTTCATTTCTTAAACCCTTTTCATACAAAAAAGATAACACATATTAATCCACGCAACAAAAAATGTTTGATTCAGTTTTGACTATTTTAAGACTAAGACTTATTATTCCACAATTTACCGAGGCTGTAAAGACCTCAGCTATTGGAAATCCAATCCAATTGCTCTCCAGGTTAAGAGACACAAAATTATCAGTTGCTGTAAAGGGAAGCAATGAGGAATAAAACTCATTGACATAATTCATAATCATGAAGCATATCATCTTGTGTCATGCTTTGAGTGTGACAGTCACGCCATTTGACCCTTTCACACGCCACACTTGACATTTCTCACGCTTATATTTCCCCATTCAATACACTGTATTTATTTTTTTTCATGATAATAACCTTTGCTTGCCATATTTCGAGTAACTCTGATTGACTGACAAAGATAACCAATCCCAGACCAATTTGTCAGTCTTTTGTGCCTAAATCTTACCAACCACGAAAGGCACCAAGCAATATAAACCAATCATAAGGCAGGTCTTGGCGTCTCTATCTTTCACACGCAACAGCAACCTACTTTCTAATTTCTGGTTAATCAAGACTAGCATTAGGAGGCCACATTGCAGGGAGAGCAGCTGGCATGGAAGTGAGGACATCAGTCTTAAGGAATAAATCAACATTAAAAAAGGATTTTTTTTTTTCGGTAGCCAAACACACCATAAGGCTAAAGTCTCACTCTTGTCATTTTTTGAAACTTGGCGGCCCTGGTATAATTACAAATAACTCCTGGATGTCCATGAAGGTTCTCCTTCATCCAGGTCATGGTATCTCAGAGATTCTTCTAGACTGGCAACTGGACTTTTTAGGTTTTCTTACAGATGTTTCACCTCTCCACTAAAATGCTTCTTCACTCTTAAGAGGACTAAGTTTAGAGCTGAAATATATACAACCTAAGATGGCATTATTAGTGTAAGGGGGAGTGATCATTATCAGAGGATGTGTTAAGGCTACCCACCAGTCTAGGTCTAACCCAGGTTCTTGTTGGTAGATTTGTTATGGTTGTGTTTGAATTTCAGATTTAGACAGTCCAGAACTCTTTTCATTTTTTACCCTGCCCAGTACTTTTTCCTATTGCCTTTTACTGTTGTTTTTTTTTTATTTGTTGTTTTTACAGTTGCCTTTCACTATATGCACTTAGAGATCGGTTTTCTCAGATGTAATGCAAGATACAAACAAAATGTATAATTATTATTTTTATTGTAAGAACTGCATTTCAAATTGGAGATAAATGCCTCCCCCTCTGTTCAGGGATGGTTTATCAAGATTGATGTACACGTCTTCTTTACCTCCACATTCAAACTAGTGCTCTTCCAGACAGATATTGCATATTTTGATTAGCTCTTTATTTTTACTTATTTAATCTATTATTTATCTCCTTTTTCTACTTTATTTACACTGGAGTTACTGTAACAAAAGCAATTTCCCCCTGAGGATTATTAAAGTATTTCTGATTCTGATAATGTTAATAGGTCATGTATTTTGTTGCCTAAAGTTTTATTTTGAAAGCTATTACCGGAAATGCGCTCAATCTTGCGTCTACTTTGACACTCGTGTTTATCAGCTAGCTCTGTTAGCCGTTAGCATGTGTGCATGCAGACCGTTAGTGAGTTAGAATAGAGCGTGTTTTTACCTTTGCTTCAGAAGAGTCGCACGAGCTTTCGTCTCCTGGCGTAAATTGTTACGTTACAGGTGGTTCGCCTGTCGAGAAAGATCCTAAAAACAGTTATTTTTGAGTTTTATCTCGAACAAATATGGCGGCCCCTCGACACCGGAGGTGGAAGCCAGAGTGAGTTAACCTCCCTGTGGGCGGGCTCCGCCGCGTCACTGTAGAAAACGCAGATCTCAGGTCGGTTTGAGCGGCAGGGTCACGTGATGGTGTGGCGCTCATGAGAACAGAGAGCTGACCAGAGATCAGCCTGGAGAAGCGACTCCGAGCTGAGGCCGTTTAAAACAGAGGAGGCTCACAGAGAGAGTTAACTCTTTCTTTTAAAGAAAAAACAATTCACAATAACTATATATAACAATAATTACATCTGGATAAGTCAATATGTGAGACATCAGATCAAACTAGGAATTCAGTTAATTTAAATGGACAAATTAAACGTGTGTATTTCTGAATGACAGCTCTGTTAAAGTTGCACCCGATATCAACAATTTTACATTAAATTTTTCACATGAGAAAAAACCTCCACATATGGAGAATGAACCAGGTTTATATCATGTTGAACCAAATGTTAATGTTGATTAATGTTCTATTATATTAGTGCAGAGATGGTTTTAGTACCCACATGTTATGTTGCATGTTCTTGTATTTTTCTTAATAAACATCTTTTAAATAATTATTCATTGTCAAACTTATTTAAGTGTGACTTTTGTCAGATTGTGTCTTTTGTTCTTGATTTAAATAAAAAGAATGAATTGTTTCTGTGATTTTCAAATAACAATAATTAGGCTGCCAACATTTTTTTTATAGAGGTAGTATAACACTTAAGTTCAAAACTGAATATTAAGGTTAAATTGCTCGATATCAATACTAAATGTTGGCAAAGTGTCAGATAGTGAGGTATGAAGTAATCCTCAGAGGAGGCTGCAGACTGAATCACCTTCAAGAATTCAGGTGAGGGGAAAAGAGAACCAGGAGATAACGAGGTTAGGAGAAAAAAACACACATTTCCAATAATGTTGGTGCCATCAGAAGAAATAGTCTAAGAACAGATGCACAAAATTGGGGATTGGGTAGAGTTAATGATCACTATATATAGAATGGAGAAGCTGACTTTCTCATCTCGACTAAAAACAGACACTTTTAAAAACTACTGGAAAAACTGGGTTGATTTTGTGTCTCATTGGCCCTCATTTATCAAGCTTGCGTACGGCAGAAAAATGTGTACACCTTGCGTATGAAAATTTTGACGTGAGGATTGGCATTTATCAATCAGCATGTGAGCATATGCTACGACCAAATCTCACGACTGGTCCGACATTGTGTACGCAAGTTTGAGTCAGTGTGGATCTGCGGTGCAGCAAATGTCTTTTTCAAAATAATTGATAAACAAACCTCAAACTTGTCATTAAGCACAATCAGCAAGATATCATTAAGGATTGAGACGTAAATAAAAATATAATATAAATTTGTTATGTCCTTTTATTGAAAGTATTTAGTTCTAATTTCTTGCGTCTTTGTAATATAAAGCAGACTGGAGAGTCTGACAGAGGCTGAACAAAAATGATTATTAACCTCACAAAACTGTGTGTTCTCTTTCATGTTTGACCTCAGTGGGCGAGGCTTCTGTACCACGAATATTTATAGGCGTAACATGTTTATGATGATCGATTTCAGCCGCCGCATTTATCAAGACCTGACCATATGTACGCTTGGATTGGTCAGATAGGAACCCTTTCATAAATCTCACGTGTGTCCTACCGTAGGATGAATCCTGCGCTCAGATCTGCGCAAGCTTGATAAATGAGGGCCATTATGTTTACCCTCCAACAGGAGAAAAGAGACAATGAAAGAGAGGAGTGAAAAAAGGACATGAGTGAAGAGTTTCATTTTACTCCACAGTTATTCTACTGTAACTTTATTTAGGAATTTATGACTAACTATGTCTCTGCTCCACCATGGGGGAGAAGCATGCAAATATTTAAACAGTTGGAAATTAATTCAGTGTATGTGAACTGTTGATGGAATATTCAACTCATTAAAAAATAAAATAAAAATTTCAGGTGAGAACCGAGCAAGATCTGAACTCCCAAAACCATTTGGTGATTTTGATGGAAGAGCAGAAAAACAACATCTACCAAACTCAAACCTCCTTCTTTTTGTCCCTTTCCAAACTTTCCAGTATCCAAAAGATAACACCCAATATTTGATCATTTGTTTTAAATACTCAGAAAAACATCACTATGAAAACAACCCTGATAAACCCCAACAAGTACAATATACTAACTACCTCAACTGCTGCTATGTGAATCCTACCTCAATATTATATACACACATATATATATTATTCTTAATAGTGTTCATTTTCATTGCACAGTCTACGCTGCACTAGAGGATTTTATCTTGTATATAGTCTGTACCTTTTTTTTCTTCTTACTATTTTTGAACTTTTAATTCAGTCTGTTTTCTTTTTTCTATCTATTGCACTGAAAATAGAGAAGCCCAATCTTGTTGTACCTTCTGTATAATGACAATAAAGGGCATTCTGATTCTGACTATGCAGCCTGGCAACAGTGGAGGAGGCTTCTGGAACACTGGGTTCTCCATAGCTCACTAAATGATCAAATGTGGGTGTATCTTTTTGGTGCCGGGTTACGGAACATGGCTTTGAAGTTTCTTAAAGGGACAGTTGCTGCGTTACCTTTGAAGTCAGATGCCGGAGGTGAAAATGATGTCACACCCAAGTTCCCAGCGTTTCAGTTACAAAGTCAGAAAAACAGCAAAATCGGAGGCTTGAAACAAGATGGCTACATCTACGGAAGTTATTTTAGTGCTTGCCTTATATTTGGATAAGGTAAGTGTGAAAATAACTTTCGTAGATGTAACCATCTTGTTCTGCCTCCAATTTTGCTTTTTTCCCTGACTTGGTAACTGAAACGCTGGGAACTCAGGTCATTTTCAGCTCCGACATCTGACTTCTGAGGTAACTCAAACACAGCGAGTAGCTGAAATGAAGGTTTGAAATGACAAAGGTGTGTTCAAATTTTTCAAAAAAAGAAAAACGTGAGTCGCTCTGATCAAAACAGGACTGTTGCTTTTATTGTTGGCAGGTGCGCTCCTTGGCACAGGTGTACACAGGTAAGCAGGTGTACTTTACATTCCGACAGGACGAGGTGTACTTCATCTTTCCTCCAGTTTGAGGCCCGCTCAATGACACAGCATAAGGAGAAATACACATAAATAAACCAATACATGAATAATCAATAAATCATGAAGCAGGTTTGACGGTTAGAGAAGCAGCTGAGGACGAAGAACCAAAAGGCACAGATGAGAAAAATAAACGATTAAACCTCTCAATAAATAATGAGCATCAGGAGACAAATATACAACAGAGTCTGATCGATAGAGCATTCATCTTTGATAAGTTGAAGGTTCAAATCTGGATTAGGAATCTGGTGTGAACGCGCCCTGATCAGGTCAAACCGGTTTCACTCAGATCAGAGCGTCAGTCAACCGCCCGAGTCTCTGTTCCATAAAACTGATTCACAAACACGAACCAACCCGAGGTTACTCACTACAACTCAAATTATAAAGACAACACACACACACACACACAGCGTCGCACGCACTAATCCCACCTGATGTCCTCAAACCGATCTGAACTCAGACTAACTTCAGGAACACAATCCAACCACCTGCAGATGCTGCCTTCACTGTCCCTCGGTTTTCCTGCTTCTCTCTCCTCACTAACTTCCTTTTCTCTCTTTAAGTGAGTCTAATCTGATGGTTAATCTAATCTAATCTATGGTTTGTGTTTTCAGTTTTAAATGTTTGATGAATCAGTTTTACGGTACAGGATGAGACTCTCAGAGACCTGAACCAGGATCAGTCTCTCTGAGTTTAGACCTGAACAGGAAGGTCCTGTTTCAGTTCTCCTCCTGGATAGACTTTCTTCTTCATTTGTTGAGATCTTGGGGTCAAGTGATGTAGGGCTGATCTGGGGTCAGAGGTCAGGTGAGGTCAGGTGATTCAGGGTCTCAGAGCAGCAGGTTGAGGTCAGCCAGCAGAGCGTCCACGTCGCCGATCGGAGCTCTCCAATAGTTAAAGGAGGAAAACTCAGAGAGGACACCCTGAGGAGATGGTAAAAAACAACTGATTATTCTGGTGCACCTCAGTATTTTTCCCAGTTCACCACCTCCATGACTGAGTGGGTGTAGTCTGATTGAGTAGGGCGTGGTCTATTTGGTGGGTTCTTGTAGGTTTAAATTCATAAACATGCAGGAGAGGAGATCATCGTCCTGTAGGAACCGCCTAAATGGTTGACATGTTCAATCTGGTCTGCAGGGCCGTCAGCTAAAAGGTGGCGAGACCTGGTCGATGGTCCGGCTCCTAGATCGGGACTTTTTCTAACCCAGTTTACACTGTGTGCACAATTATTAGGCAAGTGAGTATTTTGACCATATCATCATTTTTATGCATATTTTCCAACACCAAGCTGTATAAACTGGAACGCCTATTGGATATGAGTATATTAGGTGATGTGTATTTGTGTAATGAGGGAGGGTGGGGCCTAAGGAGTTCAACACTTCATATCAAGGTGTGCATAAATATTAGGCAGCTTCTTTTCCTCAGGTAAAATGGGCCAAAAAGATTTAAATTACTTTGAAAAGTCGAAAACTGTAAAAAGTCTTTCAGAGGGATGCAGCACTCTTGAAATGTTAAGATATTGATCACAGAACCATCAAACATTTTGTTGCAAATAGTCAACAGGGTCACAAAACGTGTCGAGAAAAATAATGCAAATTAACTGCCAAAGATTTGAGAAGACTCAAACGTGAAGATACCGGTAACCCGTTATCCTCCAGAATATTCCAGAACTGCAATCTACCCGGAGTTCCCCGAAGAGCAAGGTGTTCAGCTTTCAGAGACATGGCCAAGGTAAGGAAGGCTGAAACTCGACCACCACTGAACAAGACACAAGTTAAAACATCAAGACTGGGCCAAGAAATATCTAAAGACATATTTTTAAAGGTTTTATGGACTGATGAGATGAGAGGGACTCTTTGATGGACCAGATGGACAGGCCTGTGGCTGAATCAGTAACAGGCACAGAGCTCCACTTCAGGGTTCTGGTATGGGCTGGTATTATTAAAGATGAGCCAGTTGGACCTTTTCGGGTTGAAGATGGACTTGAAATCAACTCCCAAACCTACTGTCAGTTTTTAAAGACACTTTCTTCAGGAAAACGTCTGCATCTTTCAAGAAGACCATCATTTTTTTTGCAGGACAATGCTCCATCGCATGCATCAAAGTCCTCCTCTGTGTGGTTGACCAGTAAAGGCCTTAAAAAGGAAAAAAATAATGACATGGTCCCCTTTCCTCACCTGACCTAAACCCTATTGAGTACTTGTGGACCCTTCTTAAACAGGAGATTTACGGTAAAGGAAAACAGTCGACCTCTCTGAACAGAGTCTGGGAGGCTGTGGTTGATCAAGAAGTTGACAGACTCCATGAACGGAAGTCTTATGACTGTTATTGAAAAGAGGGGTGGTTATATTTTGAGTTGTTTGTTTATTATTCTCACTTTAACGAATGAAAATAAACAAGTGAGATGGGAAAATTTTCATTTTTGATTTAGTTGCATAATAATTCTGCACACTAATAGTTGCCCAATAATTGTGCACACATAGATATTCTCCTAAGAAAGCCAAAACCTCACTTTTATTCTCTTAAATATTCAAGTTTGAGGTTTATTAAGAGTTTGGATTGACCGAGAGCACTGTAGTTGTTCAAAAATGTAATTAATCCTTAAAAATACAACTCGCCTCATAATTGTGCACACAGTGAAGTGAAGTTATCAGGGCGCCTGTAAATCTGAGGTCGACTGTCAGTTTAGACCACATACATGACTACATGTTTACTGGGTTTCAGTGACACCATCGGTAACACTAGACCTGAGTTGGTCCCCCTGACATCCGTTTTCTCTCTGGGGTCAGGCTGTGGTGGCTCAAAGCCAAACGAGTCACCTCAGATGTCTCTCTGATGGCATTTCCAGGTCAGACAGGAAATATGACCCCTCTGAGGCCCTCCTCACACGAGGACGGCCCCATATTGTCCTGGCATCGGCACCAAAACATGTATAGCTGTTTACACATCTTACACTTATTGTACATAGGCGTAGTGCATTTACATGACAACGCAAAATCCACGCAAAATCATGTAGTACATACGCCCGGCCTAAAGGTGACGCTGTCAAATTACCAGAAAGCACCAAAAACAGAGAACGCGCATGCGCATACATACATGCTGTGTGGGTGACAACGTGGGTTGGGGGGCGGGGAGGAGGAGGGGTGCTATGAGGTCACCGTCTTTTCCGGACTTATCTATTTATACCAACTACGGCATGAAGATGAATACCCAGATATCCACCTGCAGACCCGTTTTCAAAAAAGATGCGGAGTCATGGACAAATGCGCGTCTTCGTGTGTCAATATCACCAGATTGATAGTTTATTATACCAGTGTCTTACAAATTCGCCTGTGTAAAGACCACCTGAGTCGAGGTCTAACCCCAGCTGGATGAGGATCAATCTGAGGTCTAACCCTCCTCGTCTTTGCTCTAAGCCTCTGACTCCCTGAGACCATTTGACTCCATCAAAGCTGATTCTAATATTTAGACCCCCCCACTGCTTCCTCATCTCCTCGTCCTGAACCCTCCTTGTCTCCTCACCTCCTTGTCCTGACCCCTTCCTGTCTCCTCATCTCCTCATCCTAACCCCTCACTGTTTCCTCACCTACTCATCTTGACCCCTCACTGTTTCCTCACCTCCTCATCCTGACCCCTCACTGTCTCCTCACCTCCTTGTCCCCTCATCTCCTCGTCCTGACCCCTCACTGTTTCCTCACCTCCTCATCCTAACCCCTCACTGTTTCCTCACCTACTCATCCTGACCCCTCACTGTCTCCTCACCTCCTCATCCTGACCCCTCACTGTCTCCTCACCTCCTCATCCTGACCCCTCACTGTCTCCTCACCTCCTCATCCTGACCCCTCACTGTCTCCTCACCTCCTCATCCTGACCCCTCACTGTCTCCTCACCTCCTCATCCTGACCCCTCACTGTCTCCTCACCTCCTTGTCCCCACATCTCCTCGTCCTGACCCCTCACTGTCTCTGCATCTCCTCGTCCTGACTCCTCACTGTCTCATCCTGACCCTTCACTGTCTCCTCACCTCCTCGTCCTTACCCCACCTTGTCTCCTCACCTCCTGGTCCTGACCCATCCTTGTCTCCTCACCACTTCGTCCTAACCCCTCACTGTCCCCGCACCTCCTCATCCTGACCCCTCACCTTCTTGTCCCCTCACCTCCTCATCCTTACCCCTCCTTGTCTCCTCACCTCCTCGTCCTGACCCCTCAGCATGGTGGACGTCTTCTCCTTCCCTGAGCTGCAATTGGTCAACAGGCTGTCAGTCAAACCCAGGTCCTCCAGCTCGGACAGGTCGAGCGCTGGGATTGGCTGCCTCCAGTAGAGGAAGGAATCGTATTGGCTGTTTGATTTCTCCATCATGACTTGCTCTGAGAAACAAAAACATGTCACACCTAATTATTATTTCAAACCGGCTTTATCTGATCACGTCAGTAGACCAAACCTCACTCAAAAAAGCTCAATTTTTAGGCTCAGATATGAATATTTTAGACCCTGATGATCTCCTCTGAGATCAGATTATCAGACTTTTTAAATGTTTAATTTTCACTCTGATTTCTGTTTGACTCCTGAACCTTCACAGCTCTGGTTTTAACTCTACAGTTTGTTTAACTCAACTTTTTTAACTTTCTGACTTTAAATCAAAGTTTAAAAGAGGACGGTGTTCATCAGAAACACAGATTACAGTTTAATCAGATTAAATCAGAGACGTCAGGTTGTGTGTTCAAATCCGGCAGAGCTTTTTTTGACTGACCTAGCTTTTCAAAAAGGAGCTACAAACTCCTGTGTGTTTCATGTGTTTCTGTAAATCAGACTGACTGTTAAACTCTCAGATTTCTGTGGCTCCGTGTTCGGACCGTAGACTGGATATAGAATATATATATATATAATATACAATAATTTATACCGTATATGGTTCAGAGATGCTGCTTATTTCTTTGAATCTATATCATTTATCGTTTTTTTATGTTTTTTTATAAGTGAAAAATCAATAATGGATTCAGAGAAAACAGAACTACTGCTTTTGCAGTAATGCAAATGGTAGAAGAAATTGCAAATGCAAATGAAAATGGTGACTGTTCCATTGGTCTGTATATTGATCTGCAGAAGGCGTTTGACACCATAGATCACAGACAGTTATCAGAAATAAGAGATATGGAATGTGGGGGGTTGTTCATTCTTGGCTGGAAAGTTTTTAAGTAATGGACACTAGTGTGTACAAATAACTGATACCATGTCATCGCTTAGAAAGATTACATGTGGCGTACCACAAGGATCAGTGATTGGTCCAATATTGTTCATTCTTTATATCAATGACTTCTGCAGTGTAACAGATATGTAATATTTGCAGATGATACCAATTTGTTTTGCTCCGGTAAGAATTTAAAGGAACTTTTGTGTTGTGTAGAAATGGAGCTGGAAAATCTCAAGACTTGGTTTGATGCCAATAAATAATCTGTAAAGATTTTTTTTTTAAATTATGGTTTTTGGGAATTGAAATGAATGTGATTGTAATGTTAAATTAAGAATCTGTAATGTTGACATTGAAAGAGTTACTGAGACTAAATTTCTTGGGGTTGTCATTGATCGTTTGTCATTGTTAACATGGAAACAACACATTGAATACATTAAAGGGAAAATTTCAAAATCACTTGCAATCCTGTACAAATTGAGAAAAGTATTGAATTCCAAGGCCTTGCATTTGATCTACTACTCATTGATTGTTCCCTATATATCTTGGTGTGTAACTGTGGGGATCCACCTTTAAAACCACTATAAATTCAATAATAAAACTGCACATACGAGTTATATGTATTATCAATAAGGCTGATTATTATGATCACATGGAGCCACTTTTTCTAAATTCTTATGTTATGAAATTTTATGATCTGTTTTATTATAAAAAAATACAAATTATGTTTAGAGCAAAATCAAATATGCTCCCTGACTCAAAACAGAGGTTCTTTTCAATTCGGGACAGTCCGCACAATCTCAGAGGTGCTTGCAAATTTTCTGTACAAAAAGCTAAAAAAAAGTATGAAAAGGAGATGTGTCTCCGTTACTGGAGTTAAATTCTAGAATGATGCCAACATAAATCTAAAAACATGTCACTCTTTTTTGGTTTTTAAGAAAATGGTTTGTAAAGCAATTTTTGAAGCTTATAAGTGCGATTAATTATCTGTTGTTGTGGTTTCTCTACTTTTCTGGAGGTCAGTAGCCTTAAAAAGTTGACAATACAGGATAGGCTTTTATAAGCAGGCTACTTTTGCCTTTTCAGTCAATATTCAACAAATGATTCTTGATTTAGTGATTTTGTGTGAAATGTCAATATTGTGTACAATATTTGGTGTTGTCATGACATGACTACTACTACTACTACTATAAAAAAAGTTTCATTTTCTTACTTCATTTTTATTGATATTTCTGTGAATATTTCTTTATTATGATCTCTCTAATAACAGGTGTGCTGACTGAATATCCCTCTGGCACCAATTTAAGGATTTAAATCAAGTCTAAGTATAAAAAGCCTGAGACATGAGACGGTTTCTGAAAACTGGACATGACTAATCATCAGCAGACAGACAGACAGACAGACCCTCAGCTCAGCCAATAGATGGTGAGTGTGACAGATTTTCTCCTCTGAGTTCAATAAAATGTTTAAGCAAATACACGAATACATAAATGAATAAATAAATAGATTGATAACTGAATAATCAGATCCGTTCACTCTGTGATTTTCTGATCTATAAGATATAAATATCATTTCGTCTCAGATCTGGATGATCCTGAGTTTTATCATTAGAGTAAATATAATAATAGATAGATAGATAGATAGATAGATAGATAGATAGATAGATAGATAGATAGATAGATTTGAACACATGTTTTTTTCTGGGTTCTGGTCTACATGCAGATTTAGAAAGTGGGTCAGACTGAAATAAACCTACAGACATCTCTGTCAGTCTGACTCGGATCCACCAAACCCCCTTCATTTTTCTGTCTATTTTACTCTAAACTGTTTATTCTCTCCGTCTGTCTGATATTATTGATCCCGGGGCGGTGGTTCTGATTTACCCAGTCCCTCCGGCTGATCGTCCTCATTTTTTCACAAAAACTAATCAGATCTGGATTTTATTTTTCTATATATATATTTTTTAAATAGAGTGGTTTCACAGTGGTCCCAGCTCCTGTTAACGTTACACAGTGATCAGTGTTATTGATGATCGTTGTTATTGGTTCATCGATCAGGCTGAGTCAGAGGCGTTGGCCCGGCTCAGTTCAGCTCATCAGCAGCTGATGAGGCAACCGAATTAAACCGAATTTAGTCGACGATTTATCGACGTTTATCAGTCAAAACGAGCTAAATTTTGAGGTTCTGAGCTGAGGTTTGGTTGTTGTTGGTTTTTAACGGCTTAAATCAGCAGCAGGTTCATCATCGAACCGGCTTTTTCTCAGAAAACACATGGAAATGTTCCGGAAAATTAAAATATTAAAGGTTTGAATAAAAAGCTTTACCTGTTCGTTTCCGGTGACAAAATAAAATCAGTTTGTTTTTATCTTCTTTGTTCGTTTTTCTCTTTTGTTGCAGCAGGTTCAGTCTCTGTCTGCGGCTCAGCTGCTGCTGCAGGTTAAATCAGCTCTGCGCCTGCGTCAAGCTAACCTGAATATACACCGACACTTTCGCTCAAGCCTTTCAGTATAAAAGCTGGAGCCTTTTTTTAAACGTATTTCCTCTCCACAATGGACAAAAAAATGATCAAAACAAGAATCAAATAAAATCTGTGAAATAAAAAAAATGGACCGTTTAAACGTTGATTAGAAAAAATAATTCCTGTACTAATGTTCAAATGTACAATTATTTTTTGTAAATTAGTTTGTAAAATAATTGTTCAGTTGATAATTACAGAATTTTTTATACGATTAAATCTTAATCCGTTCGTCAGTTAAAGTATTTGGAATACCTCGAGTTTTTTCTGAGGGACTTTTAGAGTTTAAAAGAAATGTTATTTGTGAAGGTTTTAAAAAGTTTAACATTTATTTTGTAATAGAAGGTTATTTCCGGTATGGTTGTTAAGTTTCTACTGTACACAATAAAATAAACAGACTAAAAAATAGATAAGACATCTGACACAACAGTTTTAGAGAGCACGAGTGTAAAAACAAACCCTTATCAAGCCACATGGGAATAAAGTTAAATATATATGTGCCCACCCTCTGGAAGACATCCTGCATAGTTCCGGTGCCTAAGAAGAACCGGCCCAGCGAGCTGAATGACTTCCGACCGGTGGCACTCACGTCCCACCTTGTGAAGACTCTGGAGCGGCTCTTCCTCACCTTCCTCAGACCCCAGGTGCAACATGCCCGAGACCACCTGCAGTTCCCCTACCAGCCAGGTGTTGGGGTGGAGGACACAATCCAGCCCCCCTTGCTACAGGACAAACTCAACAGCATGGGAGTGGACCCCTACCTGGTGGCGTGGATCTCCAGCTACCTAACAGACAGGCCACAGTATGTCAGGATGAGGGATGCCACATCAGAAACCGTGATCAGCAGACGATGACCGAGAGGAGGGGTACCGGAGTCTTTCTGGGGGACTTTGCCTCCTGGTGGCGCCTTAACCACCTGAAGCTCAACACCTCGAAGACGAATATATATATACACACACACACACAAATTTAATGTATAACACGCTTTTACAAGTGCCTGAAGATGCTTAACAAAAAAGAAACACAATTTAAAATACAGAAAGATTTGAGTAATAAGACTAATAATCATAATACTAATGATGAGACACTCATAAGACGCAATGGAAAAATGATTTAAAAAAAAAAAAGATCCTGATAAAAACATAAACATGTCATTCAAATGTTTAAAACTATATCAGTCTCAGTGGACAGTCTATGGTTTTAACCTATGGTTTTAACGGTGTCACTGCGGTGTAATGAGTCTGCGCAGCCAGCAGGGGGAGATGTTTGACTGGAAATTTACCGAAGGAGAAGAAGGAAGAAGGAAAAAGAGAGAAAAAAAATGAAGTCCTGTAGAAAAAAAAGTGAGGATGGATTTCCTGGTTAGAGCCACACCTCAGAGAGAGAGAGAGAGAGAGAGAGAGAGAGAGAGAGAGAGAGAGAAGCAGCTTCATGATCTCAGTCTGCAGTTCTTCAGTCTGACGCTCGGCTGGACTTTCCCTCTGGTGAGTCTCTCTCTTTTCTCCTTTTTTTCGTCGTTCTCTTTTTCTTCTTCGTTTGTGTTTAATCAGCTGAAACTCGAACATGCAGGGTCGACCTTCTTACCTGTGTTCGTGTTAAATGTGAATGTGAAGGTGTGAACGGACTCTGTAACACATTAACTACAGGAGACATGTTCAGAGAGCTGAAGGAGGGAGGGGACCACAGACTTTTAGACATTTACACTCAGAACCGTGAAATCCTCAGAGGATCCTTTAAAACCATGAAATAGAGAGAGACAGCACACACACACACACACACACACACACACACACACACACACACACACACACACACACACACACACACACACACACACACACACACACACACACACACACCGGGTTTACACTGATTTCTTTTACCTGCTGTCAGTGATTTGGACCTAAAACCTCCTCCTTCTGTCTAAATGTGGATCTCAGGTTGAGCCACAGACTCTTATGGTGGCAGATTTGAGCAAACACTCATCCTTAATCTGTAAAAGAGGTCTGAACTCCTGAGGGATCAAATCTCTATTTTCAAATATAATATTTTAAATCGTATAGATGAGGAAACAGAGGAAGTTAGTGTAGAGACAGTTAGAGCAGATCCAATAACTCCAATTTACTTTTTCTACCTGACAGGAAATAAACCTAAAAAATTAATGACGGCTCCAGGGCTTGACACGAACTTTTTTCACGTTCTCCCTAATTGAAAAAGTAAGGAGCACACAAAGAACTTTAGAGGCACAATACTAATTGATCAAATAATGTTTTTCTTATTGATTGACACAAGTACAATTATTTGAAATCAATTTTAGGTCTTTTGGTCACATGACATTGAAGTTATTGAGGGAAAACAGCATTTTCTGAGAACATCAACCGGTAATTTTTTGACGGTCCCTAATTTAACTCTCGACATTGACAGCGAGGGTGCCGCATCGATTTAACCACGCTGCTGTTGTTATTACCGGTTATGGAGAGTGAGAAGACACTGGTAAATTCTTAGTGAATGTCCGTCAAATATCCAACCTAAAACTAACTTCACCGCCGTATTTACAGGAAAAAAAAAAATTTGGTGATTTTTTTACGCACACATGTAACCCTAAATACATTTTACAATTAGCACACATCTATCTTTAGTCGCAAATGCAAGTGAAACTGTCAAACTGGCGAGTCCTGGCCTCTGAGAAATTTTCTGAAACACAAAAAAAAAAAAAAAACACGGTACACCAGACATTCATGAGTCTGAGTTAGCATCAGTTTGATCAACGAAAAACACAAAAGAGAAGAAATGAGAGTCTTTAATTAAAAAAATAATAATATACCTCAAAATCTGAATAAGAAACTCCTTTAAAACAGTCCAGACTGGAACAGAGACCAGGTTCAGGAGCACCATCAGGCTCCTCCTCAGTATCAGAGAAATGTTGTCGGTCAAAGGTTCGACACAGAGTGTTGGTGTGGAGGTTAAAGGTAAGAGTTCATGGGGTTCTGAGGTGTGATGTAGCAACTCCATAGACTGTATATAGAATGGACGCCGTCTGCCTCCTCGCTGGGTGAAGCCACTCCGAGAACAGCACCCTCTGGTGATGGGCTGCAGTATAGGTCATAAATCCCGCCTCCTTACGGAGCTGTGGACAAACTTTAGAAATAAATGACACAGAGTATAAATGTTTCTCCCCCCTGGTTGTGATGTTGACATGTTGTTACTGTCAGACTGGTTTGTGCTCAAGTCCTCTTTTTTCTGTACAGCTCCATTTTTAAAAGCTATTAGGAGGTTCATGTTTTCAATGATTGACACTTGATACAGCCTATGGGCGTACAAAGATTGCATAGCTCGCCCTGGGGATACGCTGTTTGAGCCGAGCGTCATCATGGCGACTCTCCCGCCAAATGCGTAAAATGTTGGTATCAAGAAATGGAGAAAAAAACGTGGAATTAATGAGAGCTTTTCAGCGTCAATACCCATGTACTTGCGGAAGGCTTAACCAAGTTGTCCGTAGTATATACAGTCTATGGTGGTGATGCTCTGGAGGATGTAGAACATCCTAGAATATTACCAAACATTCCAGACGATTAAAGACATTCTGAAAAATCAATTACGTTCCGTAACATCAAAGATATTCTAAAAGATCAGTAACATTCCGGAACGTTTGAGAAAATCTTGGACTTATGGAAACATACTGAAACAGTCTGGGAACATATGTGACATTATTGAACCTTCCTACGAATTCCAAAGTCATCAAAACCGCTCTGACAGATGTTAGCGGGACACTGTTAGGTCCTCTGCTTAGCACCATAGACTGTATCTAGAATGGACGCCATCTGCCTGCCAACACTCGATACAGTCTATGGGTGTACCAAGATTGAGTAGCTCATCCAGGGGATACACTGTTTGAGCCAAGCGTCATCACAGCGACTCTCGGAAACTCTCCCGCCGAATGCGAACAATGCAGAAAAAACGCAGAATTACCAAGAGCTTTTCTGCTTCAAATCTGTATACTGGCGGAAGGAGGAACCAAGTTGTCCAGAGTAAATACAGTCTATAGCTGCGTTTCCATTACCCATAGATTTGCGCAAAACGTAAATATCGCAATAGAAAACTGGTAATGGAAACACCTACATTTCGAAAAACCTCCCAAGTATCGCTAAAAAGTTTTTACGCTCTCATGAGGTGGTTTTTCAGAAGTGTCGATATAGAAGTATATCGCAAAAGTGTAATGGAAACACTTTTCTCGCAATTCTCTGTCACCGGACGTGACGTAGCGGGTCAAGTGACCAGTTCATTTCAAGCGTAGATGGCACGGTGTATGTGGACGGGGGAGGAGACGGACTTATTGCTGAAGTTTTGAATTGTATTTGTATTTTTCTGAAGTTTTGAATCCACAATTCGTCTGTGAATTCCTCATTAACGATCCTCTCCCAGAAATCGCTCATCCGTGTTCGCTCCCATACATACGAGCTTTGCCTTTGAATTATCACCCGCTGCCTTCGTCTTCTGATGACAGCAGCGGCAACAGCAGTAATGGTCACAGAAATAGCTGCTCCAAAACGAAAAATGTTTTGTGTCTCGTCCATGTTGGTGTGCAAAAAGGCTTAAGGAATACGAGGTCGCACGGGCAGGAAGTTTACCTCGTTGCTAGGCAACGGCCATTTAAACACGTCTCGCGAGAGGCAGACGGCTCGCTTATGCACTGAACACCATTCAATGGAAACACCCGCAAATCGCAATTGTACTTTGTCGAAATTTGATAAACATCGCTTTTATTTTGCGAAAAAATGTAATGGAAACGCAGCTTATGAGTGACTCAGATCAGGGAGGAAAGTTTCAGGAAGCTGTGATGTAAAAATACCCCCAACCCCCCAACCCACCTCTAATGGTGTCACGGTTGGTGTGTGTGTGTGTTTGTCACATTACCCTGATCTGGATCAGAGTCCAAAAGTCCACAGCTCCATAAAACCCTTTGAACAGTCTTGATTCGTCTCCCTGACAGTTCTGTAAAACCTCTTCCAGGTGGGTAGGATCACCTGGAGCTCCGGATCATTGTTTATGTGGTTTCTGCTGCTGTTCTGGTCCAGATCGTTTCAGGATAGTTCTGTGTTGGTTCTGGATTCCTGGTGATCAGTTTGAGTCCAGTTATGTCTTCTTTATGGGTAGTACTGGGTCTGGATCGATTTGTGGTTTTTCTGGATATTTTTGGGATGCTTTGGTTGATTCAAACTGGGTCTCTACTGGATCAGATTGTTCTGGTGGTTTTCTGGACTCTCTCGGACCTGGTTCTGGATTTCTGTCCAATAATTTCAGCATTCAAATGATCTGGGTTTGAGTTTGTGACCACCTCCAGGTACCTGAACCTTGTCTGGACAGATTCTGGTCCATCCTGCAGATTCCGGTCCCTCTGTTGGACCTCTGCAGATGTTTTTGGACTCTGAGTGTCCAGATCGTTGCCATGGTGATGTGAACACGTGTTCAGAGACGCTCCGAGCGGAGAGAGACAGTCCGGACTCTAACCTGAGAGTGTGTTAGTGTTGATTTAACCCTTACCCTTTAACACACACACACACACACACACACACACACACACACACACACACACACACACACACACACGTACACATATACTCACTGATGTTATAACCCATCAGTCAGTGTTTGTTCATCTCTAAATCAGAGAACGTTTATCGCCTGATGTTAAAATGGTCCTCAGAGTCCGGGTCTTCAGAGTCCGGGTCCTCAGAGTCCGGTCCAGTCTATTATGGAGGAGAAATTCTGATCCTGGTTCCAACTTTCCATGTTTGAGGCGTTAAGGCGCGCCGTTTTGTCGGACAGCAGAGACGTTATAGTCAACCGTTAACTGAGATTTTCCTCGGAATGAAAGGAAGCTTTGTCTCCCTCTCTCTCTCTCTCTCTCTCTCTCTCTCTCTCTCTCTCTCTCTCTCTCTCTCAGCTCTATAAATCCATAAACCTCTATAAGTATTAAGAATTGTTATTGGAGGAAGTAGTCCTCTATCTCAGGGGTTCCTGGTCTTCCTCAGTCCCTGAATTAAGGCTATTATGGTATTATTGTTGTTATTATTATTGTATTTATTATTATTATTATTATTATTATTATTATTATTATTATTGCTATTATTATTATTATTATTATTATTATTATTATTATTATTGTTATTCTTATTACTATTATTTTCGTATTTGTTATAATAATAATAAAAAAAAAATAAAAAATTATTATTATTTAATTTTTACGATTATTGTTGTTATTTTTCTTTTGTTAAAACGCTTTGGCGGTATTGTAGTAACAATCATGCCAATAAAGCTAATAAACATTGGACCCCCACCTTCCCTTTAAGTGGCACAAATTCGTTAACAGTAATTATCCCGAGTTCACATGACCACAAAGACTGAAAGGCACTTTTATTTTTTGAGTATATTTATATAAATATGTAAACTGAAGAATTTAAAAAAATCATTATTATTGTTTTAAATATCCGGATCGTAATCTTAAGTTTTACTCCGATATCGTTGAAGCAGAAGGTCAGGGGTCAGGGTCACATGACCTTCTGGAGGACTGGAAGAAGTAAAAATGAAACGGTCTCGGACAGAAAGAGAAACAATGATTTGGTCTCTGAGCTCGTCTGACTGCTGTTGTCATTTCTTATTTTTATCTCAAACGGCGGCGTGCTGAACAGGAAGTGAAAACAGGAAGTCTAGAGGGTGCGTCGGTGTTGAAGATATTATTAAATGAGACACTCTGCGGCGTTCATCCTCGGCCTGTTAGACCGTGAACATCTCAATGTTTTCAGATCCACATCATAGATTCAGTAACGAGCTCATTAAGTAAAGTCAAAACCCGGTCTGGTTGCCGCTGGAGTTTAAACGCTCTGCCGCCATGTTTGTTTTGCTGATGTGGCTGATGTCAGGTATTTACATGCCGCAATGTTCTGGTTTCTCTGAACTCCAGGAGAATCTGGACCCTGACGTCCTCGTAAACGGCGGTAAACAGATTCTGATATATATATATATATAAGATAGCATTAGTTCAGAACACAAACAAACAAACAGGAAGTGGTGTTCTCCTTTCAGAGTAAGAGTCTGTATCTGTCGGAGAACCCCCGGGGCTGTGGGGGTTTACATTCCTCTGGTCTGATCTGATGTGATGCATGAGGCTACATGTTTCTGAGTCGGCGGCCTCTTCACATTCTTCCTTTATCGTCTGCTGAAATGTGCTGGACGCGCTCCAGAAGTTTCCTCCTCCTGCAGGAGCAGAAAATAGAAGTTTAACCTCTGGATGTAACCAGGAAACACACCGCTTATCAGCACAGCGAGGCGAGGCGCAGCAAGGCGACTTTCCCTGTTTGATGAAGAATGTGGAGGCTGGAAAGTTTAGAGAGGAAAATGGTTCAAACTGAGATGAGTTTAAAACGAAGGAAGTTCCTGTTTTTTATTCACTTTATTTTGAAGGTTTGATCACAGACTGCAGGTCCAGTTTTAGACACCAAACTAAAGGCTGATCAGGACTCTGTGCGAAGACTTTTGCTAAGTTCGAGTAACCTCAGAAGTCGGAAGTCCGAGCTGAAAATGACGTCACACCTGAGCTACCGGCGTTTAAGTTACAAAGGCAGAAAAAGCAAAATTGGGTGCAGAAACAAGATGGCTACATCTACGCAAGTTATTTTAGCACTTGTTTCAGGCCTCTGTAAACGCTGGGAATTTGGGTGTGACTTAATTTTCAGCTCCGACTTCTGACTTCCAAGGTAACTCGAACGCAGCATTTATTTACCTGCCTCACCGTCATTAAACAGAATAGAGACTAAAATAATCAGGAACCATGTCTAAAACTAGACCAGCTGGTCTGAAATTCATCTGTTAGCTAACCCATTAGCTAAACCATTAGCTGTTACGCCTCCCTCTCCAGAGCTACAGCTAATGGACCCTGGTCATACAGTTTTCATAGAGCTAGGCTAGCAGGTCCATGCTCACTAATGCTAACAGGTTAAAGCTAAATAGTAACAGGGTGTATTTGCTAACAGGCCCCCGGGTTGTGATATTGTTTATCGAAGGATGGTAGGGGAAGGTCCCGCCTCCTTCCCCTCTGATTGGCTGTGAAAAGTCATCACATGCTTAAGCCAAACGTGGGCTGTCGTACAGAACATTATCGCAATTCCGAATCTCCTAACCCTAACCCAACAGATGATGACGTTTCACAGCCATAGAGAATAACCAATCGGAGGCCAGCACTTCTAGCTGGAGGCGGGACCTTCCCCTACCATCCGGCACTTACAGGGAAACTAAAGCTAGAAGTGAAACCAGCCTCTGCTCTCTGTTGTTTTATTGCGGTAATCATTAGCCTCCTTCCTCACGCTCTAACCAGAGGTCAAAGGTCAGCTGTGTTACAGGTAAAGGTGTGTTTTACAGATTCGAGTCTTTACTCTCGTTTTCGTTCAGCCTGTCAGAATCTCTTTAAGTTTTCAACTTTTCTCATGTGGAAACAACAAAAACATCCAGAAACTCTCTAATTTGACTTTACAAGCCAGTGTGTGTGTGTGTGTGTGTGTGTGTGTGTGTGTGTGTGTGTTGGACCACACCCAGTGTTAAGTCATGCTTAATGTTCCCTCTGTGTTGACATTTGGTTCCCATGCAGCTCAGTGAGAGGGTGTTCCTGTTTTTATGTCTTTAAGAGGTCCTTGTTATTTTTCAAACTTTACAAGACACAAACTTTAATGACCCTTCATAATAAAACTTCCTGCTCAAGACTTTTTAGAAAGAGCAGGAGTCACATTAATGTGAGAGTAAAAAGCTGCTGAGAAATTCAGGCAGAAAAAAAAATAAAATAAAATAAAACAATTAATGTTTGACTCCTTTGACTCCTTTGACTTAAAGGAAGTTACACAACCGGCTAGTTTCTTGTGTTTATCTTCAGACCTCCTTCAGACAGAGACACGTGTGGTTTGTTAGAGCAGAAAAACTGAACAAAGTCATGAATACTAAACCATAAATACTCAAAGTGTCCAACTTAAAACACCAAAAGAATGGATATTGAAGAAAATGTGAAAACAAAGGACTGATAATGAATAAAATGTTTGTGCTTTTCTTCTGTTTCTACAGATTAAACTTGGATCAGGAGCATCACTCCGTAACTCTTTGGATATTTTGGATTCTTTAGTTTTTCTTTTTTTTCTTTCTGTGGATTTAAACTGTTTTTTTTTTCACCTGAGCCTCCTTCAGGAAATAATTTCACTTTTATTTTGATTTATTTTCCTCTGATCCCTCCTGGACTCCCTCAGCAGACAGTTTTCAGTGTGAGGTGGGGTTTATTTTTGGGGCTTTTTGGTCCTCAGTGTGTATCAGTTTTTGTCTGAATGCCCCAGGATTACCCACAAGCTGCAGTTCCTCCCCTGGCCTGCAGGGCGGCAGCAGAAAGCAACGGCCAGGTGCTGGACAGGCGGAGCATCGGCATGAGCGACTTCTGGCACAAGATGGGCTGCTGTGTGGTGGCTAAACCCCCACCGGTGAGAAACACACACACACACACACACACACACACACACACACACACACACATCTCCACATCCACAGTTATGTATACTTATGAGGTCCTCATAACGTTCTCAGTGTTAGACCAACACAGGACGACCGGACTGTTTGTGTCTGTTGGTGTTAAACTAACGCTTTTCTTCAGAGTTGTAACTCGGCAAAATCCGAACACACAAACATGAAACATATGTTTTTGGATCCAGCTTGACTTCCACTCCCCGAGGGTACCAGGAACTCTGAAGTCCGTCCAAAATCAACGACTACAAATCCACTCTGAAGTCCAGGAAAACGGACACTTTCAGAGCCACCCGGGGGGTGATCTGGGGAGCGTTTGTATTTTTATCTTATCCTGCTAACAGGAAATGTTAACAGGAGATGCTAATGGTGAATGTTAGCAGAAGAGTTTTCAGTAGAAGATGCTAAGAGATACAAATAGGTGCTAACGATGCTAACAGGGATCACCAAGATGATGCTGTTAGAGGTAAACTCCGCCCCTCCCAACCAGTTTTCCCCTCAGCTCCTCCTCTCCCTTCCCTCCCTGCTCCAGCAAGCCCCGCCCACAAACAGACACTCCTGCTCGCTCGTAACCTTCCAATTCAATTCAGATATAATGCAGATAAATACTTCAGATCATTACAAATGGGGCCCAGTCAATGTGAAAGTCAAAAGCATTGGTGCTACTGTAGATGCCAACAGACTACCAGCAAACACAATGTTTGCAGGACTTCTACAACGAGGATAAAGTGACATAGTCCAGGACCCGAGGGAGGACAGTTTAGCGATGGCGCTACAACACGCTACAGCAGGTCCGTTTGACAAGAAACACTTCTGTTACAGACAGTTGTCTTACTTTGTTAAAGCGGTTTACCTGTCCAGCAGAAAGGTTACAGGGTCACCAAGATCCCGAAGCTTCCCGTATAGTTTATATTGACCCGGCTTTTTCAGCTCCTGTCCGGTCTACCTCCGTTTCAAAAATGCTCAGAAATGTTAAAATGTTGACTACACAGACTTAAGAGAACAAAGAGATATCATGAAATTACCAAATGTCATCAATAACTAATAACTATTGACTGATATTAGATTTTTTGTTTATACACTACAAAAAAAGATGCTTCTTTAACAGAATCCTGACCACCCCACCTTAAATAAAAACCTCTTTGACTAGAATAAATATTAGCAGACTTTAAAACCAAAGAGCTGGTTATTCAAAAGTTTTAATCTGGATTAGAAGAGGCTCTCTTTTCTTATTCCAACTGGCTCCAGAAACAGATTTTAAAGATGATCCCTGAAGGAGAACTCTTGGTCTTCTCAGACCCAAACTGAACTTGCCTTCACAAACTAATTTTCCAGTCTGTAGTTTTTTCTGATCAGCTGTAAATCAGAAAATTCTAACGCAAACAAATCAACAACTCGACTTTACTCGAGAGGAAACAGGTGGCAGGATGTCCTTTTCCTCTTTTACCCTGACCCTTGACCTCCTGCGGGCTGATGCCCTCTTTCAGCACCAACATCAGTTTATCTGGAAATGTTTTCAGGAAAGTTACTTGAAGAGAAGCCATAAAACTTCACTCAGATTGATCTAAAATTGTTCTGACCTCTGACCTGCTGAGAGGTGCTGATTTTTAACTTCCAAAACCCTCAACTGTGACTTTTTAAAGATCCCATATCATGTTAATTTTAACTGTTCAGGAAGATTTTGAAAACCAAATTCAGCCTCTGCAGCCTCTCAGTTTCTGAACTCATTATTTATGCAGTGATCTGTGTGGGCGGGGCTGCTATGGTAATGAGGTGCTGCTATGATTGGCTGCCCGGAAGATAATTAAATCAAGAATATTTTGGTCTATATCAACATTCACTGAAGACAGGAAGAGTGAAAAATGTATCTGTCAGCCCCCTTGCCCCCAGTTTCCACCCCATCCTGAATGTCCACGAAAAGGCTGTATCCTCCTCCGTTCTTCTGCGGATTGCCGGACTCCACGGCTGATCAGAAGAGTTCTGTTTTTTTTTTTTTTCGAACACCAGAGCATGCTGGATAAATTCAGCACAGATTAACCCGTGCTGGAAAGGAAGACGGGCACAGAGACAGAATAAAACATCTGGCTTCTTTTCAAAATAAGACACGCGGCAGAGATGAACAAGTGAAAGGTTTTTAGACGTCATTTCACCCCGATGACACCATGGATTAGGGGATGCTGATTCTAGAAGTCTAGAAGTAGATTTCCTCCTCTTGAAGGACACAATCTACTGCTTATATGTCTATGTAGCTGGATTTACAGAGACAACTCGTTTTCGCATGATTGAACGTGAATCCCCAAGTTCTTGTGAGTTGTCATGATAACAGCCGCGAAATTTGCCTCACAAATGGATCCGGTAGGAGTTGGCGGATGGCAAAGATCGCGTCCGTTCCGGATTCGGTGGAAATTGGAGGTTAGTAAGAGAGTTCGCACCCGGCCCTGAGAGCAGAGGGTAAAAAATACAGTGAAGTGTTTCTTTAAAGTGAAGCTTTTTAAACTTCATTCAAACCAGGAGAGAAATGATGTAACTCCAAATCAACTTCAGATGTTTCCTCAGTGATCCACACACACACACACACACACACACACACACACACACAGTTTTTCTTTATGTTTAAACGTTAAACTGTTCGGTCTAAAGAGGAAATCCCGCCCCCTCCTCTTCCTTTGTCTGTATTTATAGAGCTGCTGTTTGTCTCATTGTGACCCTGCAACACACACACACACACACACACACACACACACACACACACACACACTCAGGGAAGTGAACTGAGTATTTCTGTTAAACTAGGCAGGTAGGAACTTCCTCTTTGGACTAGTATGGACACAAATATCTCTGAGCTTAAATCCTGATCCACATGGAAATCCAGATCGGGTTTTTTAAGTCAGTCTGAGTCTGGATCCGTGTGACCCTGAATCTGAGACTCTCAGGGTGAAGTCTATTATTACAGTGACACTGAGACCCACAGTTGTTCCACTTTTAATTTTCTGATTTGGTAGGGGAAGGTCCCGCCTCCTTTGCCTCTGATTGGCTCGTAGTGTCTCTGATTGGTTATTTCTTATGGCTGTGAAATGTCATCGTCTGTCGGGTTAGGGTTAGGAGATTCAGAATTGCGATAATGTTCTGTTTGATGTACAGAGCCGACAGCCCATGCTCGGCTTAAGCGTGTGATGACATGTAACAGCCAATCAGAGGCAAAGGAGGCGGGACCTTCCCCTACCATGCTACGTTAAGAAATATCGCCTCCCGGGTACTTGGCGGGCGGGTGGCCATGTTTGGTTTTGACCTCACAAGGACTCCTCCTCTGGATGTGGATCTGTGATGTCATCAACCAGCTGCTCTTATTTTGAAATTCCAGCCTGAGTTCTTGCGACAGTGACTCACAGATGATGATAATGGTGATGATGATGATGATGATCAACAGTGACTCTCTATCTGTTCTTGGATCAGTTTGAGTCTCAGTCAGTCAGGGAATTTCTAGAATGTCAGGGAGTTCAGGGTTTTTGAAATCCAGGTGAAGAGATGTCGGAAAGTTTGTCCTTTTTTGTTTTTACATTTTAATTTCATGGAACGAGAGAGAGAGAGAAAGAGAGAGAGAGAGAGGTCTGGAAATCATGGAAACTATCCAGTATGGGTTTGGAGAGTCCTGGAAAAGTCTAGAAATCCTCCAAAAACTCTTAAAGCTGCTAAAACGACCTCTGACCCTTCGAAGAAACGCCTGACTGTTGGTTGTTGTTGCCATGACGATGACAGCTCTCTCTATGCGTAGGAGGAGGATGATTCAGTCCCAGCTGGCATTGTGTGTGTGTGTGTGTGTGTGTGTGTGTGTGTGTGTTTGTGTGTGTGTGTGTCGAAATGTCCCAAGTAAGTCCAGTTGTCCTTTCAACGAAAGACTGGAAATCATAGATGCTTCATCCTCAGCTTTAAACAATATCTCAACCTCAATTTCCACCTTCATCCTGAACATGTACAAAAAGACTGTATCCTCAGATCGTAGCTGATCGTAACCATTCAAGTTAACGTGTCAATTTCCACCAGCTTCTTTCCGGAGCATGCCGGATAAACTCAGTACAGATTAACTCACGCCGGAAAGGAAGTCGGGCACAGACACAAAATAAAACATTTGGCTTCTTTTCAAAATAAAACACTCCGAACAAGTGAAAGGTTTTTAGACGTCATTTCACCCCGATGACACCATGGATGAAGAGATGCTGATTCTAGAAGTCTAGAAGTAGATTTCCTCCTCTGGAAGGACACAATCTACTGCTTATATGTCTATGTAGCTGCCTTTGTAGAGACAACTTGTTATCGCGCAATTGAATGTGAATCTGTGGGTTCTTGTGAGTTCTCGTGATTACTGCTGTCTGTAATCCACCGCGAAATTTGCCTCAAAAATGGATCCGGTAGGAATTGGCGGATGGCAAAAATCTGGGACTGCTTTATAAAGATGTGGTGAGACTCTTGTGGTGAGGTTGGTGCTGATGTCATCACTCCATCTCTGTAGTCTGGTGGAGGTCAGAGGTTTAATTCCTTGACAACATAAGAGTTTTTGGAGAATATCTGAACCTCATCGCGTCCCTCTAACAGCTCCAGACTCCTGGTCCTGTCAGAGCAGACCTCTTCATGGTCCTCCTCTTCATCCTCCTCTTGGTTCTTTTCTTGGTCCCCCTCCTGGTACTCCTCTTGGTTCTCTTCCTGGTCCCCCTCCTGGTTCTCCTCCTGGTTCTCCTCTTCATCCTCCTCTTGGCCTTCCTCTTGGTTCTCCTGTGGTTCTCCTCTCCTTCCTCCTCTTGGTCCTCCTCTTGGTTCTCCTCTGGTTCTCCTCTCCTGGTCCTCCTCCTGGTTCTCCTTTCCATCCTCCTCTTGGTTCTCCTCTTCATCCTCCTCTTGGTTCTTTTCTTGGTCCCCCTCCTGGTACTCCTCTTGGTTCTCTTCCTGGTCCCCCTCCTGGTTCTCCTCCTGGTTCTCCTCTTCATCCTCCTCTTGGCCTTCCTCTTGGTTCTCCTGTGGTTCTCCTCTCCTTCCTCCTCTTGGTCCTCCTCTTGGTTCTCCTCTGGTTCTCCTCTCCTGGTCCTCCTCCTGGTTCTCCTTTCCATCCTCCTCTTGGTTCTCCTCTTCATCCTCCTCTTGGTTCTTTTCTTGGTCCCCCTCCTGGTACTCCTCCTGGTTCTCCTCCTGGTTCTCCACTTCATCCTCCTCTTGGCCTTCCTCTTGGTTCTCCTGTGGTTCTCCTCTCCATCCTCCTCTTGGTTCTCCTCTTCATCCTCCTCTTGGTCGTCCTCCTCGTCCTCCTTTTCATCCTTCCCTTGGTCCTCCTCTCCGTCCTCCTCGTGGTCTTGTTGTGTTACATAAGACCTGGTAAAAACCCAGTAGATGTTAATCCTCTTAATTCTGATCTAAGTGGTTCTGACTTTGGTTCAGATGTTTTCTGGATCTGGTTCCTCTCAGCAGTATTATCTGGACTTTAATGAGGCGTTCGGTTTCTGTTTACCAGATGGTCCCTGAACGCAGCACAGAGACTCTCAGTATTTCATGATGATTTCATGTTTTTCTGGACGTGTTGGAGCCTGAATGCCTCGTCAGAATCAGAGGCTTTTATTCTGAAGTTTTTTTTTTTCTAGAATAAAAGCAGCAGTTAAATAAACGAATTCCACTCCCAGCACAGGTTGTTTCAGATCTCAGACTCCCGACATGCCGTTACTCATTTTTTTAACGAAACTAAAAGCTGTTTGTCATCCGCTGTCAGGGACATAAAGGAAGGATTAAAACCAACAGACATGAGTTTGAAGTACCTGCAGACCAAACTCAGGGTTGACTCTGTCCTCCTATTCGGCTCCTCTCGTTCTTTCCTGATGCAGTTTTGATCAATTATCAGAATGAATTTAAATCTTTATTTTTGGCTAAACTGGGCTCTCCGTACCAACCATCTGACTCTGGAAATGACCTAACTTTGTCGTCATCTTCATCATCATCGTCATCATCATTCTTGTTGTTTTAGGTGTGTTCAGGTGTATGTGTGTGTGTGTGTGTGAAGGTGTCAGAGGAGAGGATGAGGAGATTCAGAGAGAATGTGTACGAGTTCAGACATGAAGGTAAAAAAAACACACACTGATGTCACACCAATTAACTCTGTGTGTGTGTGTGTGTGTGTGTGTGTGTGTGCGCGCGCAGAAGAAGAAGAGGAGAAGGATCGATCGCAGTATGATTGGAGAGCCGACGAACTTCATCCATCTCACACACATCGGCTCAGGAGAGATGGCCGACGGGCTGCAGCCGGTAAAACACACATTTTACATTCTTTTTAATTTGCAGTAGGCTTTAGTTTAGTTTTTTTTTTATTTGCAGCAGACTTTTGATTTTTTTCTTTTTTTTGCATAGGCAACTTTGATTGTGACTTCTTTTCTTTGCATTCTGCCAACAGCAGTGGCGGTTCTTGGCCACCTTAGAATCTAAAATCTGGTCCAAATATTGAGGCAGAAACTGTCCTTATGTGTCTGTAACTACAAATCCCATCATGCTTTGAGCAACGGGACCTGAAGATCATGGAAAGGGAAAAGTATAACACGACTGTCTGAGTTTGTAAAAGAGGGTCAGCTGATTCAGATGAGGATGACATCACAGACCAGAAAATAGAAATAAAAATGAATTAAAAAAACAATCAAACGAAATCAGACGCTGATGGAGCAGCTGCAGCTCTGACAAAGACCCTCTTTGTGTGTGTGTGTGTGTGTGTGTGTCAGGAAGTGTCACACAGAGCTTCTTATTCAGTCCATTTCTATTTCGGCGTCTCCTGCTGCAGCGCCGACCGAAAAACGTCCAAAATAGAAACAAAAAAAAAATAGATAAAAAACAGGTGATCTGTCTTTGAGGTGATGTCAGAAGTCAAAGGTCAGGGTTTCCTCGATGGTCAATCTGTCCTACCTTTAAAAAAGATATTATGAATTATTGTGTGTGTGTGTGTGTGTGTGTGTGTGTGTGTGTGTGTGTGTACAGTCAGGGTCTGTTCAGGAACAGATGAGATCCAAAGGCCCGAACATGAACGGCAGGAACAGCTTGTTATAGCTGGTAAGCACACACACACACACACACACACACACACACACACACACACACACACACACACACACACACACACACACACACACACAAACACACAACACACACACATACACATAAACACACATACACTCACAAACACACGCGCACACACGCAAACACACTTATACACACATAAACAAACACACACACTTAAACACATACATACACATACACAAACACACAGAAACACACATAAACACACAAACACACACTCATACACACACACACACACTTATACACACACACACACACACACACTTATACACATACACACACATACACACACACACACATACGCACACACACACACACACACTTATACACATACACACACACACACTTATACACATACACACACACATACACACACACACACACACACACACACATACACACACACACACACACTTATACACATACACACACACACACTTATACACATACACACACACACACACACACACACTACACACACACACACACACACACATACACACACACACATACGCACACACACACACACTTCTCGGCTGTGATGAATTCGTCAGCTTTAAGGTGTGCTCTTGTTTTTATTTCTTGTTTTTCAGGAGAAAATTAAACTGACGTAGATCAGCTGACCTTTGCCCTTGCCATTGAGCCCTTTCTGATTGGAGGATTTAACCCCTTCCTGCCCTGCTGAAGTGTCCTTGAGCAAAGAACTGAACCCGATGAGAAATTCCTCCTGACTGTAAATTAAAATGAAATCGACCCTGACGGAGAGGAGGAAGACTTTTGGCCTTTTCCACGTCTCAGGTTACCTAAAGCTACGGACTACATCTCCCAGAATTCCCATGACCCATGACTTCATGGAAAAACATTGTCATTGAATTTGATTTGGAAAAATTTACTCAAATTAGAGAATAAAAAATGTGTGCTGTCCTCGTCTTTACCACTGGAGGGCAGACAGGAGAGACCCTGAGAAGCACCACTGGACTCCATTTCCCAGAATCCATTCTCTTCAGGATCTGTTTTTAATGACAGAAAGTCTGTATCTGAGTAAAGACTGGTAAATGTGTTTATAAATCTGGTCAAAATGACAAAAGACACCATTTCCCAGCATTCATAGAGAAAATAGAGGTGTGAAACAATCCCACAATCCTTCCCCCCCCACACACACACACACACACACACACACTTGTGGAAAGTCCCCCAGCAGCTGCTGTGAATTATCCCCCACGTGTCCCCCACGACTTTATTTCCCAGGATGCTTTGCTGCGTTCAGCTGCTCATGTTAATAACTAAATGGTGTATTTTTATCCTCCTGATCTGCTCCCACGCCGTCAGCCATGACGTCACCAGACTTCAATTCCCAGGATGCTTCACTCTGAGTGATTAAAGACTCTTGTTTAAGGAGACAGGAAAGTCCCCTGAACTCAGCGAGAGAGAGAGAGAGAGAGAGAGAGAGAGAGAGAGAGAGAGAGAGAGAGAGAGAGAGAGAGAGAGAGAGAGAGAGTGTGTGTGTGTTTTAACAGAAATTATGGATCAGATTCTGGACCTGGAGCCAAACCTTCTTCAGAAAATCTGCATCTTTCGAGAACTGTTCTTCATTTCTACTCCCGCTGTTTATTCGGCTGCCAAACATGTGGTCCGGGGCCCTGATGGGGTCTGAGCCAGACTTATTTTGGGTCTCCAGAGGGACTGAACAAACTGTGTTTTTAACAATCATCAGGATTTCTTGATGTAAACATTTCATGCAGCGACTGTTTTGATGTTTTTCAGTTTCGTAGTTCTGCTGTTTGGGTGATTTTCGGTGATTTTCTCCTGATGAAACTTTTTTACGATCGCTGGAACTGAATGCTGGTTGATCATCATAAATTGCTCATTTCCAGTTTGAGTCTGTGGAGGCTGTACGGTGGCACTGAAGGTCAACCTGACCACCAAAAACTTTTCTCTGAACACCAAAAATACTAAACTTAACTGACAAATAATTAACTCACAATCATTTCATGGAGTAACAAAAAAAAAAAAAAAACACAAAACAGGAAAAAAAAAATCTCCCAAACAAAAATAAAAAGTTCATTTTCATGATTTAATAATAATAGAAAAATTAAACATGGTGTTAAGATTGAAAAAAAGAAGACATTAAGAATTTGTGTTTTTAAAAAGTTTTTAAGAGGCCAGAAATTTCATCTTCACCTGCTCTGAAGTTTTCTGACAAAAGAAAGTTTAACGAAGTCTGAGTTTCCAGTTTTTGTCTTTAATGTTGGACCATAAAAATTAAACAGCTGTTCAGTTTATTTTATTTACACTAATTTAAAGTTATTGTTGATTTAAAAACTCAGTATTTTACGACGTTTTGGTGAAAACAAACAAACAAAAAGAAAGATATTCCAAAAAATAACTGTGACCTCAGCTGAGTAGTCGCCATAGAAACAGCTGAGTGTTTCCCCCTCACAGTGGTGGTCGGTCACTTCCTCCTCGAACTAAAACGGAAAGTCTGACAGTGTGGTGTGTTCACTGGGCTGCTCAGAGTGTGGGAGATTTTAATCTTCCTCTCTCCTCATCTCCTGACGGTGTTGGAGCGTGAGGGAGAACCATCTGACCTTATCGGATCAGATGATTGAATTAAACTCTTAATTTCACATCATGAGACCGTGAGTCAGCGAGCTTTGATCAGCTGATGACGTTAAAGCGAATAAAAGATGAAAACCCGGAGGTAAAAACAGAAATCACATGACCCTCAGTATGTTCGGCTGTACTGTCAACACTTACAGCAGCTGTTTGAGGCGCATCAGCTGCTTCTAGTGGACAATCAGTAAACTAAAGCAGGATCATCAAAACATGGCTGCAGTTACCGCCAGTGACCACAGGAGGCGACAAAAACCTGAATGTCTGAACTGAAAAGAAAAATTTCGATGTGATGAAAATAAATGACCAAAAGAGACGAAATGTGGAGTTTTAGTTCTTCATTGGAGACCAAATCTGGACTATCAAATCTAGATCATCAAATCTGGATTATCAGATCTGGATTATCAAATCTGTATTATTCAATCTGGATTATCAAATCCGAATATCCCAATCTGGATAATCGAATCTAGATTCTTATACCTGGATCATGAAATCTGGGTTTTAAGATCTAGACTCTTTTACCTAGATCATGAAATCTGGGTTTTCAGATCTAGATTCCTACATCTGGATTATCAAATCTGGGTTATGAGATCTGGTTTATCGGACCTGGATCACAAAATATGGGTTTATCAGATATGGATTATCAAACCTGGGTTGTTAAACCTAGATTCTTTTATCTGGATTATTAAACCTGGGTTTATCAGATCTTGATTATCTAATCTGGATTATCTAATCTGGGTTTTCAGATCTAGACTCTTACATCTGGATCATGATATCTGGTTTTATCAGATCCGGATTCTTATATCTGGATTATTAAACCTGGGTTATCAAATCTGGATTCTTTTATCTGCATTATCTAATCTACAATTATCTAATCTATTTGATCTGGATTATTCCTCCCAGTCTACAGACCACCAACACTGGAGAGCACTTTCCCACTAAAGTCAAACATCGTTTCAGTTTTTTTCATCCTGAAAATATTGTCGCACTTTTTGTTGTACTTTTTTTTGTCGTTGTTGATTTTGTAGAACTGCTTGTGTTGTTGTAAAATCTCTTCTTGAATACGAGTTTCATATATTTTCGTGTATTTTACTGCATTTTTAAGAGTATTCAAATATTTCTGTGACTTTAAGGTTGAATCTGTTCAAACCTGCAGGATTTCAATAAACTGCAAGATTTAATTTAGATTTCTGCTCTGACACTTTCTGTTCATTTGATGTTTAATGTCGGATTTTTTATGAACCAATCAGGAGCCTCCACAGAGCTGAGGTCTGTTCACGTCGCAGTTCCTACAGTGTCCACAAGGTGCTGCTGTACTGCTTAAGTTTGATTCAGACTCCTCCCTGCTGTTTAAGTGATAATCTGTCGAAGAATCAGATCTGAGAAACGTCCTGAACGCAAACCTGGATCCAGACACATGACCACTCATGCTAAAGCTAATGCTAATGTTCATGCTAATGCTAACGCTAATGCTAATGCTAAAACTAACAGAAGAGGGCGATGGCAAAGAGTGACACTTTAAATTAAAAGTTTGACTTAAGTCCTAAAACAAGATATTTTATTTACTTATGTGGGCAGGAGTCATATCAGTGAGGGAGATATTAATTTGCAAACATCGGGTGTCTTGACCATGAAGTATAACGAAAATTTGGATGAAGGTAGAAAACCCCGAAGATCGAATGATGGCAACTCAGATCAAGATTATGTCCCAAATGATCTTGTTTATAGTGATCCTACAAGTTACACTTGAACATACTAGCTAGTATCTTGGTTAAATTACTAATAATCTTGTCTCAGTGGGCTTATCTATGTCTTTCCATTGTTTTTTAATCTTGATCTAGCAAGAAGTTGATTTTATCCTACAAGGACAGATCAAGATACCAGTTTGTAGGTTCTCTGTGACAACATCAGCAACATAAAAAGAAATTGCATAAAGACAAAAATCAGGATGAAAACTCATCAGCTCAAGATCGTTACTGACTGGATCAAGATGTGGGACCAAGATTCACTGTTAAGATCAAATTTATACATTTGTAGAATTAAGATCTTGATTTGTAAGGACAAAGAAAAACTTCATTTTGAAAACAAGATATTTTTAATGTATGTGGACAGAATCAGATTAGTGAGGCAGATATTACTTTGCAAACATTGGGTATCTTGCGCATGACGTATAATGAAACTTTGTAAATTTGTAGGATTAAGATCTTGATTTGTAAGATCAAAGAGAAACTTCATCTTGACATTTTTACGTTGAAAACTTTTGGGGCTGGATAATGACTTTAAGATCAAGATACAGTTGGTATGATCAAAAGGGGAAATTTTGTGATCAAGATAAACTCAGTTTAATCAAGATTATGACAAGATTAAAAAATACTTGTGTGAAGATAACCTTGTGGAAGACAAGATACCACATAACCTTATTGTTTTTTTAGTGAACGAATTTTACACAACAAACAAGATAATTATGTGTCACTACAAAATTATGCCAACAAGATACTCTGTAGATAACATTTTTGTGGGGAGAAAATACTAAAGAGTGCTTTTCTGCTCAAGATACCATGTCAGATTACTTGTACATACAGACTAAAGATAGATCATACAAGCAAGATCCCAAGTTTTGGGAACACGATACAAACTCAATCAAAAAAATACAAAGTTTCACAGAAGATGATGTTCTGCAATTTTTCTTTGTGAACAGAGAATATCATGTCTCTGGACTGCATGGGCGCTAAATGATCTTGCAAGAAAGTCAAGATCTTTCTGGTTTTGTTAAGGTGCTACAAGATCCTTTCATTTCCTCCAACATCAGGGCGAAGTTTAAAACCATCAGGAGCCTCTTCGCCCTGAAATCTGATGTTTTCACGTTTCTGATGTTCAAAAGTATCTTGTTTGAAGAATATGATCTTGCACATGTGTGTGTGATTATTTCTGTATTGGGTGATATCTGCCTTGTGTTTGGTGGTTATGTAACGCCGTCCTCCTCCGACAAACACAGGTCAACTTTATTCCTCTGTCTTATGTAACTTTATGAATAAATCTGCTGTTGGTCTTCAACGTCAGACGTCGTCAGGCACCATCAGACGTGTTTCCTGTCCGGAGGTCAAATGTGTTTCAACCTCAGGATGGTCTGACTCAGGAGTGTGATGCAGGAGAGTTCAAAAACCTGAACGTAGAGAGGTGTGTGATCAAGATACTAAGTTTTACTGGAATATACGGAGTGTCAGTGAATGTACCACGGCTGTATTTACACGTATGACCCGCTCCCATGTTTCACTTCAACATGTTTTATTACAAGCAGCTGTACACAGACCACAGAGCTGTAATAATTATGGTTAAACTGTGTGTGTGTGTGTGTGTGTGTGTGTGTCGCCATAGAAACCCTGTCCAGTTCTGAGGAGGAGGAAACAACCCAAGTAGGGGAATTGAAGATGTGGTTGCTGTTGGCGTGTTGTGAACAGAGGGAGTGGGAAAAACACTGATGACTAAACGAGTGTGTGTGTGTGTACGTGTGTTTGTGTGTACGTGAAATCAGATTCAGCTGATCTCTGAGTGAAACCTGATCCTGGAAAATGAGTTCATGGTTTCAGTTTTGTTGGAGTTTTTGAAGTTTCATCTTTCTGTGTGTGTGTGTGTGTGTGTGTGTGTGTGCACGTGTGTGTATGTGTGAGTGTGTGTGTGTGTGTGTGTGTGCTTATGTTACTGCTAACATGCTAACAGTCTGACCTGATCTGAGTTTCATCATGGAGCTGCTGAGTCAGTAGAAACAGTCTGAAGACTAACAGGAGAACATTTGAGTCAGGAGGATGGGTTGGGGGGGTAGGACACAAATATCTCCTCTCTGTCTCTGAGGATCTGATACTGGGTCAGAACCAGCACTGGACCTCCAGGGTTTATATCACCTCCCCACACCTGCTCTCAATCAGGCCAATCAGGAGCTCACACACCTGAACCTGAACCTGCTCGTATTCCTCCTCCAATTACAGAGGAGATCTGAATGACTGTCCTTTACAGGGTTTGACATGTCAGAACCGTCACAGCTCCATCAGAACCTCCACAAATCCATCCACTCACAAGTCAATAAATGTGGGATAAATGTGTGTGTGTGTGTGTGGTGGGAGGTCAGTCACAACATGTGTCTCATGACACACACACACACAAACACATGCACACTTTTGTTCGCAGCCTTAGTCTCCTGACTGCTAAGAAGTTAAAGGAACAGTCCGTCATTTATTCCAGCTCTCTCTGTCACATGTAGTGTTGTGTCGTTCATGAATGTTTCGTTCAAAGGAACTGCTGAGTGAACAGTGTGAACTGAATCACTCAGGGATCTGATTCATTCCTTTCTCAGTTCAGTTGATCTCAGCCACGAGCCTGGCGTGCCGGTCGGGGCTGGAACTGCCACCTCTGGGACTTTGGCGAACGACACACAGACAACCAGTGAGCGAGCAGGTGGGTGGAGTCTTGTGATTCACTTACAGTGAATAAACGACATGTATCAGTGAATACATGTGTATAAACTTTACTGTAAGAAGGATTTAATTTCAGCCGATTTAAAGGAATACGCAATTTCGATAAGGTCCTGTCTCCTCTGTACAGCACCTTTGTGGAGTCTCTCCTTGTTATCGTCGGCATCGGGTCCTCCTCACGTTGCACCAGCACAGCCAATGGCACTCCATTCACCAGTGCAACATTGTGCAAAACTGTACTGGCCCAAATAATGTCCTACACCCTTTCAGGAGTGTACAATAACGTCCCCGCTGTTTGGCCATGACAGAGACACCTGCCTTTTAGGAGTCAAAAGCAGCGCTCCACAGTGGCGCGTATGTGTAATGTTAAAACGGCGCTCCTGCTCTGTGGCAGTGTTTCTTGGCAGAGTTATCAAATAGGCCTATTCACTAAGGACATTTTAAATTTACTTTATTTTATTTACCTCTTAATCTTTAATGAAATCTGGCTGATTGTGCTTAATGACAGGTTTGAGGTTTGTTTATCAATTATTTTGAGACAGACATTTGCTGCACCGCAGATCCACACTGACCCAAACTTGCGTACACGATGTCAGACCTGTCGTGAGATTTGGTCGTAGTGTACGCTCACGTGCAGATTGATAAATGCCGATCCTCACGTCAAAATTTCTGTACGCAAGGTGTACGCAAGTTTTCTGCCGTACACAAGCTTGATAAATGAGGGCCACTAAGAGGAGAGTTTTTCAGGGGATACAAGGATACAAGAACACACACACACACACACACACACACACACACACACACACACACACACACACACACACACACACAGGTCTGTGTTCCTGTTTATTGAGTTTCCTCAGCAGCTACCTCACTTCCTTCCTGTCAGGCTCCATTTCCTGACCAGTCGCTGGGTTTATACAGACCTGACACACACACACACACACACACACACACACACACACTGGTCTGTTTTCCTGTATAAATGACCACTCTGTTCCCTCTTACTCACACACTAGAGGTGTTCACAGACCTCCAAAAACTGAACCAGAACTTTGTTCTTTATTTTATTTTAAGGGAAAACTCTGAAAGTTTGACGACAGGAAAAATTTGAGGACCGGATCAATTTTTTTAAAGGTTTTATTACAGAAACAGTGAAAGCTGCAGAGTCCTCACATAGATGTCAAACCTATGACTGACTATAAGAGCCACGATAAGAAAAAAAGACTTGGAGAACAAAGTTGTAATAAAATCATTATTTATGAGAATAAAGTCGGTATAAAATCGTGACTTATGAGAGTAAAGTCGTAATAAAATCGTTATTTATGAGAATAGATTTGTGATAAAATCGTTACTTAGGAGAATAAAGTCGTAATAAAGTCATTGCTTATGAGAATAAAGTTGTAGCTAATAGCTATTCTAACCTGTTGGTAGTTGTTAAAAGTAATTATTTTAAGTCTAAATTATTTTTTTCTCTTAATGTGGCCCTAATACTCTGTCAAACAAACCTGTTCTTAAGTGATAAATAAAAAAAGTTAAGAGGAGATTTTTTACCCAAACTGACCGAGTTCAGAGTCCAGATCCAGACATGCAGAAAAAAGTGAAATTAAAAAGTTCTATAAACTCGGCCATCAAGATCCTTCTATTGCTTCATGATGTGGATCTGAGGAGATCCTGTTCACAGCTTTTTGGGGCATGTCAGATTTACAGAAGAACAAGATCATGATGTGATGTTGCATCAAGTTTAAGAAAACAAGATTATAACTTTATAACCAACAAGATCAAAACATGTGGAGACAAGATCAGGACTGAAACCAGACCGAGGTCATGTCTCCGAAGCAGGTCAAGATCCTGACCTGGGGAACAGGACTGGATCTTGTTTGCTCATGGCGGAATTGAACTGAAATAAAAGCAGAACGTAGAAAAGAGCAGCAGGACCATGAGGAACCCAGGAGAAACCCAGGAGGAGTTTTCTGTCTTCTCCTCTGATTCTCTGAACCTGAACCAGACTCTCTGATCCAGAACCAGAGTCTCTGATCCAGAACCTGACGCTCCACCTGTGACCTGAGGACTGAAACCCGACCACAGCAGCAGAACCTGGAGTCTTACCTGGACAGACTCTGGTCATACCTGAGGAGGAGAACAGAACCATCAGATGATCTCCAAAGTGACATCCTGAAAACCATCCCGATCAATCAATCAATCAACAATCAAACTGATCAAACCGATCACTTACTGTGAGACACAGTCTGGGATCTGCACATTCTCAGTAGGGACGTGGTTCGAGAGATCCTGAAGAGTGTCGACAAACTGAAGCTTCCTGCTGAACTTGGAGCTGAAAAAACAGCGGGATGAAAAAATCAGGAGGGAGTAGAGGAAGAGAGGAGAGGAGAAAGGAAAGGAGAGGAGAGGAGGAGACAGGAGAGAGGAGACAGGAGAGAGGAGAGAGGAGAGGAGAAGAGAGGAGAGGACAGGAGAGGAGGAGACAGGAGAGAGGAGGGAAGAGAGAGGAGAGAGAAGGAGAGAGGAGAGAAGAGGAGAGAGAAGGAGAGGAGAGGAGAGAGAAGAAAGGAAAGAGGAGCAGAGAGAGGAGATAGGAAAGAGGAGATGAGACTCTCCTTTGTCTTCTGTTGATTTGCATTTCTTTAAGGACTGAGATGTAAATTCTGTCAGTGAAGGAAACAGAGAAGATTCAGAGTGAGGAAGCAGAGAAGGGAGGAGAGAGTATGAGAGAAGAGGGGAGAGGAGAGAGGAGGAGGAGTCTGCCAACCTGATGAAGGGTTTGATGATGGTGATGAGAGCTTTAATGTACCAAGTGGGATGAACCACGAAGAAACCCTTCAGGTTCTTCCTCAACCTGCAAACACACACACACACACACACACACACACACACACACACACACACACACACACACACACACACACACACACACACACACACACACACATCAGATGAGATGCTCTTCAGATGAACATCCATGAGGAAGGTTTATAGTTTACAAAGGCAGACTTTTATTTTGAAGTTTTGACTTCGTTCACAGAAACAGGCTTTTATTTTGAAGTTTTGACTCCATAGTTTACAGAGACAGACTTTTGTTCTGAAGATTTGTCTTCCTCAGAGGAAACCCTCCTCAGCCTCAGTAAACACTGAACACTAAAGGGTTTATTAAGTATAAAGGTAAGAGGAGAACAGGTGGCTCAGAGTCCATCAGCGTTAACCTCTAAAGTAAACACCGAGAGCTTTAACAGTCCAAAATTTAATTTATATGTTAACGAGCGAGTCGAGGTGAGCCTGCAGCCGACCGACATCTGCAGACTTTTTAACAAAATTATTTTCAATCCAGTTTAAACGAATAAATGAGATTTGAGGTTAAACTATTTTAACAGGAACATAAACTCTAATGGATCAAACTGTTGATCCTTTCAAAATAAAGTAAATAAAGTTAAAACAGGTTCAACTGAGTTTTAAAGAAATATAGAGATCTGTGCTGTAAACTGTGAAGATCTGACGCCCCCTGCTGGACAAAAGCTCAAATAACACCCGAGACAAAAGAAAGACCAAAATAAAAAATACCAAAAAAAAAAAAAAAAAGAATAAAACCAGAATAAAAACTAAATTAAAATAGAATAAAGGTATAAAAACTGAATAAAAACAGGATAAGACAGAATAAAAACAAAAATATAAATAAAAAAACAATAAAAAGTATAAAAACTGAATAAAAACAAAATAAAAAAAATTAAAACTATAAAAATATAATAAAAACAAAATAAAAACATACTTAAAAGCATAAAAACAGAAAAAAAAACTAAATAAAAACAGAAAAAAGTATAAAAACTGAATACAAACAAAATAAAAACAGAAAAAAAGCATAAAAACAAAATAAAAACAGAATAAAAACAAAATAAAAACAGAATAAAGATGAAATAAAAACATTTAAAACAGAATAGAAACGACCTCTCTGAGATGAAAACAGGTCTGAAGAGTCTGGATCGGTTCTAACAGAACAAACTAACTCAGAATAAACTGACTTAAGGTACTGGTTAATTTTAACGTTCAGATCTGACATATTTGACCTTTGACCCCTCTCAAACAATGTGAGTGTTTTTCTTCGTACCTCCTGTCGATGGTGGTGTAACACTCCTTTAGCCAGCTGATTCCTGGCAGTTTGTCTTTCTGACCTCCAGCGCACAGATACACGATCACGTAGTTTTCTGCGACCATCAGCTCCAGAGTCCCGACCACGTACCTGCAGACAGAGAACATGGTGTTCATGATCCCTGAAGATGGACCACATCTGAACTTGGACACGCCTCCAAATTAGCTGCACCTGAGCCGTACCTGAACAGGTTGTCCATCACGTACTGGTAATTTTCCAGGCTATTCTCCGGCAGGTAACAGGAAGAAAACACAATGATGTCGTTCATGCCGTCTCCATAGTAACCTGAGTGACAACAGAAGAGGGGGGGTGAGGGGGCGTGAACTCCAGGTCACCATGAGGTAACTGTGATGATGTCACCGGGTGAGTGGGTGTACCTCCGTGTGAAAGGACCTTGAGGAACGGCCCCAGGACGCTCATGTTGACCCGGCTCTCCTGCGGCGGTTCACCTGTGGAGAAACAGCGCCACCTGGTGCCCTCGCTGTCCACCATGTCCTCCCGCTCTAGAGCTCCCAGGTCAGTGTGCTCCATCTCAGACCTGGATCCAGTCCGAGAATCAGACCTGGACTCCAGACCTGAACCGGGAACTCTGTGACGATGGGACGCCACACCAAGGCGTCGAAGGTCGTCTATGAAACAAACCTGTGAGATCATTTACGGGTTTAAAGGTAACCCTTTATCGTCTTCAGACATTTTGACCTTTGACCTCTCACCTTCCAGATCCAGATCGTAGATGGGAAAGTGCAGGGATTCGCTGTCCGAGGGGGTTTCTATGGCGTCCAGGTCAAAGTCCAACCCAACGTCGTCATCCCCGTCATCAGGTGAGGGGGAGAGGAAGGGCGAGGGGAAGTCGTCTGAAACCGTTGACTCTGATCGACCTGGAAATGAAAACCTGACATGAATCCAAAATCGATCAGAAACTACAGACCCGGACCAGGAACCCAGATGATCAGGGGGCGTGTCTCAGTTCTGTGTTTTTTTTTTATGGTCAGTTGTGAAGGTGGAGACACTTTTGGACCTTTTTTGGACTAAAACCCAGAAAAAACGTCTCACATTAAACTGAGGAATGAGGCGCCAAAACAAATCCGTCAGATGACTCACCCCCAATTTTCACTGCATCCGAAACGGCTCTGATCCAGAACAGCAGCGATTTTCGCCGTCTGCCATTTCCTACCGGATCCGTTTGTGAGGCAAATTTTGTGGCGGATTACGGACAGCAGGAATTACGAGAACTCACAAGAACTCGCGGACTCACGTTCAATCGCGTGATAACGAGTTGTCTCTATACAGACAGCCACATAGACATATAAGCAGTAGATTGTGTCCCTCCAGAGGAGGAAATCTACTTCTAGACTTCTAGAATCAGCATCTCCTCATCCATGGTGTCATCGGGGTGAACTGACGTCTAAAAACCTTTCACTTGTTCGTCTCCACCCATTTGCTAGGTGTGAAATATTATTCGCCTGAAGTAAGTCCAGTTGTTCTTTCCAAAAGAGGGTTAGATTTTGATTTTGATCCGCAGAGGAACGGAAAGAAGCTGGTGGAAATTGGAATGTTAACTTGAATGGTTACGATCAGCTACGATCGGAGGATACAACCTTTTCGTAACCGTTCGGGATGCAATGGTCATTGGGGGTCAGACTCTGAATCATGTGACTGCAGTCTTCGTCATCAAACACCAATCAGATCTCAGGACTGTGGATTTTACCTAAAGACAAACTCAGAGCTGGAGCCGTCAGGACTTTCTTCTTCCTGGGCCGGGACCCTGATAAGGCCAGACTGGTGGGAGGAGCTGCAGACAACAAATCGTTAAGAGTCAAAGTGGGTTAGTTGAAGGTTTTTGGAGTCAAACTGCTCAACACTGATGGACAGAAAAACGGATCAGGTTTTGTGCGGAGTTGTACCCGGTCTCTCCCTTGTTGGTGTCGATAAGTTCTGCTCAGGGACTAAGTTCTCCTCCACGGACCCTGATGATAAAGGGGGACAGAGATGACAGAGTTTGAGTTTCATGTCCGAATCTGTTATCATCACACCAGATCTCTCTCCAGAGACTCATGGATGGGTTTCTGAGACTGCGGATCTTAACCCATGTGACACCTTGTGGCTTTTTTTTGGCCAGTTCAGTGCAAATCCCCATTTTTTTTTACCAACACTCACTTTTTTTTAGAGAGTGAAATAATTTTTGGTGAGGAAATTCAATTTGACAAAATATTTTTTTCAACATTTTTGCAAAATCAAAAATGGACGGTGATCATTTTTTATATAAAAAATCAGTCATTTTTTTGTGTTTTTTTTCTCCACCAAATCAGTGACATCACCTCTAAATATGGCATTTAAAGGGTAAAAACAATATCTATTTTAAAAAATGTTTGCATTTTTTATCAGGACTGAGCTTGTTGAAGAGATCTGAGAAAAAAATAAAATAAAATAACATCTCTCTGATATGTTTTTACAGAAGCTAAAGTTAGTGGCTACAAACAGCCAGAAGAGAAGGAAAGGGTGTAAAATTTAAAATTTGATGCTGCGCAAAAAATAATAATGCATCAAAGTCAGTGTTGTTACTAATATTTCACATATCCAAAAGTGTGATAGCCCTTAAAAAATATACAGCCTCTGATCATTTTTTATAATGGAAACCATCACCTCTAGAATTGGCATTTAAAGGGTTAAAATCCATGATATTATTTTTTTTTCTATAGTCTTGATAAGGATTGAGCTTGATGAAGAGATCTGAGACAAAAGTTTTAAAATATCTCTCTGATATGTTTTTACTGCAGCTAAAGTTAGTGGACAAAAACAGCCAGAAGAAGTTAGAAGGGTACACAAGGGTTAAACTCAATAAGAATAAACCAGGTTACCTGGTTCAAAGTCTCCCTCCGGCTGTGGACCACCTGGAGGGGGACAATCAGAGGACATGAAGAGGACACAAAGACATTCACCTGAAATTAGAGCCTCAAAGATGGACTCACCCTCCTCCTCCTCTTGGTCTCCTGAAGATGCTTTTTCCTCCTCTTCTCCGTCAGCTTTGTCTTTTTCTTCTAGACAGATGTAAAGGTCAAAGTTAAACAGCGAGGACAGAGAGACACCTGAGACAAAGACAAATGTCTACTCTGAATACTCTACCTGTTTTGTCTGCTCCTGCTGCTGCAGGTGTGACACAGTTTTCTTCCAGGAGTTTCCCCCTGTCCTCCTCCTCCTCTGTAGAAGAAGATTTCAGACAGTCAGACGTCTGTAGGACATGTTTGTTAGGACAGGTGTGATAGGACATGTTTGTTAGGACAGGTGTGATAGGTCAGGTCTGATAGGTCAGGAACCATTTATTCTCAGTGATTCGGTTTCAGATGTTTTTCCATGAAACTGAATATTTTTAAAGTTTGAAAGTGCGCAGACTCAAAGTAACAACACGATCACTTCCTGTTGTGGCGAGTACCAGAATGATAATCAGGTGACCCTGCAGGAATCGTGATGGCGGTTGTAGTGACATCATCAGCTGGGGCGGTCCCAGTAACAGCAGTGGTGATGGGATCTGTGATGCTGGTTGAGTTGGTGATGGAGACGTCTGCTGGTGGAGACCTGAACACAGGAACACATGAGCACTGAGACGGAACCACACTCTGAAACAGGTGAGGGTTCTACTGGGTTCTGGACCAGCTGTATCAAACATGTTCCTGCTGGTACCATCAGCTGTTCTCCAGAATGCAAAAACAGGTCCAATACAGTCCCAGTGACTGTCTGTCAACGCCCCTAAAACAACCCATCTTTGTCACACAGCAAACGACAGACCCAGACTTTGGTCCTGAGTGGTGTGCTGTGGGTCCGGGATCATAAAATTAAACCAGGAGTCCCCCAGGGTACCGTCTTTGGACCTATCCTTTTCGTTTTGCTAAATTCCTCAGTATGATGGATCAATAATTCATCAATATTTTGAACTGAGTGGGTTTATGTTAATCCGTTTGCAGACGATACTGACGTCTATCTCTCTAAGCATCATCTCACTTTAAATCAGAGGAGCTGAATTAAGGACAAAAGAAAAAGTCAGAGATTATATCAAACAAAGTGGTTTATCAGATTTATTATGTTTTTTTTTAATAATTTGTATTTTTTTAATTTTCAGTAGTTTTATTTTTTTTAATTATCAGTATTTTTTATTTTGTTATATTGTCTGTATTTTAATTATTAGTATTTTAATTTTTTAATTATCTGTATTTTTTCAATTATTGATATTTTTTTTCATTTTCAGAATTTTTAATTTTTTAAATTATCAGTTATTTTATTTTTTTAAATAATCAGTATTTCATTTTTTAAATTATCAGTACTTTTTTAACTATCAGTATTTTTTTTTTTAATTATCAGTATTTTTAATCTTTTAATGATCAGAATTTTTAATTTTTCAAATTATCAGTATTTCTATTTTATTAATCATCAGTATTTTTATATGTTTATTTTTCAGTTTTTTTTTAAGTATTAGTATTTTTTATTTTTTCTAATTATCTTTTTTTTAAATTATTAGTATTTTTGTTTTTTTAATCATCAGTATTTCTATTTTTTTAATTATCAGTGTTTCCAAACCCAACCAGAACCAGTGCCAGGCTCTCTGGATGAACTCTGACCTGTTGCTGTCGTCCTCTTGTTCTCCCTTTCCGGACTCCATGTTGTTTCCTGCAGACAAAGAAACCACATCAGAAGATTCAAGAGGATTTCTGTTCATCTGCAGTCCAGAGTTTAGGCAGGTTTTAACATCGAGCTTCACCCCCAGTATGTCAGCTGATCAGCGTTTGCATCTTGAAAGACCTCCGTTTGGACTAGAGGACAAAAATTAGGAATCATGTTTGAAAAACATGAATTCGATGTTCGTCTTTATTTTACAATCAGACCTGAGTTCCATCAGTTAACATGGAGGAGGCGGGTACTCATGTTTGGCTTCACTTTTTGATGCGGTCATGTCATCCATCATTTAATTCAGTCAATGACTTAAAACAGCGTGACAATGATAATAAATGATAATAAAGCCAAAAGTTTCTGATGATTAACATTTTTTTAATAAAAATCAGAACTTTTTCCTGGCAGCACTGAAACTCCATTTTTACTTTTTTCCTGGTAGAACTGAAACATTATTTTTCCAGAATCAAACAGGTGGCAGAGTTTGTCCTCACTCTGTTTTTGTAGAGTTTCCTCTCTGTATGGGAGCCGCAGCTCAAATAAGTGACAGTGAAAACAGACCAAGAGTAAACAGAGTTTCTCGTGCAAAGCAGAGAGCGTGAGCGTGACCGTCTGACGGTGGAAATCTGTTTGTGGTGAGCTCTTATCTTAAAGGTGAGGTGAAGGTGAGCAAGGGTTCAGGTAAATCTATAAACATGGAGAAAAGAAAGACAGAGAGTAAAGCGGTAAAGACTCACAACAGCTCTGGTCCTCAGGAGTCGACAGGAAACTCGCTCAGCAGCAGCAGCAGCCAGGTGAGACGGTTAGGGCAGGTGAGACAGGTTCAGGACAAACGCCTGGAGACTCACCTGATGACATCACAGTGACTTTTTATGAGTTAACAAGCAGACTCTATCACCTGACCTGTCTCCCTGTCTCTCTCTCTCTGTACTCTCAGCCTACAGCACAGCACAGGTGGGGTGTGTTGCTGTGGTGAGGGCCCGTCCCTATTGCCATGGCAACTGTGACTGTACAAAGAGGGGTGGGACCTGCAGCATGCATGCCCTTACCTGTAGAGAGTGTTCACATAAGGGTGCAGGGCTGATTGCACAAGTAATAAGTGATTATTTGCTGCTGTGTCTGCGGGTTAAGAGAGTATGACGGCGAGGAGATCTAAATCTGAGGAGGGTTGGAAGGGTTATTATTTTTACTTATTAATTATCAGTTTTTTTATTTTTTTATTTTCAGTATTTTAATTTGTTCAATTATCAGTATGTTTATTTTTTTAATTGTCAGTATTTTTATTCTTTCAATCATCAGTATTTTTATTTTTCAGCATTTTTTTAAACTATTAGTATTTTTATTATTATTTTCTAAATATAAGTATTTTTATTAATTTTATAGTTAAAAGGTTTAAAGCGTCTTTGATTCTTAACATTTTCAGTCCCCAAACAGCCGAATATCAGCCATACTTACTGATCAGCTGCAGGTCATTAAAACAGGAGCTCATACCAGAGAAATAAAGCCTGCAGTTCCTCAAGTGTCAACTAGAGGCAGTCCGAAAATAAAACAAATATTTCCTATTGAGTTACAATGTAAACTTTAAAACTTTAACATACATGTTTACATACATACATACAGACGGATAAAGCGAATTAGGGGCATGGCCTCTTTCATTGACAGGTGAGCAGGTTGTAGGCGTTGCTCTCAAGACTGTGTCTCCAGTATTGGCTCTGCCTCTTTGTCTGTGGCAAGATTTTTAGAAAACGACCGACGCCATCTTGGTGGCGTCACTGAGCGTGTCCGTGTTTAACACTGTTTACCAAATCAACATCAGGCAGTCCTGCTGAAGTCTAAACCAGGACTATATGGTGACCCTGATAGTCCACTACACAAATACTTCATTAAACAAAAACAAAGTGAAAAAACATTTCTAAAAAATTTAAACTTATTTCAGTTTAAAAATGGTTAAAAAAATGTAAAAATGTTTATGATGAATTATTTAAAACATCTGTAATATTTAATGAAAAAAAAAACATTCAAAAAACTGTCAAAATATAAAACTTCTTTTAAAAAAACCAAACATTATTAAAAATTAACGTTTTGAATCTTTTACTGTCAATGAAATGTTTTATTATCTTTTCAATTTTTATTTTTTTATTTGCAGAGAGAAAATAGAAAATCGTCTCAGCTTTGGTCTGATGTCTTTTATTCGGTCAGAGCAAACACCAAGCTCCTGTTTGTAATTTAAGAAGATTTAACCCTGACTGTCAGCAGAGGGCACCACACAGTCCATTTGCCCCAAACCAACACTGAGCCGCTGTGAACATTTCTTTGTACAGCTTCACGTTCATCTTTTTCTGTCCGTAAAGTTTGTTTGTCGGAAATCAAACTTTAAAAAAAAAAATCAGAGAACTGGATTTTAACTTCATCAACGGCGAAAAACGAACTGATAAGAAAATCTGAAACATGAGATCAACTCAAACATACAGGGGAGTCTTTCCTGCCTTTAAAGCCGCTTCATCAGGCCGCAGAGCGCATCAATGCGCCGCCCACATTTACAGTCTGAACACTTCAGGAGTAAATTCACCAGAAACGATGATTTCAATCTCAAAATGAACGTCAAAGGATGAAAGTTACGACAGCAGGAAGTGTTTCACCGTGAGCGAATGAGAGCCGATGATCTACATGAGGGTTCAGATGATCAAAAAGATCAAGACCATGAAACTGAAAAAAATATCTGCTCCTTTTATTTTGGAAAAAATGATCCAAAAAAAAAAAGAAAAAAAAAAACATATGGAGGAACATTTCCAACTAATGAGGTGAAGGTCCAACACGTGAGTCACATGACCAGGTCTAAGACGGACCTTCAGAGAGACCGCGTCCATTTAAGGTGGACAAGGAAACAGTCCTGTGGTCTGACCAATCAGAATCTGAAGTTCTTTTTAGTTGTCTCTCAGGAAAGACTGTGACAACATTTGACTTTCAGACTCCAGAACCTGGTCTTTATGGTTCACTAAAGTCCACCCGGAACCTCTTTGTACAAACGTGTCTTTGCTTCCAGATTTAAAGGAGCAGACAGATTTTGAAACCATCAGGAGTTTTTCTCGTTGTAGTAGCGGTGGAAGAGTCTCTCTCTCGCTCCTCTTCGTCACGTTGTTTTCCTCTTCTCTTGCTCTATTTCTTCATCCGCCTCTGTCTCACCTGTCTGATGTGTGCTGAGGTCATCACTCTGGTAAAGAGCCTCCCTGTCGTCCAATCCGAGGTCCTCGTCCTCAGTGGCATGTGTGTGTATGTGAGTGTTAAGCCCCGCCCTCCACCTGAAGCGCAGCGAGCACTGGGAGCACTGGTACGGTTTCTCTCCGGTGTGGATCCTCATGTGCTCCCTCATCTTGTCTTTCCTGCTGAAGGGTTTGCTACAGTCGGGGCAGCGGTGCGGCCGCTCGCCGCCGTGCGTCTGCATGTGTCTCTTCAGGTGATTGGCCGACACCACGCGCAGACCACAGAGCGCGCAGGTGTAGCGTTTACTCTCGCCGGTATGCGTGCGCAGGTGTTGCAGCAGGCGTCCCTGCTCCCTGTAGCTGCGTCCGCAGTCTTTGCAGCTGAACGGGCGCTCGCCGCTGTGCACGCGCATGTGGCTGTTCAGGTGATCCTTCCTCTTGTAGCACTTCCCGCATTCCACGCACTGATGGCGGCGCTCATCTGAGTGTGCCTGCAGGTGGCGCCGCAGGTGGCTCTTAGCGCAAAAGCTCAGGCTGCAGAGCTGACAGCTGAAGGGTCTCTCTCTTACGTGTGTCTTGGCGTGCTCCAGCAGCGTCCTCCTCTGCAGGAAACGCTTCCCGCACTGGTGGCAGGAGAACTGGCGCTCGCTGGCGTGTGTCTTGAGGTGAGCTGAGAGGACGGATTTACTCTGGAAACGTTTGTCACAGTCGGAGCACTGGAACGGACGCTCACCCGTGTGCGTCCTCTGGTGGATCTGCAGGAGACTCGGCCGGTTGAAGCTCTTTGGACAAACGTCACACTGATACTCCTTCTTCATCCTCAGCTTGCCGTCAGCTCCACCTCTTCCTCCTTGCGATGATGGTGTCCTTTCCTTTGCCGAGCTGTTGGCTTGAGGAGGACTGGAGTCTGGATCCTGACTGCAGTCTTCATCACCATCATCATCCTCTTCCTCCAGTTTAACCTCCACTTTAAACCCCTTCTCCTCATCATCAGAAGCGCCTCTCCCATGGCATTCTGGGTAAATAGAAGTGGCTGAAATAAATGTACAAAATATTTAACGATTAAACACAATATAGAAAGAATTTAAATTAGTAGCTGAACAGTTAACTGCCTTCATTGATGCAAACTCCATCTTTAACACCGTCCAATCAGGGTTCAGGTGATGTCCTGATGGCAGCAGACTCTACAGTCTTGGTACTGTCAGATCTTACTGCCGCATTTGACATGGTGGACCATGAAGTCTTAATAAATAGACTCAGAGACAATTTTTGGATTACAGGTACTGTTTGGAATTGGTTTAGGGCTTATCTGACCCACAGGAGATTTGTGGTCCATGTCAACCAGTTATTATCTGACTCGACAGGGCTAGGCTGAGGGGTCCCGCAGGGATCAGTCCTTGGCCCTTTTCTCTTTTTGCCTTACATGACCCCTCTTGGACAGATTATTAGTGAATTCAGTTTAATTTCACTTTGTGTGATTTTCAGTGTGTTATGTGGTTAGGACATGTTGCGCCTGAGTTGACATGAAGTTGAACTTGAGGATGTTGGTGTAGTGCTAGCTTCGGCGAACACAGGAAAATCAATACACCTCGAAAGACCCAACACAGTGGAGAATCCAGTTCAGTGGCTTTACAGTTTGGTTGCTTTACTCATAGAAATAAGTACACAGACCCCTCGCTATTTTTCAGTTTTGGTCCACGGCAGCTCACTTTCGTTGTGTTTTTTTTTTATTTGGGTCCTTTTATTTTCACAGTAAGTTTTTTTTTTTTTTTTTTTTTTGCATCATTAATTTCCGTTCCGGCCTTTTGAAAAATATCTGCACCCTTCCTTTATTTTTAAAAAATTTTCAGCGAGCTTCTGTTGGGGCTTTCTTATTTTAATTCTTTTTTATTTGCAGCAGCGGCGGTTCTCGGCCACCGTACCCAGCCCTAATTTTAACTAAATTAGGCAGTTTCACGTTGACTGGACCCTCTGATCCCAACAAAGTTTCATTATTTATTCAGTATTTCTGTAAGGTATACGTATCTCAGATATACAGCAGAGTTCGTGTTCAGATAAACTTCTTAAAAAGTGTTTTAATATCTTAAAATCTTAATTATCACACCTGAGTTTCTGTCTCCTCTTTCTCTTTGCTCGCCAATTTCTTTTTGCTTCATGTTTTCCCGCCAAATGTCAGGCCTCCGGTTCTTCCTTCAGCCTCGCGAATCTCCGGTTTCCGGTCAGAGGCAGAACCACCGGAGACGAACTGGAGAGGTACCGGAGAACCGGGATCCGACAGTCCACCCAGGAGCGGAACCGAAGATGCTAACATGCTAGTAAACAAAACTTGTGTTAATACGTCACGTCCGGAGGGAGCCTTCAAAATAAAAGAGGTTCAATCGATCATTCTGAATCAAACAAAAATGGATTAAACAAACTCTGATTGTAATTGTTAAAACTTCTCCAAATGTTACAGAATTTTTAAAACTCTCATACAAGATTTAAAATCTACGACGGAGGATTAGTGCCACATCAAGAAAAAAAAAGACTTTACGAGAATAAAGTCGTCATAAAGTGAGAGCCATGGAGCATTTCGTGAAAATGTACTTCAATATATGTTTCTCAAACAAGGAGATACTTCATCTTTTGGTACGTCAGAACCACATTATCATAGAAATAGTAGCAGTAGGAAATGATTACGACTTTATTCTCGAAATTAATTACTTTATTACGACTTCATTCTCGTTAGTGATGACTTATTCTCGTAAATTAATGACTTTAATCTCTAACTCTACTCGAAGTCTTAATGTTGTTTTTCTTAATGTGGCCCTAACACTCCGTCACAAAAACCTGTTATTTGAAAAACGGGCTAAAAAGTTTGACTTCTGAAATGTTGGAAATAATGTTTATTTTTGGATCAGTCCTGTGGGTTTAATGTAAGGAGGTAATTTACAAAAAAAGAACAAATGTAGTAATATTTTTCATTTTTATTTATACTACTACTACTACTACTAATAATAATATATTTTTTAAATTAATTTATTTATTTTGTGTGTGTGTGTGTGTGTGTGTGTGTGTGTGTGTCCCCTGCAGACATCACTGAGTCAGTTGTCTTTTATGTAGCAGATGGAAAGACCGTTTTTCAAGTTTTATTCCGTTCGTTATCTAGTGCTCTATGAAGTATTGATATTTATATATGTAAACATAACTATAATTCTTCTCATAGTACAAGTCACCTTGTTTTATTCTCCTCATTTTCATGAGTGGCACTTGATGCCCAGTATAACCGAATCGTATGAAGTTGGTTCCTCGTCCTTCCTGAAATACTCAGTGTACAGTACAGAGTGTCACAGAAAAACAGCACTATGTTTTATGGTACTAATTGTCACGGATGGGCGGAGACTGATTTTAGCGTTTATCTGGCGGCTTAAAACAGCCGCGGGACCTTAGCACCATATTCAATTACATACTCTTTATCACGAGATATATTTTTTTTGATTGAAAGTGTGACTCTAATGACAAAACTAAACACACCGCCCACTTCATCTGCCTCGGAAAACAAATCAAACAAACACGAGCCCGTCGAAGGTGCGACGAAAGGTAAAAGTTTCCTTCAACTACTCTGAGTTATCTTATAAATAGACGTGTATTTTGCCGTAAAAATCGTTCAAAGAGCTTGGAGATGTTCTGCAGAAGAAATCCTAGACAAAAAAACCCTCAAAATTAAAAGTTAAGCAAGGTGCTGCACCTGATATTCGATCTTGTACTGAAACCAAACTTCTTTGAATTATTACTCACTTCTTATATTTTCATGTAGACATAAGGACTGCGCAGATTAAGTACGCATGAATACATGTTTTATTGGACCTTTGAGCTCATCGTTATATTCGGCCCATAACGTGTACAGAAAATCCAACGCTTTCCTTTTTCTTCTTCGTATAACAGTACCACTCCGAACTCTAATAACCGGCGACAGGAGCCAAACGACGGCTTGTTGTGTGGAACAACACCTCTCTTATAATTTTAAAGATGTACATCATTGATGTCAAACTACGACCGAAGTGTAAAGTGTTGATGATAAGATCTGCAACCGTTAAAAGGGCTGATAAGTTTGGTGTTTTATTGTGTTAAGAACAATCTGATCGAAATTAAAATGATTTTTCAGGGAGTTTTGGTGAGTCATTGCCGAACAAGGTGGGGCCAAGCTATCCGATTACAGCCACAGTTTTATTTTCTTGCTTGAAAGTTAGTTCTTGTCCTAAAGTTTGTTTTTCTTCCGAAACTTTTGCTTCATGTTTCATAAACAAAGTGAACTGTTTGTCACAGCTAGCACGTATTTTTCTACGGAAGTTAAGTGCTAGCTTAGTAGCTAACGCGGACGGTAAAAGTTGTCCGGATGTGACGTTGGTAGGTTGTTGTCTTTGTAAGGTGGGCGTGGTCTGTGCGGAGAGGAATGTAAACAGCTAGCATGCTAGTTGAGCAGTGTGCGGACCCGGTGATGGTAAGCTGTCTTTTATTGAAGTGAGAGTTTCTGTGTGGTACCGGACTGATGAAGAGGTTCGGTGTGGTTCCTCGAAACCCGGCTCTCTCCTTGGGTTCTGCCTCTTTATGGACCCAGAGCTAAGTTAGCTCGCGTCGCGGCTAGCTGAGGTTTGCTAAATCTGCTTAAAGCTGGCCGTCAACAGTCCGCGTGCTTCTGTGTTTCTTTCTTCTCATGTTATAATGTAATTAAGAGCTAGTAACGATAGTTATGATAGACTAGAGAACAAAAAAGTCAGTGTTAATCAGTATTAAGTTTGTGTTGAGAAACTCCTTTAATCTAAATCAGTTTATGATGCTTTATTGACAAAACAGTAATCAGATTATATGGAACCATAAAAAACAAAGAAGTACGGCAGCCCAGAGCGGACAGGCTTTACATTTGCTCTGGATTTATTACTAAGGGAGGTTAATTCTGGGGTTTTTTACAGCAAAGACTAACTAACTAACTAACTAACTAACTATAATTAACTAAAAACAAACAAACTATAACTAAAACTAACTATAACTAACTATTTAACTAACTATAATTAACTAAAAACAACTAACTAACTTTCTAACTTAATAAACTTACTAACAATGAACAAACTGTAACTAACGAGTAAAGGAGCGAAGGAACCTCGTGTAAATAAATGATGATAGTCAGTGTTGGGAAAGTTTATTTTCTACCCAAACTAGTTCAGTCCACCGTTCATAATTCCACATTTTCATGGTTCCCAAAAATGAACTTAGGGTCTTAAAGGGATATTCTGGCGTAAAATTAATTTAGGGTCAAACACACCATAACACTGAGTTAGACACCCCCTCCAGAGATAAATGTTGCCAACTGCTTGCTTCTCTAGTTATACCAACTTTAGTAACAACCGCAGGATAGCAATACACAGCAGTCTGAGGAGCCATAATCAAACCTCAACCAAAACGCCACTCTATAGCCACAAATAATGCTCAGAACAGCACCTAACTTCATCAACAGGACATATAGGGTCCCAGCCATAGTACTAGCCACCAAACATCTTTTTAACTTTGCCTAATTTCAAAGGAAGTTCCATTATGGACAACAGCAGGGTGATACAGCTCAAGGAAGAGCATTTATGATCATTTCTTCATGGAAATACAACCAGACCAAGACGCTAAGGCAGAAGAACTACCGCGTCGGCAATGCAAAATTATTAATACGGTGATTATTACTTCAAGGAAAAGATAAAGAAATGATCATAAATGTTCCTCCTTGAGCTGCATCACCCTGCTGTAGTCCGTAATGGACTGGCCTGAGGTCTCGCTACAAACAAGCGGCTGCTGGAAGAGAGTAGGTGAGTTGTGTTTAGTCTCTTTGCTAAAGAAATCTTTTTAAAGAAGACCTGTAATGTAAATCATCTTTAATCAGATTAAAGTTTGGTAATGTTTGACCTCATCATCATCATGTCGTCATAGACGTGTCTGTTTCTGTTGTGGTTTGAGGCTCTGGGTGTGTTCATGATATTTTAGGATAATGTTCATACTATGCCGCACCCTGAGGTGATGAAGAGGAGGAGGAGCTGCTCCTCTTCCTCTTTTCTGTGACTCAGAGTGACGCTGTGTTATTGGACATAGGAGCATTGTGGGAAACTTAATAGATTGTTAGGCTGAGTAATAATGACTGTGTTCACTCTCCGTGTTGTTTACCGACTGATGGACACACACACACACACACACCTTCTCTTAAATAAAAGTCACTTCGTCCTCAAACTGTCATTCAGAATTAGTGAAGGCGGACTCTGTCAAACCGTCTGAACCAGGTTTTCTCCTGATGTCTCTCCCCTGAGCAGGTGATGCATCACAGTTACATTTTGGGATGATAAGTCCTGTCTTTGTTCTGAATCCTTCTTCTGGTTTGTGTCTCCTCAGGTCTGACGGAGAGTCTGGAGATGGATCAGAGGAACCCTGCAGAGCCTCAGCAGAGACTGTGAACGTTTTCTTCCTCATGACCAAAGACTTGCCTCATGTCAGCAGCTGTTCGTCCTCTTCGCTGTCAGGTGGGAGGGTGTCTTTGTTCGTAGGAAGGTGAGGAAGGCGCCTCGGCTCTGACAGGGATTTTCTGAGTTTCTTGTGGCGGCCATGTTCGGTCCTCCCTCCTTCGCCGTCACGCCTCCGTCTGTAAAAACGTGTGATCCCCTAAAGCGAGGCGGTTTCCTCATGAAGACGTCAGCATTCTGATTGTTCTTTTTCTCCACTTCTTCACTTGTGTGCAGACGCAGTGTGTGTTTGTCGTCCTGAGACGGTTTCTTTATCCTCAGCTGATCGGCCAATCATGGCGGAGTCCAGCTCGGACCCGGCTCCGGCTCCGGCTCCGGCTCCTGATCTGCTTATTGGTCAGAACAAACAGGAAACACCTCTACCTGCAGAGAGCGTCGCCAAAGAACTGATTGTGTCCATGATGGCAGAGCGGCCTAGCCCCACGCCAGGGTCAGAGGTCAAGACCGAGGTCCTGAGCAGAAACGGGGATGCAGACAGTCCTGTTGCTCCAAAAGTTCAGGAGGAGGAGGATGATGAAGCCACGCCCACACCGCCTGAGACCTCATCCTCACTGTCATCAGGAAACGGACTGACGACCGCCATCACCACCGAAGAAGAGTCTCTGTCAGCGCTGCCGCGACACATCAAGACTGACAGAGGAGGAGAGCCAGGTGAGAGACCAGACCAGGTCTAGATACAGTACTGGGTCACTAAAGTCCCTCTAGAGTCCGCTTACTTGTCCTGATAAGATCCTGAAACCACCAATTCGGCAGCGCGTCTTTAAAGAAAATTACAAGAAATCCAAAACCAGCAGACAGTCACCTTAGGCTGCATGAGCGCATGATCTCTTCACTCACTAAAATCTGCAAACCAAACATTATCGTTTTTAGAAAAGAACTCAATCAAAAACATTAGAAATAAGAAAGCCGACAAAACTACATCTGCGTATCAGGGACACAACGAGTTTTTTTTTTTTTTTAAGACTTAGAGATTAAAGTTGTGAACTTGGGATAATAAAGTCATAAAGTAAATAAAGTCATGAAGCTGCTTTTGTGGATGAGGAAATGACTGAAGCTGGTCATCTGCAGGGTTATCTGTGGATGTATCAGCGGGTCATTCAGAAAGATTTTGTGTTTTTTTAAGAAACAATCAAACTGATGATCAACATTTGTGATCCAGAGGGAGTCGAGCTCCGACAAGCACCCCGTCTTTGACACCAACGCCTTATTATGGCATATGGATTCATATCATAAACTAAAGCTCAATGTCATTCACGGCTATTTACAACTGCATTAACGGATTTATCCGCAACATATCCATATCTGCCTCCACAAAAACAGCGATTTCCTCCAAGTACACCTGTTTTTTTTTTTTTTTAATCCACGTGGAAAAGACGTATTTCTCATATATTCTTTTTTCAGTCTTTATACTTGTGACAATGTGATGCTGATGTGCCAGAGGATGAAGTATCTCCTTGTTTGTGAAACCTATACTGAAGCACAGTTCCTTTAAATGCTTCATGGCCCTAATTTTAACAAGTCTCTCTGAAATAACAGGTTACGACTTTATTCTCATAAATTAATGACTTGATTCTCGTAAATTCACGACTTTAATCTCAAAGTCTTAAAAAAAAAATCTAAATAAGGCCCTCATACTCCTTCATACAAAACAATCATTGAATGAATTTTGTGAAAATGATCTGTGCTTGTATGTATCTACTGTTTTGTGTCTGTGCAAGGTCGCACAATTAAAAAATAAATGCTGTCAGTCAGTCGTGACGCGAGCCTGAGGGCGGGGACATCTGGCGACTCAACCAGGAAGTCCTCCGAAGGGTAGACCGTACCAATTCACAAAACCCGGACCATCTCACTCAGGGTACTGAAGTCCACATAATGGCTAAGTGCACTTGAGCGCGCTCAGCTGTATGCAGTCTCTGAAATGAGACACAGCCTGCGTTGCTTTGACAAACAGGTTTGTAAAAATGAACTTGAATGAGGCATTCCTAAGAGAAGGCATACTGGATACACCTTTATGTTCTTACTGAAAACCAAATTAAGATTTGTGATTATTTTGATCCAAAAGTCTTGAATATGAATGCATGACCATATTGAATGTATAAAACTGTCAGCCTCCTTTTTACATTTGATACATACAGCCAACTTTTCAGGGTCCATCCTATGTCTAAGTTGAGATCTGAAGGCGGTGTTGTAGCCTGAACTCTTAACTCTTTAACCTCGTCAATATCTACCCCAACGCTATAGTAAAAAAAAAACACAGAGACACGCCGGCGCTCAGGAGGCGCCCTCAATCAGCCATTGTTGTTCTGGGCTGTGATTGGCCGACAGCCAGCAGGGACAGGGTCTGAGATCAGAGAGAAACCAGTTCTTGGACTACAGCGAGGTTTATGTGTTCAGAAAAGGTTTTTTCTCTGGTCTTCCTCAGGTCTAGACCTGGACCTGGAGGAGAGCTCCTCTGTGGCAACCGCGGGTGGCTCAGACGACCAGCGGGAGTCCACAGACTCCGCCTCCTTCTCCATCCCCAGCCTGGAGATGTCTGATGGCGTGACGGCCACGGGGAATTCTCTGGATGTGGAGGACGGCTGCTCCTCCTCGTACTCAGCTCTGGGGGTGGAGGGACGGTCTCCGTCCACGGAGGTCCCCAGTCTCAGGGACGAGGAGGCGCAGGAGGCCGCAGGTGAGAGTCTGAGGATTAAAGGGATAGTATGGGTTTTTTTTATGGCGAAGGTTTATGAGGAACAGTTTCAGTCTGAGGGTTTTAGACAGTTAAGTCCTGAATTCATTTGTTCATTCCTATCGTGTTTACATTTTTTGTGTGATATGTAGGCCATATGAGCCTTTCATAACGGTGGTCATCCGGAAAAGTAAGTGGGTCCATGCAGATCCTGAAAATACTCGCGCTAGAGTGCTCCTGGGAAAATAAGAGCACCGAGGTCTACAGGATCCGCCAAGAACGGACAAGCCATTCTTCAAGACAGCTCATTGCAGGGTTTTTATACCTGCCCCGGAGCAGGTTAGCCGTTCAGCATATGTTGCCATGGAGACTTGCCTCGCTAAGAAGTGAACCCGCGTCGTAGAACAGGAAACCCCGAACTTATCCTCGAAGTTACCTCGCTAAGCAGTAATCCTGCTTTGTAGAACAGGCCCCAGATCACTGTTAAATAACCACGCAGAATAATCACCAAGTGTTTGTAAACAGGAAGTTAGATCAGACAGGAAGTGAGCGAGGAAACAAAAACCACTAACTCAGCAACACACACACACAGACTGATGAAAACAAACAGAGCTCTAACCCCCCCCTGTGTTTGATCATGTGGTTGTAGTTGCCCTCCTGCCCACAGAGGGCGCTGCTGCTGCTGCTGCCGCTGCTGCCGCTGCTCTTCCTCCAGAGTCCGGACCCTCCATGCCGGCGTATTACCTGGTGAAGTGGATCACCTGGAAAGAGAAGAAGACCCCCATCATCACACAGAGCGAGAACGGACCCTGCCCCCTGCTGGCCATCATGAACACGCTCTTCCTGCGCTGGAAGGTAAACGCACACTCGACGGTAAAATCAGCGGATCAGTTATTCGACCTTCTGCGTTCATGACGGCGTCTGACTATTTGTGTGTTTTTTTAGGCGAAGCTCCCGGCTCAGACCGAAGTGGTCACCACGGAGGACCTGATGGCCCACCTGGGTAAGACCTAACACACCAATCCACCAATCTGAGAGGCGGGGTTTGTGAAAAAGACGGAATGACCCTTTAATATGAGCTCAAATCTGATTGGCTGATGTGTGTGTTTGTGTGTGTTTGTGTAGGAGAGTGTGTGTTGTCTGTTACACCGAGAGAGAAGACGGATGGGATGGAGCTGAACTTCCAACAGGTATACACACACACACACACACACACACACACACACACACATACAGTACAGGCCAAAAGTTTGGACACACCTTCTCATTCAATGTCTTTTCTTTATTTTTTATATGACTATTTACATTGTAGATTATCACTGAAGGCATTAAAACTATGAATGAACACATGAAGAATTTAGAATTTTGTGTAAAAAAAGTGTAAAATAAGTGAAAACATGTTTTATATTATAGTTTCCTTAACATAGCCACCTTTGCTCTTGATGACAGAGGTACTTAGTGACTGACAAAGTAAAAACCATTTCAGGTGACGACCTCATGAAGCTTATTGAGAGAACAGCAAAAGTTTGCAGCGCTATCAAAAAAGCAAAGGGTGGCTGCTTTGAGGAATCTAAAATATAAAACATGTTTTCAGTTATTTCACACTTTTTTCTTAAGCACATGATTCCACGTGTGTTCATTCATAGTTTCGATGCCTCGACTGAGAATCTACAATTTAAATAGTGATAAGAATAAAAAAAAATGCATTAAATGAGAAAGTGTGTCCAAACTTTTGGCCTGTACTGGATATGCGCACACACACACACACACACACACACACACACACACACACACACACACACACACACACATATATACACACGCACATAAACACACACATACACACACACACATATTCACAAACACACACATGCACATAAACACATACATATATACACACACACATAAACACACACACACACACACATATATACACACGCACATAAACACACACATACAAACACACACATATTCACAAACACACACATGCACATAAACACATACATATATACACACACACACACACACACACACACACACATATACACACGCACATAAACACACACATACACACACACACATATTCACAAACACACACGTGCACATAAACACACACACACACACACACACACACACACACACACACACACACACACACAAACACACACACACACATAAACACACACATACACACACACACATATTCACAAACACACACATGCACATAAACACATACATATATACACACACACATAAACACACACACACACACACATATATACACACGCACATAAACACACACATACAAACACACACATATTCACAAACACACACATGCACATAAACACATACATATATACACACACACACACACACACACACACACACATATACACACGCACATAAACACACACATACACACACACACATATTCACAAACACACACGTGCACATAAACACACACACACACACACACACACACACACACATATACACACGCACATAAACACACACACACATATTCACAAACACACACATGCACATAAACACATACATATATACACACACACAGATTTACAAAAATATATTTACAAACACACAAATATGTACATACACACAGATACACACACACACACACACACACGTTTTTTAAAGTTCAGAAACATGTCTGTGTGTGTGTTTGTAACCGTGTGCATGTGTGTGTGTGTGACAGAACATGAGCGACGCCATGGCGGTTCTCCCGAAGCTCTCCACGGGTTTGGACGTTAATGTTCGTTTCACAGGTGTGACCGACTTTGAGTACACACCTGAGTGTATCGTGTTTGACCTGCTGGACATCCCGCTCTACCACGGCTGGCTGGTAGACCCCCAGGTAAACTCACACGCACGCACACACACACACGCCTGAATAAGTTCTTCAACAACTGTGTGAACTTTTTTGGGACTAATGAGGAGAAACGTTTGAGCAGCAGGAAGTGCAAGCACGGTCAGCTTGGCATTTGTGTCGGCCATGTTTGACCTTGGATCTGACCTTGAGTTTTTCTCGCTGTAGAGTCCAGAGACGGTGGCGTCTGTCGGGAAACTGAGCTATAACCAGCTGGTGGAGAAAATCATCGACTACAAACACTCAGTGGAGAGCAGCCGAGTCAGCGAGGGTAACACACACATTGACACACATACACACACACAAACTGACACAGACACACGCATACTGACACAGACAAAAACACACACACACACACACTGTCACAGACACGGATACACACACTGACAGACACACACATACTAACATAGGCTAAAACACACAGACATTCACACACACACACACATAACACACACACACATACGCACACAGACTGTTACACTGACAAACACACACACACAGGAACTGACACAGACAAAGACGCACACACATACACACAGACAAACAAAAACACAAACACACAACTGACAGTAACACACAGGCACAGACGCACACAGATACACACAGACAAACACACACAGGTAGGATAAATAAAGCTGTGACTCTGATCTGTGTGTCTGTGGTTGTGTGCCTGTGTGTGTCTGTGTGTCTGTTGTTGTGTGTCAGTGTGTCTGTCTCTGTTGTTGTGTCTGTGTCTGTGGTTGTGTGTCTTTCGTTGTTTGTCTGTGTGTGTTGTTGCGTCTGTGTGTGTATTTGATTGTGTTTCACCTCCAGGCCTGGTGGCGGAGCAGTTCCTGGAGTCGACAGCGACTCAGCTCTCGTATCACGGTCTGTGTGAACTCAACACCACGGCCAAAGAAGAAGAGATCTCTGTGTTTTTCAGGAACAACCACTTCAGTACCATGATCAAACACAAGGTGGAGCCGCACACTCACACACAGACACACACACACTGACACACACCTATACCTGTAGTTACCTGTTTTATTAAATGTTGGTGTTTTTTTCAGGGTCACTTGTACCTGCTTGTGACGGATCAGGGTTTCCTCCAGGAGGAAGGTCTGGTCTGGGAGTCTCTTCATAACGTGGAGGGCGACGGAAACTTCTGTGACTCCGACTTCAGACTGTGTCATCCTCCTCAGAGAGCTCCGCCCACTGCCACTGCCCTCCTGCCCACCGCCCAGGAGCAGCAGCGACAGATCGACCAGGTGAGTGTGTCCGGGTGACTGTGTGGGGGGGTCGGCCCTTGAAAGCCTCAGTAGGTGACATTTCCCCTCTCTTTCAGGACTACCTGGTGGCCGTGTCCCTGCAGCAGCAGCAGGGTGGGGCCCCGGGGCCCCTCAGCGACCTGGAGTTGGCCCGTAAGCTCCAACAAGAAGAATACCAGCAACAGCAGCAACTTCAGCAACAACAACAACAGCAGCAGCAGCAACAGGGGTCTGCGCAGGCAGCGCCACAGGTGAGCGACTTGTTTAGACAGGTGAAGATTTTAACGACCTGGAGAGGAAGACGGTAAACTCGACTGAACTTTGACCTCTGCTGCTGCGTTCGAGTGTCCTCAGAAGTCAGATGTCGAAGCTGAAAATGACGTTACACCCAAGTTCCCAGCGTTTCAGTTACAAAGTCGGAAACAAGCAAATCGGAGGCCTGAAACAAAATGGCTACATCTACGAAAGTTATATTAGTGTTTGCCTTATATTCGGACAAAGCAAGCACTAAAATAACTTTGGTAGATGTAGCCATCTTGAAATATTTAACATAGTTTACTATGACACTATTTTTTAATACTAAAATATATTTTCATACTTTACATTGATATTTTTACCATACTATACTGGGACATTTTCTTCATACTAAAATATATTAAAGACATTTTCACACTATAATATGAAATTGTTTAGATATTATAGTGATCTTCATACAGTACCCCCGTCTGACAACAGACGCTCTGATTGGTTTGATTTATTCGCGCTCACATCACACCTGTAACATCTGACAGACTTTTCTGATCTTTCTGACTCGGACTCCAACTAAAGTTTTCAGTCTCGCCCTCATTCATTGCCACGTCCGCTCGCTGCGCCCCCCAGTGGTCGGATTTATAAACACGCCTGACAGACGAGTGACCTGTTGGCTGTGTCTCATTTCAGAGACCGCATCGACCTAAGTGCCCTTCTGCACCGTCGAACGGTGCATTTGAAGTGTGCATGACGTCACGACGGTGCGAACGGTGTCCCATTTGGCACGAGATGCTAAAAAATGCTAAGCGCGCTTAGCATGTTTTCAAGCGTGGATTTATGCGCGCTTTCGTGCCGTCGGTATCCCAGAATGCTTTGCGTGCCGCTGCACAGCTGCACATTTCAGGTGAGAGGCTGGACTCGCTTGGAGACACAGCGCGTCTTCGAAGAAAATACAAGCAATCCAAAAACAGCAGACAGTCAGCTCAGGCTGTATTAGAGCATGATCTCTGAACTCACTAAAATCTGTAAACCAAACATTATAGATTTAGAGACGAACTGATCCGCTGTGTTACAACTATCAAAAACATTAGAAATGAGAAAGCTGACAAAACTACAGCAGAGTATCAGGACAACATTGAGGCTTTTTTCTTTTAAGATTTAGAGATTAAAGTTGTAAATTTAGGAGAATAAAGTCATAAAGTAAATAAAGTCATAAAGCTGCTTTTGTGGAGGGGGAAATGACTGAAGCTGGTCATCTGCAGGGTTATCTGTGGATGTATCAGCGGGTCACTCAGAGAGATTTTGTGGTTTCTGAAGAAACAATCAAACTGATGATGATCAACATTTGTGATCCAGAGGGAGTCGAGCTCCGACGAGCACCACGTCTCTGACACCGGCGGTAACCTACACCTGCAGAGACACCAACACCTTATTATGGCATATGGATTCATATCATAAATTAAAGCTCAATGTCATTCACGGATATTAACGGCTGCATAAACGGATATATCCTCAGCATATTCATTTCTGCCTCCACAAAAGCAGCGATTTCCTTCAAGTACACCAGTTTTTTTCCCCGTGGAAAAGACGTATTTCTCATATATTCTTTTTTAAAGTCTTTTTACTTATGACAATGTGATGCTGATGTGCCAGAGGATGAAGTATCTCCTATCCTCCTTCTCAATAGGGCCCTCATACTCCTTCATACAAAACAATCATTGGATTAATTTTGAGGGAATGATCTGTGCTTGTATGTATCTACTATTTTGTGTCTGTGCAAGGTCGCACAATTAAAACAATACATGCTGCGCTCCGCAGCTTTTTTTCTAATCAGTCGTGACGTAAGCCTGAGGGCAGGGACATTTGGAGACCTTCGGAGGACTTCCTGGTGGAGTTGCCAAATGTCCCCGCCCTCAGGCTCGCGTCACGACTGACTTAAAGGAAACCCGCGGAGCGCAGCATTTATTGTTTTAATTGTGCGACCTTGCACAGACACAAAATAGTAGATACATACAAGCACAATTCATCCAATGATTGTTTTGTAAGAAGGAGTATGAGGGCCATATTGAGATTTAAGACTTTAAGGACTTCGAGATTTAAGTCGTGAATTTACGAGAATAAAGTCATTAATTTATGAGAATGAAGTCATAACCTGTTATTTCAGAGAGAGTTGTTAAAATTAGGGCCATGAAGCATTTGAAGGAACTGTGCTTCAGTATAGGTTTCACAAACAAGGAGATTCTTCATCCTCTGGCACATCAGCATTACATTGTCATAAGTATAAAGACTTTAAAAAGAATATATGAGAAATACGTCTTTTCCACAGGGAAAAAAACTGGTGTACTTGGAGGAAATCGCTGCTTTTGTGGAGGCAGAAATGAATATGCTGAGGATATATCTGTCAGTGCAGCCGTAAGTATCCGTGAATGACATTGAGCTTTAGTTTATGATATGAATCCATATGCCATAATAAGGTGTTGGTGTCTCTGCAGGTGTAGGCTACGGCCGGTGTCAGAGACGTGGTGCTCGTCGGAGCTCGACTCCCTCTGGATCACAAATGTTGATCATCATCAGTTTGATTGTTTCTTCAGAAACCACAAAATCTCTCTGAATGACCCGCTGATACATCCACAGATAACCCTGCAGATGACCAGCTTCAGTCATTTCCCCCTCCACAAAAGCAGCTTTATGACTTTATTTACTTTATGATTCTATTCTCCTAAATTTACAACTTTAATCTCTAAATCTTAAAAGAAAAAAAAACCTCAATGTTGTCCTGATACTCTGCTGTAGTTTTGTCAGCTTTCTTATTTCTAATGTTTTTGATTGTTGAAGCAGAGCGGATCAGTTCGTCTCTAAATCTATAATGTTTGGTTTACAGATTTTAGTGAGTTCAGAGATCATGCTCTCATACAGCCCGAGCTGACTGTCTGATGGTTTTGGATTTCTTGTAATTTCTTCGAAGACCTGCTGTGTCTCCAAGCGAGTCCAGCCTCTCACCTGAAATGCACAGCTGTGCAGCGGCACGCAAAGAATTCTGGGATACCGACGGCACGAAAGCGTGCATACATGCACGCTTGAAAACGAGGCGGGGGTAGTGTGGTTTTGAGACCGAATTTGAAGCGCGCTTAGTATTTTGTGCCAAACGGGACACCGTTCGTGCCGCGTGGTGACCTCACGTACGCGTCAGATGCGCCGTTCGATGGCTGCTGTATCTGAAATGGGACACAGGAAGGGCACAGAACGGCGCAAAACGGCGTAAAACGGCTCAAAACGGCAGTGCACTCAGCTAAGCGCCGTTAAGCGCGCTTATCACGATGTGGTCTCTGAAATGAGACACAGCCGTTGTGTTTTTGTCACTGATGATGTCATTGTGTTTCCAGGTCAGAGGTCAAGGGTCACAGCAGGGCGGATCCAGGAGAAGAGAGAAGGACTCGGACTGTGTCCTCTTATAGACTCTTCATCATCATCATCATCTTCATCATATTCTAACGACAAACAACGACACACTCCTGAGACGGGACACACACACATTAACACACACGTTAACACACACACACAAAGCCAGTCAGCTCGATGCCAAACCCCAGTGCTTTGTTTGACCGTCTGATTCCAGGTTTGGGATTCCAGGTTTGGTAAAGTTTCCTGATGAGTCTGGTGGAAGATAATGAGCTGGTTTTTAATAACAGTTCTTGTTCTAACTGATCGATTGATTACTGATCAATAAATCTGTTACTGAAGCCCCGATCAGCAGGAAGAAAACTTCAAACTAAAATCTCAGCAGGTTTGAAAACAGACGGAAAAACATTCAGAGAAACAATTTGTTGTTTTGGAAACAAACCAATCGACTTTTTGTTTTCATTCATCTGATCAATGATTAGTAAACCTGATCAATAATTGAGCTGCTTTTGAAGAAATCAGATTTTTTTTTCACAGTCAAACTTTCTGAGATTTTCGTTTCCGATGAGGTGAATGTTTGTTTTTCGGGGCACTGATTAAAGCTCCAGTAGGAGATTTATTGACCAATAATAAAGCAGGTCGGTCCATAAAAACGTAATCAGGTGTAAAGGTGTATCTCACTGTTTACCTGCTGAGGTCATGTGACTCAGCCAGGGTTAAAGATGAGTTGGTGGTGGGTCTCATGACCTCCTCTAACCATCAGATAAACTGCTACTTCACTAAACTTTGAACCAGGCGGAGAGTTCAGAGGTCAATAATCTCCGTTAATCTGAGACAACAAAAACTTTTTCTGTTTAATCAAATCAAATAAATGTTTTTTTAAATTCGTTTCTGCTGTGACTCAAAAATCTGCCTGAAAATATATAATGTTGTATAAACTGAGTGACCATCGGAGTTTGTTTTCTTCATTTAGACAAGTGGAGCTGAACACTCGAGTACGGAAGCCCAAAGCTGCCAAATGAATAAATGTGATAAATTAAAGGTATCTTGAAAACACAGTCACTAACTATGATTGGATTTCTGACGTTAAAGTCGCTGATATTTCTGTCTTCATCTCTGTGATTTTTTTCTTTACTTTGAATTGAAAACTTTGATTCTTTTATTTCATTGTTAAAATAACTTCACAGTAAATATTTTCACTCTTCTGTTAGTCCTGAATTAAATAAACTGAAAACATTTATCAGAATAATTCTTTATTTTATCCTAAAATCATTTTAATAATTATCTTTAAACAGGAGAAAACAGTTTTGAGTGTTTTTGATTTTTTTCCCCCCTTTATTGGCACTACTGGGCTTTCGCACTCATTGAGTAATATTAGGTTGAGTAAAATCCATCACTCTGTGGCCCCTCTGGTTCTGATTCTGTTTGGACACTTTGGGCTGATCCAGCTGTACCTCTGTCTGTGTTTGGACCTTTAATTTAAAACGTTTTTCTGTAAATCGATAAAAATTGAAACAGATTCAGATTCAGCTCCTCCTTAAGAACGAGTTTTGTTTGATTGTTGGAAGACCTGTAACGAACATTCAGCACTTAAAACTTTCCGTTCATGCCTCTCTCTGAGTGTTCGGGGCGTCGCCGGTACTTCCTGTAGTCGTCCGGTGTTTTGATTAAAAGTTTTTTTTTTGTGTGTGTCGACAGCTGAGCTTCAGTCTGACTGTCAGGCCGCTGCCACGCTTGCTGTTCAGCTTTGTATTTAATTTGTCATGATGTCGAATTGTCAATAAAAACCAAAACAAAAGTAGACTCACTTCTTAAATTTTATTTCTGTTTTAAATTTTGTTGACTCACTTTTTTTTGTTTTTTGTCTCTATTTTAAATTTTGTCCACTCACTTCTTTAATTTTTGTCTCTATTATAAATTAAATTTAATTCTTCAGGACTTCCACTGAAGACAAAGTTCTTCATTTCTTTGGCTCAAGAGAAAAACCGGCCACCTGCTCTTCTCCTTTTTAAGGCTGACTCCTGATTAGCCAGGAATGAATCCACAGGTGAAGTCAATCATTCAATCAACCACTCCAGCCTGCAGCAGAGAGAGAAAGAGGACACCAGAAACCAACAGTACCCCTAACACTCACTGTTTTTTATTTATTTTTGATTGTTTATTTTTTATTCTTTTTGGATTGTCTTTTTGCAGTCTCAGTGTTTTTGTACGGAAGACAAACTCAGCCAGAAAAATAAAACAAAACTGTTCAGAATGAAAATGACTGACTCTTCACAAACTCAGTTTTAGCTTCATCTCCTATGATCACTTAAAGGTGGGGTAGGCAGGAATCCATTAAAGAGGCATTTTCTTTGTTGTATATTTACAAAAAAGCTTTTAATATCAGTCAATAGTTATTAGCTATTTATGAAAACTGGTAATATAACAATATCGCTGTGTTCTCTTATGTCTGTGTAGTCAACATTTTAACATTTTTGAGCGCTCCGCTCTTTCTGACTGTAAACAAAGCCATTCCCCACCTTCCCCATCCTGATTGGTTGTGAGGCAGACGCTGCTCCCCCTTATCATTCACGAGCCCAAACAAAGTTAGCGTGCTACAATATCTGACAGTAGAAACCAACCAGAAAGTTCGGAAAATTGTCTGGAGCAGAGAGGGAGGGGAGAGGAGGAGCTGAGGGGAAAAACTGGTTGGGAGGGAAAGAGTTTACATTCAAGATTTCTCCTAAAAATTGGAGCTAACTCAGATCCTGACTACCCCACCTTTAACTCACAGCACCTTGTCCAGTTAGGAGATCCCCTCTTGTGTGAATCTGCATGTGTCTGCCCAGGTTTCCTCTCTGATTAAATCTTTTCCCACATTCAGAGCAGCTGAAGGGTTTCTCCCCTGTGTGAGTCCTCATGTGTTGGTTTAGGCCCCCTTTGTCATTAAAATGTGTCGCACAAAAGGAGCAGCTGAAGGGTTTCTCCCCGTTGTGGATCCTCATGTGTTGGTTTAAGTGGCCCTTTTCAAAAAAGCTTTTCTCGCACTCAGAGCAGCTGAACGGTTTCTCCCCTGTGTGATACCTCAAGTGTCTGTTCAAATGTCCCTTTTCGTTGAAGCTTTTCCCACACTCAGAGCAGTTGAAGGGTTTCTCTCTTGTGTGAATTCTCATGTGTATGCTTAAATACCCCCTGTCATTGATTCTTTTCCCACATTCTGGGCAGCTGAATGGTTTCTCTTCCTTGTGAATTCCCATGTGTCGATTAAGATTGCTCTTCTGAACAAATCGTTTCCCACATTCAGGACAGTTGTAGGGTTTCTCTCCCTTGTGAATCCTCATGTGTTGGACTAGATGCCCCCTTTCATAAAAACTTGTACCACACTCAGAGCAGCTGAAGGGTTTCTCTCCTTTGTGATACTGAACGTGTCTTTTGAGATGTCCTCTTTCGTTAAATCTTTTCCCACATTCAGAGCAGCTGAAGGGTTTCTCTCCTGTGTGAATTTTTTTGTGTTTATTTAAATACTCTTTGTGTTTAAATCTTTTTCCACACTCATGACAGCTGACTGCGTTCTCTTCCCTGTGACACCTCATGTGTCGGTTGAGATCCCTACTTTGACTAAAATTTTTCCCACACTCAGAGCAGCAGAAGGGCTTCTCTTCTGCGTGAACAGTCAGGTACCCTTTTTGGTGAAATCCTTGATCGAACTTGTAACAGCTGAAGGGTTTCTCTTCCATGTGAATTCTCATGTGTTTGCTCAGATACTCTTTTATTTTGAATCTTTTCCCACAAACACAGCAGCCGAACGGTTTCTCTTCCATGTGAACTCCCAAATGCCGGTTCAGATCCCCCTCTCGGTTAAATCTTCTGCTGCACTTGAAACAGCTGAAGGGTTTCTCACCTTTGTGAATTTTCATATGTTGAGTCAGAATCCACTTCCTGCTGAATGTTTTACCACACTCAGAGCAGCTGAAGGGTTTCTCAGCCATCAAATTCGGGCCTGACTGATGTTCTGCTGTCTTCCTCCAGTCAGCACTGTCGTCAGTGTCAGTTTCAGAGTAGCTTGCAGCCTCGACCTCCATCACTAGGTGTAAATGAGTATCTGGGTCTAAGTTTTCGACTGGTCCTGCTCCTCCAAAGTCCTCTCTATCAGGTCCTGGGTCCATCTGTTTGCTCTGTCTTTTATGAAGCCAGGTGGACTGAAACGGCTTCTCATCATCTTCACTCTTAACAATGATGGGTGTAAAAGGAAACTCGTTTGTATCAGCCTCTTCTGGTCTTTGAAGTGGGTCATCCTGCTCCTATTTAATGTTTGGGTGTTCTGGTGGGTCCTCCTGGTCCAGTTGGGGGCTCCTCTCCTGCTGCTCTTCTTTTCTCTTCTGAAGGTGTTGGATGTCTGCAGAACGCACAGAAATACAACAACATAGATGTAAACTACAACTTTACACTGGTGTGTAAATGCAAGCTTATTGTTCCCTGTTGAGTGAGAAAGAGGGAGTGAGAACAAGAGAGAGAGAGAGAGAGAGAAAGAGAGAGGGAGAGGGAGGGAGAGAGAGAGAGAAAGAAAGAGAGGGAGAGAGAGAGAGAGAGAGAGAGAGAGAAAGGGCTATACATATATATATATATATAAACTTTTAAATGAAATTTAAAAAACGTATCAAGATAAACCTGCAATTTAAATTATTAGCAATTAAAATAACATGATTTCATCAACATGATGGTTTAAAAACATGATTATTAATGATTAATAACATGATGGTTACCATGAATTACTGCGAGCTTCTATTTTTACATGATTTTTAAAATCTCTATTTCAGGTGCAGCATCCAAGGACAAGCGAGTGGAAAGGGCTGTTGCTCTGTGCAAAAAAGTTGTTGCAGCCTTTACTTATTCATGGAAAAAGAAGAGAGATCTAGCTGAGGCTCAGATACAGTGCGGGGTCCCCCTACACAAGCTATGCACAGAGTCGGCGACCAGATGGGGCTCTCGACAAAAAAGGATTGCAAGAGTGCTGGAGCAACAGAAGCCCATCTCCCAAGTCCTTGCTGCAGACAAACACACCCGGCACCTGGTACCACACTGGCAGGACATAGAAGTCTGGGATTCTATGAATGAGGCACTAGGTCCTCTGGTGGACTTTACAGACAGCCTCTCTGGGGAGTCATATGTGACTGTGTCATATGTGAAGCCTGTGCTCCATCTGTTCCGCTCTCAACACCTCCATGTGAGTGAAGGAGACACACCTCTCACAAAAGAGATGAAGACCAAAATTATGGAATACCTTGATGAGAAATATGCAGATCCTGATACTGATGACTTAGTCGACATGGCTACCTTAGTTGACCCCAGATTCAAGATGGAGTACATCAAGCAAGACAAGGTAGAAGCCATCAAAACAAGGGCAGTGGCTGAAACCTTGGATGCTGGCCAGTTCCTTACAGGGGCTTCAGAAGTAGCAGGTGGGTTAATAAGGATAAATTTTTGATTGCACTGCTTCCTGTTAAAATAATGGAAGCTAATTATATAATTTTCATAAAATCTTTACTTTGAAAATATTTTAGTACAGTTAAAATGATCTGTGTTTAAGCATATCAAACTACATAACTACCACTACTAAATAACTTAACGTATAGCATGATTTTGTTTCAAACATTTCAAACTTTTTTTAAATGTCTTTGGAACTTATTTGTGCTCTCCTCTGTCTCTGTATGTCTGTCTCTCCCCCTCTCTGTTCCAGGTGCAGAGCCAACAGGTTCAGTTGCGGCTCGAGAACATACTACACCGCCTGGAAAGAAGCAGCGGAAATCGTTGGGGAGCTTCTTCAAGAAATAGTACCCTGCCCCTGATGCCTCACAACATCTCACTGAAAAGGAAAAGGTTGAAAGCGAGTTGGAGAGATACTTGACGCAGACTCAGAATCTATCAGGACTGCCTTAAAACCACATAAAGTGAACCAACTTGTGTTCCTCGTTAACAATTTGAGTTTCATTTAAGTACCAGCCAGCCCTACTTTTTGGTTTTATTTTTTGAAATATTTTAGTGCTCAGACACCGGGTTGTGGGCAGTTTCCCACACAGTTAAAACTGGTAGTATGCTATTCCCACCAAAAGCTATTCTATTTATTTATATATTTGTTTGTTTTGTTTATTTTCATCAAAAGACTGTTGAAATACTTATTTATCAGATTTTCTGGTCACTTCAGTCTATTCTTTATGTTTGTCAGTATTTACTGACGTCACTAAAGCCACTTAAGTTGATTTCTTTTTCTTTTTTAAAAAACTTTCAGTTGTGGTAAAAAAAAAAAAGGTGGTTGAATAAAGGTTTGAATTTGAATTCAGTGCTTGTGTGTTCTTTATTAAAAGTAGGTCATTAAGCAATAGCATAAAACATCCAGGGCTGCAATTAAAATACATGTTAAATTTTTTTTTGATAATTATCGATATCGATCAATATGATATTTTTATTATCGATATGCTTTTTTTCTATATCGTCCAGCCCTAAGAGGGAGAGAAACAAAGAGAGAGGGATCGAGAGAGAGAGAGAGAGAGAGAGAGAGAGAGAGAGAGAGAGAGAGAGAGAGAGAGAGACTTCTCAGCTGAGGAAATCATGAATTAAACTGACAGCAATAAAACAAATATAAACGTCAGGAACCATTTTAGCTTCCATGATCAAACAACAAGACAATCGAGATTGATCTAGAACTGTTTGGGTTTTAAGATGGACAGTGATTTTAAATTTGACAGGCAAATTAGCTCTGTAGTGAAATCTAGCTTTTACCATATTAGGCAGCTGGCGAAGGCAAAGCCATTCCTTGCACGTAAGCACTTTGAAACATTAATCCATGCCTTTGTTACATCTCGGCTGGATTACTGTAACGCACTTTATTTTGGAGTCAGCCAGTCCTCCCTCTCATGTCTCCAGTTAGTACAAAACGCAGCCGCCCGGCTCTTAACTGGAGTACGTAAGAGGGAGCACATTACTCCCATCCTGGCCTCCCTCCACTGGTTACCCGTGCATTTTAAGGTTCTTTTATTTGTTTTTAAATCTTTAAATGGTCTGGCTCCATCTTACCTCTCTGAGCTTATTATGGAACGAGCTACCCCTCCAAATTAGAGCCCCCACACTGTCCATTTTTAAAACTCGTCTTAAAACCCATTTTTATTCATTGGCTTTTAACCCTCCATGAGACTCGGCTACTGTTTTAGTGTTTCATTGTTTTTAGTTATTTGTTTCTATGTTTTTAAAACATTTATTAGTTTTTAAAAACATTGAAACTATATTTTACTTCTCAATTCTGCTTTTATTTTATCCATTGTTTTAACTGTTTTTTGATTGTTTTCTATGTCGTTGTTTTGTCTAGTTATGTACAGCACTTTGTTCAGCTGTGGTTGTTTTAAAGTGCTTAACAAATAAAGTTGAGTTGAGTTGAGTTGTTCGATCTATGTTCTGATGGAGCAGAGAGTGTTTGCCCTTTCTCTGCTCTTACTTTAGCTTAAATCAAGAGCAGAGGAGGAAAACAGAGCTGGACAGAGCACTCATTTATTAAGATCAGATATTCTTTTATACAGACAGGTTTTTATTTACCTTGCTGACATGTTTCGACGTGCTGGCAGCAGTCTACCTCAGAGTGTCACGTGATGGTTGTGTGACGCGTCTTAAAACAGCTGATGTTTCCAAAGCCGTGACCTTTTTATCAGTTTGACAGATCGGTCACGCCTTCAGCTGCCCGCTCGCCCCCTGCAATATGGCACTCCATGTGTGGGATAGCATATATGCCCCCTCATCCCGGTTGATGGTCCTCGGGCCTCGCTTCCAGATTTCCATTGCCTCCCTGATCCAGCGCTGATGTTTATTTTCTTCGGTGTGGATGACTCAGGCATTTCTCGTTTCTCTCGTTTGCAGTGGTCTGTGATAGTTGATTTGTAATTTTCTTGTTGTGCCTTTTCTTTTATTGTTCTTTTTTGTCTTGTTGCTGTCTCCTTCTCACACTCTTTCTTGTGTTCATTTTTTTGTATTGTGAAACTCCTCCCTGTCTCTCCGATGTATGTTTTGTTGCATGATTGGCATGGGATCTCATATATGGTACTGCATTTGTTTTCTGGGTGTATTCTGTCTTTTGGATGAACCAGTATCTGCCGGAGGGTTGTGTGTGGTTTGACAGGTGTGCTGATGTTGTATTTCTTCATTGCCTTTTGACACGTGACACTCTGAGGAAGACTGCTGCCAGCACGTCTGGCAAAACCTGTGTCTGTATAAAAGAACATCTGATCGTAAGTTATCAAAAAAGACACAATGAACCTAATCCAAGAATTCACTCATTTATGTTTAAAGATCATGATTTAATTATCAATACAACATGATCTTTGTGTCTTCATTAAGCAGCCCGACTGTGTCAAACTTGAACCTCTCAGATAAGAAACAATGTCTTTGTTTTAGCCCCCCGGGTCTCCACTGAAGACCCGTTTCATTTTCATTTCATTTATTTATTTTTTTCAAACATGTGCGTGCAACACAACAAAGTAAATTGAAAACAAACAAACAAAACCAGTGAGAATATTCAAAACAACAGCAACAATAATCAAAGCAAAACAGTAAAAATAAAAAATAAAAAGTCTTATAATAATGCAAACCCAACATGTCCGAAAAGGAGCAGGATGAGGCCTTATGCTTTTTTTTTTTTTTAAACCTACCCCTTCTCCTTTACTCAATAATAACAGTCAGTCTCCAACATATTTACTAGGGCCCGACCGATTTATCGGCGAGCCAATTAAATCGGCCAATTTTAGCCTGTTTGAGACTAATCGGTAATGTAGTGTAAATATGGTAAAATCAGTTAACAGTAGAGAATATGTCGTGATTTGTGATCCAGAATGTTTTTTTGTTTCGTCAGGACTGAAATGCTTCTTGACGGTTTACTTTGTACATGTTTTATATGAGACTTGCAGTTTATTTTATCATCAATTATCATCCCAAGAAACTTGTTTTCATAAACTCTTTCAATATCCACCCTGTCTACTTGTGTATTTTTGTTATGATCGCCAAATAACATGAATTTGGTTTAATTTTTTTCTGTCAAACCACATTTTCAGTAGTGATTCTGTTAGTGTCATCTGCAAATAATACTAATTTTAATGTTGTTGCTGAAATCACAAAACTAAATCAGTCCTTCAGTTACCGTAAAGTTTATAATACAGCCGCCCCCTCCCCCCAGTCGAATAGATGAAGACAGTAAATAATCAAACCTGTTCTGTGTGAGTTTAGCTGCAGGTCTCTATCAGCCTCTGAAGGTTTCTGTTGTTGTTCCTCAATCTCTGCTGTGGTTCTTCGGACTTCAGACATTTTTACACATTAAACCTCCTTTTCTTCAAACCTGTGACCAGCTAACATGCTAACTATGTGAGCGCTGTAGTTAATCGGAAGCTGATTTAGAGGAAAAAGGTTAAAATTGTCCGTTTAGGGGTTTAATTTCTAAAACTAAAGCTGCTGAAACCGCTCCACAAACTCAGTCCTGGGAATTATTCCAACGAGCCGCCATTTTGATAAACGCCTGAGTCTTTACGATAAAGTACTTCCAGTGGTCTTCAAAATAAAAGCTTTGGGAGATCAATCAATCAATCAGTCTTTATTTATATAGCACTTTTCATACATAACATGTAGCACAAATTGCTTCACACAGAAAAAGGAATAAAAGAAACAAAGAATACCCAAATTTACCCCAACCCAAGATTTCAAGAAGACCCAAATCAACCCCAGCCCAACCCCTCATTTCTACCCAGCGATCTAATTGCAACAGAAACAGTATTAAAAAGTATAAACTTAAACTGTTTCGTGGAAACAGGAGTGTGCGCACTGAGGAAACGTCATTTTAAAATTTAAGATAAGGAAACACTGGAGGTTTATGTTAAAATCTAAAAACAAAGGAACAAAGAATGACATATAAGAAATAATAAATAAAAACAAGAGTAAAAGATACTAAAATAAGAGCACCAAAATAGCTCAATAAAAGATGATCCTGTGATTAAAACTAGAAAGAGATAAATGCTAAAACACTTAAACAGAGTTAATTATATAAAATTTAGTTAAAAGCAAGACTAAAAAGTTATGTTTTCAGTTTGGTTTTAAAATCATTAAGATTAGGTGGAAAGATGGAAAGTTTTAATTTTTCTTTGTACATACTGAGTTTCCGACCCAGACTAAACTAAGAGTTCTGATACTGATAAGCAGTCACTAAAAAACAGTTCGAGAAAAATAAATTAAGAGTGCATAAATGTATGTTTTTGTTTATTTGTTTAGTTTGTGATGCCCAGAAGTGTGTGTGTGTGTGTGTGTGTGTGTGTGTGTGTGTGTGTGTGTGTGTGTGTGTGTGTGTGTGTGTGTGAGAGAGAGAGAGAGAGAGAGAGAGAGAGAAACAGAAAGGTTAGAAGAAACCTACCAGAGAAGTGAAGTGAAATTTTTTTTCATTAAAGAAATTAAAAAAAGTAAACAGAAACTGTACATAAAAAAAGAGCTTCATTACCATGAACATCAACAAAAATACTTAACTTTAAAGTATGAAATCCTACATTTGAACCCTGTCTGTTCCGAGTTTCCTCCTCCTTGAACTAAAAAACTCACTCAGTTGTTTTTAATCATCTTTTGTCATCGCTGTGACTCACCGGAACCTTGTTGGGTCGGGGGATCAAGAATCCTGGATGAGTCCATGAGAATCATTTACTTACTGAGGTTCTTTACTTCTCATGTGTTCATCTAAAACATTCTGATTTATATATTCTTTCCCACACACAGAGCAGCTGAAGGGTTTCTCATCTTCATGACTTCTCATGTGTTCATCTAAATCATTCTAATTTATATATTCTGTCCCACACACAGAGCAGCTAAAGGGTTTCTCATCCACGTGGTTTTTCATGTTTTTCTCTAAAAACTCCTCATATATAAATTTCCCCTCACACACAGGGCAGCTGAAGAGTTTCTCATCTTCATGACTTCTCATCTGCCTGGTAAGGTAGTGTCCTTGTTTGTTTTTTTTACCAGACTCGGGGCTGCTGTGTAACTCTTCATCAAGCTTTCTTTTCTTGGTTTTACTTTTTTTGTGAGCCTTTGAGCCTGATTTACGTCCTCTTGGCGGTATCCAATCTTCACTGTCATCAGTTTCAAAAGAGTCAGTCATGGCCTTGAAATAAGCACCTTCAACTGGGTACTTTAGTGGTTCTAGTACTTAAGGAGCCACTTCATTAGTATTTGTTTCCATCTGTACAGTTTGTATTGGATGAAGCTGTGAAGAATGAGGTTTCTCGTCTTCTTCTTCTTCTTCTTCAGGTGGGTCTCCCTGGTTCATCTGGTCAAGATTGGGGCTTAAATCTTGCTGCTTTGATGGAGGATTTTCTTCACTTTTCAACAGCTGCAGGACATCTGCAGGAGACACTGAAAACCCTGTTAAAGGAAGCACACAGGACAGAGGGTCATATTTATTTACTGAAGGTTTAGGTAAATATCTCGTCCGTCAGCTGTGAAGAAAATAACTCAAAGTCAATTTTCAGGTTCTGGAAATGTGTATCATAGATTGCTAGTGATTGCTGTGGTATTCACATAAATGCAACATTAAGTACAAATGCTGACAAACTTTCAGTCATCGACACTGAACTTATAATTCTTTTTTAGAGCAAGCCAAACAACTACATGGTTTCTCCTGGGAGCAATTTTGTGTCTCTACATTAACCACTGGTGGTTAATCATATATTAACTATTTCATGTTAATCCAGATTATTAGAGCGATGGAGGATTTAAAAAATGTAGGAACATCATCTGACACAGCTTCAACAGGATAACCCTGTTTGAAGCTTCTGCTCAGTTTGTGTGAAAACAGTGATAAAAAAAGTTCTGTTTCATTAGTTTTATAAACGTTATCAGAGGGAGGAAAACCACATCCGATCGTAAAAATGCGAAAACAAACTTTGAGTTTTTGTTTTGATTGGAGTCGATCAAACTCATTTCCCGCAGCTTTTCTTCTTTCAGTCACATTCACACATGAGGTGGTTCACAGAGCGGAGGGTGATAATTACTGCTCACACACACACACACACACACACACACACACACACACACACACACACACACACACACACACACACACACACACACACAGAGTGATTTTCTGCTTTTGTTGCAGCTGCTGTGAAAACTGCAGGCTTTAACATTAACATCCTGCAGTGACACAGCTGTGTGTGTGTGTGTGTGTGTGTGTGTGTGTGTGTGTGTGTGTGTGTGTGTGTGTGTGTGAGTGTGTGTGAGTGCGTGTGTGTGTATAATTTGAGGTTTGCGGTGATACAGTCACATGACTCCCTCCTTCAGAGAAAAACGAACAAACAACAAAAACACTTTTTGATGAAATCACAATTACATCAGTACGTGTGTTTGTGTGTGTGTGTGTGTGTGTGTGTGTATGTGTGTGTATGAGCGAGACAGAGCTGATTGGAAACAGTTAGGTGTGTGTTTGAGATCATTGTGAGTTTGCCCACCAGAGGGCGCTGACAGGTTGGGATTTAAATGACTCCTGTTAGAATAAAGTCGAGATATTTTTGTCTTTAATTTTTGGACAAAATGGAAAAAAATGGTTTATCTCTTAAACTGTTACGAGCTAGCAGAGACCACAGGGGGCACCACACAAAGCTCTCTTTGAAATCTAGAACCTTTATTCAGATGTAATTCAGAACCAAGAAAACCACTAGAATAAAAAACCCCAAAATAAAACAAAATAAAGTCAAATAGTGAAATAGAAAAAAATGAAATGAAACAAAACAGACCAAAACAAAATAAAATGAACAAATTTAAATTAAATTAATCAAAATAGAATAAAATGAAATAAAACAAAGTAAAATAAAATAGTAAAAAAAAAAGAATTAAAAAAAAGCAGAACAAAATCAAATCAAATCAAACAATAAATAAATAAATAAATAAAATCAAACAAAATACAATGAAATGAAATTATACAAAATAAAACAAAACAACAAAACAAAATAAAACAAAATAAGATAAAATAGTAAAATAGAAAAATAGCACAAAATAAAAAAATAAAACAGAACAGAATAAAATCAAACAAAATGAAAAAAAAGTAAAGTAGAACAAAACAAAATGAAAAAAAAAAACAGAGCAAAAAAAATTATAATAACCAAAACAGAACAAAATTAAACTAAATAAAAGAAAAGGGAAAAAAAATAAAATAAAACAGTAAAATAGAATAATATAAAATAAAAATAAAGCAGAACAAAATCAAATCAAATCAAACAAAAAAATAAATAAATAAAACACAATAAAATGAAATAAAACAAAATAAAACAAAACAAAATAAAATTAAACAAAATAAGATAAAATAGTAAAATAGAAAAATAGAGCAAAATAAAATAAATAAAACAAAACAAAATAAAATGAAATAAAACAAAATCAAACAAAATAAAAAAGCAAAATAAGAACAAAATAAAATAAAAATAAATGGTAAACATAAATGAAGCAAAATAAAATAAACAAACAGAATAAAATAAAAAAACAAAACAAAATAAAATAGTAAAATAGATTAAAATAAAATAAAGCAGAACAAAATCAAATCAAATCAAACAAATAAATGAATAAAATAAAATAAAATGAAATAAAACAGCAAAATAAAATAAAATAAACAAAATCAAATCAAACTAAACTAAATAAAATAAGATGAAAAATCAAAATAAAATAGAAAAATAATGAAATAAATATAAAATAACCTAAAGCAGAACAAAAAAATTAAATCAAACAAAAATAAATAAATCAAATCAAACAAAATAAAATAAATTAAAATAAAGCAAAATAAATAAAAATAAAATAAAACACAACAAAATAAAATCAAACAAAAAAAGATAAAATAGTAAAATAGAAAAATAGAACAAAATAAAACAAAACAAAACAAAGTAAAATAAAACAAAATTAAATAAAAAGATCAGTCACATGAGATTTATGCTCATGTATTTGAATCTTTTTACTGTATTATATTTTATATTCAGTGGGGGAAAAAAAGGAAACAGTAAGAGTATTTATGCTGCTGCAGAATGTCAGGAGTCTGGACACCAGAGGGAGCTTGGAGAAGATCCACCACTGCTGAAAGGAGTCAGCTGAGGGGGTTCCTCATTTCCTGCTTTTTTTTTTTAACCTTCTCCTGTCTTTATTTTTAAGCTTAAACACGCCTGTTTTATTCTTCAGCTCTTTGCAGTTTGCTCTTGTTTTATGTCTGTGGAGTGGAGCTGTCAGCATCTCATCCTGATGGAGCTCAAATCTAACCACACACAGATAAATGAGGACTCATGACGGATGTGTTAAAAAAAAACAAAAAAAAAACGTTTTTCAGAGACAGTTGACCCCCAAGAGAGAAGAGGAAAGAGCCGCTCGAATGAAAAAAAACAAACAAACAAAAAAACGAAACTCCACCCGGCATGTCGGTAAAGTTCTGTTTGCAGAGTTCATGAAGGTCCAAGTTTACTGCAACAAATATATATTTCTTTTGAATACTGTCCTGCCATTTCATGCTTGAGTGAGTCAATGGACTGATTCACGAGTGAAATCATGACAGAGCTCCACCAGCCCACTCTGAGTGTGAATGTGTGACTGTAGTTGTTTTATCTTTGTTATTGCAGCTTCTGTTTGGTATTGTGTCTATGATTGAGTACAAGAAAAGTCAACTTTAATGGAGAAGAAACCACCCAATAAAAAGTCACCTTACATCTGTTTCCCATTTGTATAGATTTGTTTTAGTTGCTCTGCCGACGTTTGATGATTAAAAAACAAAAGAAAAAAAAAATCCGCCTGTGAATGACTGAAGACGTTAAAAATCCGCAAAGATGTTTCCTTTTCTTCAGATAACTTCCACGTAAACAAACGGGGCTTCTCTCTGCACCCCCTTCTCCATCATCACCTCCGTCTCTATAGCAACTGGTTGCTAGGAGCAACGAGACACAGCCAGCATCAGGCAGCATCCTGCTCACATCCTTGTTGTCGGAGGCAGAGAGAGAGAGAGAGAGAGGAGAGAGAGAGAGAAGGCGCGGCACGAGTAGAGCAGCAGAGAAAAGACGCTTCTTCTTTTTCTTCTTTTTCTCGCCAAAATAAAACACAAATAAAAAGCTTCCAATCAGATGGCTGGATTCTGTGTTTTCGGAGGGCGAGTGTTTCTAAGAGAAGAAGAGGAGAGAGGATGGTGACAACTTGTTCCTCCAGGAAAGTGCCGGAGTGCAGGCGGTGACCCCGACGCTGCTGCAGGGTGAGTCCAGGCTGATCTTTGCTTCTGGTTTTACCCCGAGTCCTGTCTGTCAGGCGTCCTGAGGGTCCAGATGGCGAGGGTTCAGGGTGTTGCAGAGAGGTGAGCTGTGTCTCAGACCTGTGTGTGTGTGTGTGTGTGTGTGTGTTGGGCTGGTAAACACGCAGGAAACTGAAGATTCATGTCGTTAACCCTTGAAAAAAACTGTCCCCGAGGCTCTGAGGGTTTCAGATTTTTTTTTTGTCTGTTTCTGCGGTTGAAGAAGCAACATGTTGGTTTGAGAAGCTGCTGATGTTTTTTTTCTTTACTGAAGGATGAACCAAGGATGGTGATGGGGGTCTGAGCAGACAATCTGTGGACCCTCCCTGCAAAGGTCAGGACTGCCAAAATAAGACAAAATAAGACTCTTAGGTTTGGTTGTTGCTGCAGGTTTTCAGGTTCCGGTTGGGCTAAAATTTTTGAATTTAACAAAAATCTGCAAAAAAAATGGATTTCCGTGAGAGAACTTTTCTTTTTTTTAAATCTAAAGATCTTTGAAATAATGTGAAATGAGTCCAAATTTGGGTTTTTCTCTGATGTTTATATTTTATATTAATGTTTCAGAATCATAAAATCTGTGCAGTAAAAATAATGAAAGTCAATAAAACATAAAAATTATGATGGTTCCCAAATTCACCATTTTAAATAGTTATTTAAATCCAAAAAAGGACAAAAACTCAATCACTGAAATTCTGAATGAATATTTTCAGAGGTTTTTATTAATCAGAAGAATTTATTTTGGAGGATTTCGGAAGAGCTAAGGAGCACATTTCACAGTTCCTGTTGTTTTTTATTTTAGTGACTTTTTTTTTCTGGACTCTTCACGTATATTATCAAACTCAAATCCTAATCAGTGATTTTTTAAAATTTGAGTGCTTCCCACAACGTAAAAAAATGTCTGAAGATTTAACAGTAAAAAACTGTAAAAGACATTTACTTAAAAAAAACCCATACACTGTTTTTGTAACCCAGTAGCCATTTTTTACCATGAAAAATACAGTTGTTGTTTTCTTTTACCGTAAAATTACAGTTTTTTTTACTGTAAATGTTTTTTTTTCAGACTGCAGACTGTTACCTCTGTCCCCAGAGCAATTTGACCTCGGTTTACAGCCACATTATGTCATATTTAGCTCTAACTGACCGTGACGTTCATTTCCTGTAACTTCGTTTTTTTAAAGAACCAGAAAATGGTAAAAAATGCTCCTCAAGTCCAAACCCGGTCCTTATCAGCAAGGTCTGGGATTTTCACGTGTAAATGATAAGACCGGCTTGGATGGTGTCAGAGGATCCGTTTCTGTCTGCAGGTCTGTTTTTTTTAAAAACAGGATTTTATCAGAGTTTCACTTTGTCTTCGTTTGCAGGGTATCAACTCCAAATCTTAAGATTTTCAAACAAAGAGACGTCAGAGTTTATTGAATCAAACTGAACTTTTTCTGTAGGACTTTTTAAATAAGGCCTGGGTGATTTGGCAAAAAAAATTATCACAATATATTTTGTCGTATCGTCTGATCTCAATTATTATCACAATTTTTCTTTAAACTGCCAGTTTCAAAGTATCTGTACTAAAAACTAAAGAAACAAGAGATTAGTTCAACATTTTATTAAAATACAAAGTAAATAACATATAATAAGATACACTTGGAAAAATATAAAAACATTTTAACTCAACAGTACAACAAATGTAGATAAATACTAAATAATACAGTGAACTAGTTTACAGTCCTGAGTGTTTTTGCAGATATGTAAGACCCAAAATAAACAAATCGCCCCGTCAGAGATAATGAAGACGCCTTAAATGTAAACATTAGATGATGTAAACGTAGATGATACGATTGACTGCTGCTTTGGTCTGGTGGCTGCACTGCTAGTTTTAGCTAAACTGCTACCTGTGCCATCAACAGTGGCAGGCTGTTCAGATTCCGCCCACATTTTCATGTTTTCTGCATAATCAATTGGGAAGAACATCTTCTAATTAAACAGATCTGTTGTGTTGCCGGTTGTTGAGGCACCGACCGCCGACATACCTTACACATCGGCTTAATTACTCAACATCACTTTGGAGATACAGGAGCCACCGCCACACAACCGACGTTGAATGAGTTCTCAACAATAAAATCTTCAGAGGATAACTCAAAGTCATGGCTGACGTCTATTTTGCTGCCCTCAGCGCCACATTTAGCTCCATGTTCGGTCATTCTTTTTACTTCTCTGGTAACTAACAGATGTGAGCTGGAAAAGCTTGACTCTGATTGGCTGTTGTGACGCACATTTCCGCCATTTTTGACTGAGTAAATAAACTCACAGCTGATCACTGTGATCGAACTGAAATTTATCACAATCATATAATCGCCCAGTAATATTTTAAATAATCATTATTTCTAATCTTGCTAAAAACCCAAACTATTATTCTCGGGAGGCGCTGCCTTTAAAGACTGCCTTTTCTTTATTCTTTATTCTTTATTCATACGGATCCCCATTAGCTGCCACCAAGGTAGCAGCTACTCTTCCTGGGGTCCACAAATAAAACAAACAATACAATACAAGACAATACAATACATAATTCAATAAAACATGTACAGTCTTGCAAAGGTCATTCAAGACAATAAAAGTCCAGTAAAAGCAAACCACAAACAAAAAAACAAAAACAAAAACAAAAACAAAACAACAAGAAAAAAACAAGCAGAAAACAAATGAAACTAAAATTTAAAAGTTAAGATTAGTGTAATTTGTCAGGTGTCTTTTAAGGAGTCTCTTAAAACTAGCCTTACTAGGTGCTTCCGTGATCATTGTCGGTAAAGTGTTCCAAATGGTAATTGCTCGATACATTACAGATCTGCAGACTGCATTTGTTCTGGGTTTTTCTTTAACCATGTCACCCCTAGTAGCCTGCCTGGTATTATAATTATGACGATCTCTCACATACTGTATTTGCGAGTTCAAACAAACAGATTCTTTGTCCTGAGTCCTTCACAGACTGTACACATCAGGAGACCTGGTGTTTTTCTCTCTCGTTTCAAACCAGTTCAGTCCAGTTTTAATGCTCAGGTTCAGACTCGTTCTTACACTCACCAAAAATGTGGGACTGTTCCTTTAGAGGAGAGATGAATCACCATTTCAGGGTGTGTTCAGATAGACTCATCAGCTGATCCAGATTCACAGCAGACCTGGTTTTGCAGGTGAGATCTTCCTCTCATGCTCTCCTTATCCCTCCATCAGAGGTGAAGGCATGAAAACAAACCGACTGTAAACAGGAGGCGAGCCGCTGTGACGCTAAATCTGTCGACACGTTTTATCCAAAAACAGCCTAGGGCCGGTCTGCACGTGCTCGGTACAGACCAGAGAGGAGCTGTCAGAGTATTTATATCCAGACCCTGACCGGTTTCAACTTCATTTATATTTAGGTTTCTGATCAGCTGATCACAGGTGGAGGACGGAAATAACGCCAAGAACATCAGAGAGAGAGAGAGACGGGAATAAAAACAGAAAAATCAGAAATCATTGGAAAAAAACACGACTGAAGGAGAACGATGACGGATCAGGGACTAAAATACAGGATCCTGGTCTTCAACAAACCACCACAGACTCAGAGACAGACATCAGGGCCTCATTTACCTGCAGTTCCTCTACTGACCACTTGAGGCTGTTTCCAAAAGTGAGTCCATCTCCCTGGAGCTCTGTGATCAAATGTCCAACGATTACAGAAACATCAGTCAAGAATGAATCAGTCTCTAACAGTCGGACTTTTGTTTGTTTCACAGGGAAGCCTTTTCAGGACTGGCTCGTTGTGATCTGCAGTTCTCCTAATGTCCACTAGAGGTCGTCCTACAGTGAGCTGGTCCCTGTTGACCCCCATGTTAAAACCTGGCCCATGAACAGTGTTGGGGCTCTATTTTCGTGCCTGGCGGCGGCCCAGCAGACAGTGGCAGACCCGCGCAGTGGTATTTTCGTCTGGTGGAGCCCGGTGCACAGCCAGTTTGGTATTTTCGTAGACTGAGGCGCACCGAGGTCTGCCAAGCTGGGCGTGGTGGTGCGGCTGGGGGAGGTGACGACAGAATCAGCTGGTGCAGTGACATTTTCGTGCCCGCCGGTGGCGTGGAAAGTGTGCTGAAAGCTCCAAAGTGTACCAATATACCAAAGTGTGCTTGGGCACACCTTGTCGGCGTGGCGGACCTGACTTACGCCACGCCTGCGTCACGGCTCCAGCAAGGCACGGAAATAGAGCCCTTGGTCTCTAGTCATGAGAAATGACAGGCTAAATTTATAGACACCTCACCTGTTTACATCAGATTTACGGGGGCGTGGCCTCTTTGAGTGACAGGGGAGCTGTCAGGTGTCTCCTCAGTCCTAACCTCGGAGTCCTTTTGGTGGTTTTTAGAGATCCGTCTTAGCGCTTTACTAACTAACAGGGTAGAAACATGAAATAGAGCGTGAGGAAAAGATGGATGAGGAGAGAGGGCGAGGAGAGGGCGAGGGGCCGGGCCTTCATATCACTGTGACAGGTCTCATATAGAAGGAGACGAGACACAGCAAGTAATTAAAGCAGAGAAAAAGAGGAAGAGGTAATGTGAAGAAGGAACAATTAGACTCTGTAACATCAGGAGGAGGAGGATCAGTCTGCACACGGACTGGGAACAGCCCCAAAGCATCATGGTCCTGCAGGCTCAGACCGTTACAGTATGGTGGAGGTTTTCTGATGGAGAAATAAAAAAAAGATCTTTCTGAGAGTTCAGCCGCCTCCTGAGTTTAACATTTTAACACATGCCGTTAAATTAGCAGAACTAGAACCACCAGCCCTCAGTCCTCTCTGCAGGTTTACCCCCAATTTTCACAGCATCCAGAACAGCTCCGATCTGGATCGGTGGCAGTGTTCACCCTATTTATATTCCTCCCAGATATGTTTGTGAGGCGAATTTCGTGGCAGATTACAGACGGATTACTCACAAGAACCCACGGATTCACGTTCAATCGCGCGATAACAAGTTGTCTCTATATAGACAGCCACATATAAGCAGAAAATTGTGTCCTTCTGGAGGAGGAAAGCTACTTCTGTCACAGGGGTGAAATGACATCTTAAATCCTTTCACTTGTTTGTCTCCGCCTGTTTGCATGGTGTGAAATACGATCCGCCTAAAACACAGTGTTTTATTTTGAAAAGAAGCCGCATGTTTTATTTTGTGTCTGTGCCCGACTTCCTTTCCAGCACGGGTTAATCTGTGCTGAATTTATCCGCCATGCTCCGGCCTCCGAAAAAATAGAGCTCTTGCGATCAGCTGAGGAGTCCGGCGATCCGCAGAGGAACGGAAAGAAGCCGGTGGAAACTGATCCGTTAACTTAAATGGTTACAATCAGCTACGATTGGCAGGTATGACATTTTAGTAGACGTTCAGGATGAGGTGGAAATTGGGGGTAAGATCCACTTGCCTGGGCTGGTCCAGTGAAACCAGTCACAGCATACATAGAGCTTGAACTCCGTTTTGTACATCCTAATCATCTGTCGTAGTTGAGCATGAATCTAAGCTGCAGACTGAGAACTGAACCTGGATCTGCTGCACAGACGAGGTTTTACGGTCGGCTGAAAAACCCAGAGACAGCAGAGCAAACAGAGAAACAGACGGAACAGAAGAGTCTTGGCATCCTGCAGACTGAACTAAAATCTCATTTTACTCCAGAACAAGAAGATCTGTGTCTGTACAGCTAATTTCTGAAACACCGAAGAACAATCTGACAAAAACAAGAACTTTGAGAGACCAGAAGGGCCGACCCATCTGCAGACACAGATCTAAACTGATATCAAATCCAGACCCAGAGCAGTTCAGAAACAGAGACCAGGCATCATGAAAAAACACAGGACTGCTCCTTTAACTCTTCACGTCGTTTTCTGTGGCGTGTTTTTCTACAGACAGCAGCTGCTAAAAGCTCTGTCTCTTTCTAGCGCCTGCATGTGAACTGCTCTGGAGGGAATGCTTGGAGGTGTTTGGCCTCTTAGTGACATCACACAATTCAGAGGTCAACATCGCCAACAGCCGGCTGTCTGTCTCTGAAGCTTGTGCCATCAGCAGCTCGGCCACCGTCTCTTCTTCAGTGGTGTTTGAAACGATTTTAGACTCAAGAACACAAAGCAGTTCAGTCTCTCTCTCTCCTCTGTGGTCAGGAATAGTCTCTCTCCCTTACACGCCCAGCGGTTCACCTGCTGGGAAGACTTATTGACGAGCTATCAGGCATCGTGGTGGCAACAATCACTTTCCCTTGTTAGGTGTTTGTGTTGTTGTACGGACAACGGCAGGAAATTCAGATCAAAGTCGGGACTGCTTGTTCAGTCACAGACAAACACACATTAAAACACACACACACACACACACACACACACACACACACACACACACACACACACACACACTAAAAAACACAAAAAAACCCACACTAAAACAAACTAAAACGCACAAACACTAAAACACACTGAAACACACACACTAAAGCACACTAGAACGCACATACACACTAAAACACACTAAAACACACACACACACACACACACACACTTAAACACACTAAAACACAAACACATACACACACTAAAACACACACACACACACACACACACTAAAAAACACAAAAAAACCCCACACTAATACAAACTAAAACACACAAACACTAAAACACACTGAAACACACACACTAAAGCACACTTGAACACACACACTAAAACACACTAGAACACACACACTAAAACACACTAGAACACACACACTAAAACAAACTAAAACACACACACACACACACTTAAACACACTAAAACACAAACACATACACACACTAAAACACACACACACACACACTTAAACACACTAAAACACAAACACTAAAACAGACTTAAACACACATACTAAAAACACACTAGAACACACACACTAAAACACACACACACACACACACTAAAAAACACAAAAAAACCCCACACTAATACAAACTAAAACACACAAACACTAAAACACACTGAAACACACACACTAAAGCACACTTGAACACACACACTAAAACACACTAGAACGCACACACTAAAACAGACTAAAACACACACACACACACACACACTTAAACACACTAAAACACACTAGAACACAAACACTAAAACAAACTAAAACACACACACACACACTTAAACACACTAAAACACAAACACACACACACACACACACACACACACACACACACACACACACACACAGAATTACATTCTGAACAGAAGATACAGGAGTGCCTCAGGTGTGTATGTTTGTTAGCGTGCATGAGTGTTTATTTGATCAAAAACAGCCGACATAATTGATTCCTGCTGATGTACGACAAATTGACCAATCAGAGCTTAGAGTTTGATTGAGACAAACAAAATGTTTTTGTTTTATTTCTGATAAAAGTGTTTTTTTAGTGGTAATTTCAGCCGTTTTTACCTGATGAGTCAGAAAAATGTTTTTATATCCAGATGTTACTCACCTGAAAAAAACCCTGAATGAGTAAAAAAATAAAATAAAACAGAAAATGTTTTAATTTAAAATTTTAACGAGTAATTTTACTCCAATCTTATTTTCACTCAGGTCTTCGTATTAGACAAAATCACTTTTTTTCTTTGTTCACAGGAAGGCCACTTTAACCAAGATGGCAGCGTCTATGTAATCGTTAAAAACACACTTGAGGATTTTCATGAAAGCAAGACCGTATGACAGGTCACTTTTAAACTTTACTGAAAACTTTACAAACTTGATTTATTTATTCCTTCATTTATTTCTCATTATTTGTTTATTTTCCCTTGTTTGTTTTAAATTAAGAATTAAAGCTCTACGGCTATGTTCACACTGCAGGCCAATTCCGATTTTTTAACCATATGTGACACATATCTGATTTTTTCATCTAAGTGTGAACAGTGCAATTATGAAATTTTCAGATCCGACCAGGCCTCTTTTGTATGTGTATATACACTCACCGGCCACTTTATTAGGTACACCTGTCCAACTGCTCGTTAACACTTAATTTCTAATCAGCCAATCACATGGCGGCAACTTAGTGCATTTAGGCATGTAGACATGGTCAAGACAGTCTCCTGCAGTTCAAACCGAGCATCAGTATGGGGAAGAAAGGTGATTTGAGTGACTTTGAACGTGGCATGGTTGTTGGTGCCAGAAGGGCTGGTCTGAGTATTTCAGAAACTGCTGATCTACTGGGATTTTCACGCACAACCATCTCTAGGGTTTACAGAGAATGGTCCGAAAAAGAAAAAATATCCAGTGAGCGGCAGTTCTGTGGGCGGAAATGCCTTGTTGATGCCAGAGGTCAGAGGAGAATGGCCAGACTGGTTCGAGCTGATAGAAAGGCAACAGTGACTCAAATAACCACCCGTTACAACCAAGGTAGGCAGAAGAGCATCTCTGAACGCACAGTACGTCGAACTTTGAGGCAGATGGGCTACAGCAGCAGAAGACCACACCGGGTGCCACTCCTTTCAGCTAAGAACAGGAAACTGAGGCTACAATCTGCACAAGCTCATCGAAATTGGACAATAGAAGATTGGAAAAACGTTGCCTGGTCTGATGAGTCTCGATTTCTACTGCGACATTCGGATGGTAGGGTCAGAATTTGGCGTCAACAACATGAAAGCATGGATCCATCCTGCCTTGTATCAACGGTTCAGGCTGGTGGTGGTGGTGTCATGGTGTGGGGAATATTTTCTTGGCACTCTTTGGGCCCCTTGGTACCAATTGAGCATCGTTGCAACGCCACAGCCTACCTGAGTATTGTTGCTGACCATGTCCATCCCTTTATGACCACAATGTACCCAACCTCTGATGGCTACTTTCAGCAGGATAATGCGCCATGTCATAAAGCTGGAATCATCTCAGACTGGTTTCTTGAACATGACAATGAGTTCACTGTACTCAAATGGCCTCCACAGTCACCAGATCTCAATCCAATAGAGCATCTTTGGGATGTGGTGGAACGGGAGATTCGCATCATGGATGTGCAGCCGACAAATCTGCGGCAACTGTGTGATGCCATCATGTCAATATGAACCAAGCTCTCTGAGGAATGCTTCCAGCACCTTGTTGAATCTATGCCACGAAGAATTGAGGCAGTTCTGAAGGCAAAAGGGGGTCCAACCCGTTACTAGCATGGTGTACCTTATAAAGTGGCCGGTGAGTGTAAATCGGATATGTATCCGATGTGGCTGCAGTGTGGACGATCAGGTCGTGTTCATCCGACCTATACGTCATCAATATGCGACAAACGTCACCATTGTTCGACAACACAAACAGGCGCGGAAAGCAATTTGTACTTTGAGCGCATGTGGGTCACTTAACAGACGCATTCCGTTCACATTAGATGCCGCATTCTTTGTTGTAATGTGAACGACCGCACAAAAAGATCGGATTTAACAAGACATCCGAATTGTGCATCATAACCTGCAGTATGAACGTAGCCGAAGTCAGCCGAGCCTCGCTCTTTTACACATCTGTGATTGGTCAGTTTTGGGGGTTTGGTCTAACTGGTTAAACTTGCTCGAGAGGCTAAAATACAGAAAACTGTGGGCGTGGCCTTGGTGATGTAAATAGCCATGCCCAAGAACTTTACATGTATACAGAAAAAATAAAGATTGTAAAGATTTAAGAAACCCGATAAACTCCAACGCTGAGATGCCGAGTCTGAAATATGAGAGTTAATAATAAAATTCATCTTG